ATACCGAAATCGGCATCTGTCATGGGAGGGTAAATCGAGAGCATACTTCCTACAACATCGTGTGGTCCGGTCTGTCGAGTCTCTCCGGGGTAAAAAGTACCAGCTTTTGCGTAAGGGGCGCAAGCAACAAAGACCGTTGGTGCCCGGTGGCACCAAGAAGCGTCGGAGACAGTATTTGCTACGACGAAAACCTCGTGATCTACCTGAATCTCCTCCTATTCTCAGGGTGGGATCGCCTGACCCAGAGCTGTGGCAGATGGTTCAAAATTTGCAGGTCTCCCTGGAAACCTCTTCTTTGCACTCGTCACAGTCTATGGAAATGGACTCCGATGATGGTAAGTCGCTACTTTTTCCCTCGAGACACAAATCCAAGACGACGTATCTTATACCTGCAGGGTCAGCTATGCCGGTAACGGTTCTTTCAGATCTAGAACCCCTGTCCTCATCAGTCTGGGAGGATATAGATTGCTATCTTTCGGCAGCGAGCGATGAGTCGTTCTAGATTTAGTGGGTTGGACTGTGGAAATCTGTTCGCAGTATAGTTTCATGTTCAGAGTCGATGTACAGTAGCAGCTCCATTTAAGGGTTCAGCCAAGCCAAGTTGAATCCGAGACCACCCGTATTTTTTGTAACCGTAACCTCCCTCGATTTACGGCATGCTTCGTCCTGTCGACTCGGAGTTGGAAAACCCGTAGTTTGCTATTGCCATCTCCGCTGGCATCGGGGTTGGCATAAGAGCTTTCAATCGTGCTAAAATGCCGAGTTAACAGGCGGAGACGCTAGCCAACTGGGATGATCTGAACTACTAGACCCTACATGAAACCTGCACCGATGATCTACATCCGTTCGATTGTGTGTGGTCCGCGGCCTGTTCGGGGGGAACGCCCCCTCCGATATATTACGGTACACTCCGAATGAGTAACACGCTCTGCCGAGCCTAAACTAAGAACAAGCTTTAACGTTTTCGGTATGCTGACCCACCATGACCCGGAGCACACGCAAGCACGCGTCCCCTCAGCTAATGTCTAGCATGTACGCTAGCTACAAATTAGTCGATGAGTTTCCACCAGAGATCCACAAATGGGGATCCGTTATGGCCCGTAGCAAGGGAGGACGCATATGTCCGAAGCCCGTTTCCTTATCGTTCAGTGTTGCTGTACATGTATTTACCGTACCAGATTCCTCCAAGCCGCGGCCCTTTGGAACCGTAACAAAAAACTGCACGAATTTGCCGCCCGCGAGAACGGGGTCTGACGTGAGAACCTAAATGAGTAAGGAGCCAGCATGTTACTTGATTGGTGGGGAGGGGCTTAATGCCACTCAGTCGGACAGGTTCATTTCTTGGTCACGAAAACGAATACTACTTTTATCCGGCATGGGTGCTCTCCTTCTTTTGCGCGATGGATTACGCTGCGTAGTTGACTCCCCCTTTTCCTTGCACACTTGGTCTAAGCGAGTGTTTATTGCCGCTAGCATCTCTTTCATCTCACCGACCGCTTCTTTGAGCTCCGTGACAATAGACTTGTCATCTCTGCGTTCTTGTGCGATAGTGATCACACTGTTTTCGATCAATCTGAAATTCTGTCAACATTATATGTTGCACTAAGGCTTCTTCACCACTTCGGAGGAGATGCCAGAGAATCTCACTTTACTTGCGTGTCAAGCCTAACTCGTGGCCATTGATTAGTATGTACTGTCATACATTGAGCTGGAGCTATATCTTACTGTTTCCATGATTCGGGTGTCAAGGATTGATTGTTTGCGGAATGAACGTCCGATCCTATTTCACATTTCAGGTTAGCTGGCTTCATTTTGGCGGCGGGCCTGGCTTACCTCGTCCCCCGGATGGTCGATTGGCTGGCCCCGAGGAATAGGAATCGTTTGGCAGCAACGACATCGGATCCTTTTGTTGTTGGGATGAAACATTGCTGTTCTGCTCTTCGCTCTCCCCGAATAGCCTCGACAGCTCGGCTCTGTACATTCCCGGCTGGTGTGAGAGAACTGCCATCATAAGTTGGACGCTGGAAATAGAGATTAAGAGAAACTTTGCGGTCTATCTCGAAGAAATTCTCTTTTATAATGTAGTGGGGCGTATGGTTATGATTACGTTACAACGGAAACCGTAGGGGTTGGCCAACGTTGACCACATGTTGCGTGGATCCGGCCTGGACCAAGACCAGCTCAACGCCAGAGCTAATATTCTGTGCGATTCTTTTGTGTTGCATTGAAAGCTGGACTTTCCCAACTTGACAAGATAATTGCGTCCATTTAGTTAAGGGGTTGTTTAGAACGAACAGACCCTTTGGCAGGGATCAAGGAGCTTGACGAGCTTATTGGACAGTCGGCACTGATATGACGCTTGCCATTGAAAAGGGAGGCTGGTATTGCGTCTATGGCTTTTGCAAGGCACCCTAGTCGTGGGAGATAAATTGGACAGATGTACCCATTATCTTCCGAAGTCTTCATGCGCTCGGATTCTGTCATCTTAGTGCATCCTCGCTGCCATGAGCCCCGCGAGGTGTATTCGGTGCTCATTCCCTCGCTGCCCTGAGCCCCGCGAGGTGTATTCGGTGCTCATTCCCTCGCTGCCCTGAGCCCCGCGAGGTGTATTCGGTGCTCATTCCCTCGCTGCCCTGAGCCCCGCGAGGTGTATCCGGTGCTCCCTCTAGCAATAAGCAGATACCTCTCCGCGGTGCTAGGGACTAGTACTCAATCCTTGAATGTGGATACTTGAGGAAGCTAAATTCTGCAAAAATACTAGATACTTCGTCCAAATTAAACAGTTAAGACCTCTATTTAAAATGTCTACACTTCTCAGACGGCTAGTCAGCTTGAAGTTTTAAATATTCAATGCCATAAATGAGGTATAACCCTATTGTGCTTTCGAAATCAATTTTACTTGGGGTAACCATTTATTTTTGGGTTGATTGGTTCTCAGAACTAAATAAACCCGTGTAGCTAGTGCGTCTACATGATCACCTCTGCGTAAATGGACAATGGTTTAACTTCTCACTGAACCGAGCTTACACTAAGCTGTTGTCGAAATTAGCCGTACTCCTGGACTATCGACGTACAACAGCGGGAGCAAGGCCAGCCACAAGATTCTACTGATAGATATGGAAGATACCTTCCAGCTGTTGCAATTGAGGGAATAATGGTGAATATAATAGAATGGATGTTTAAGAAGAGTGGATGTTTAAGAAGAGTGGATGTTTAAGAAGAGTGGATGTTTAAGAAGAGTGTTTAAAAGCGGAAAGAGAATTCACAGCCAACCGTCCTCTATTATCACCGTTTGCCCTCCCTTTATAACGAACCACTGTTCAGCATAAACGGCTGAGCTATTTCCAATGTGCATGAAATTCATAGATAGGCTGAACTGAGCAGGTAGAGGGCCTAGAAAAAACTCTCCAAGAAAGTCAATGACACTCTAAAGAGAATCTAGAACCACCTATGATTGAGGCCAAAAAAACTCGGTTTACTGGTCCGGTTATGATTTTTCCTTAAACCTTTGGTGAGCCGAGCACAATCCGGGCCAATTCCCAACGGTTATAGGTAATATGATATGCAATGCTGAGATTGCTGTCAGGTGAAAAATTAAGATTATTGGTCAATTGTTTATTTCTTGCCTGTAGCTTACGGCACGGCACGATCAAAGTTCGCAGCCCTAGTAAGTCGCAGCCGCTAGCTGATTACTTCCCGCATATAGTGGACCTGTTTCCGCCAGAGTGAAGATATTGAGTGCTGTTTCTACGACCGGAACTAAAGACTTAATCAGAAAATGAACCGTCACATTCTCGCTCCCCTTTTCCATCGATCCTTCCGAGGGTACCAATGCCTCGGAGAGGGCTATCGACCGTCTCCATCTCATGATGCGAGCACACCTTTATCCAAACAAGCGACAGTGAGTTGAACCATGAGGCCATTTGAATATCATCATTATTCTAATAGAATATAGCTTCAGTTGGCTCTCAAGGATCCCTCGACCGAAACGATGCATTTACTGTTCCAAGGCTATCACCCTGTCTTTAAAGCACATCCTCTGGGACAGAAGGTAGAGTGCTTTATGCGTCTCAATCCTTCACAGCAAATGTGTTATTATGATGGCAGGCTGTTTGGAGGGTATCTGGCTTGCTTGATGGATCGCATCCTTGCTGATTGCTGTCGGCCAGCGGTCACTGCCTATCTCAATACAACCTTTGTGCGCTCTGTTCCGCCGACGGCGCCGATCCTTCTTCGAGCCTGGCCAGATAAGGTTGAAGGTCGTAAGATCTACTTGAAAGGCTGTGTACAGATTCCAGGTGAAGGTACTAAGCAATGGGTCAATGCTATGGAAGCAGATTCCTTATTTATTCGGCCCAAGGTCTGAGGCAAAGCAAGATATTGTGGCAGCAGGATGACGGATGGATCATGTGAAACCACCCTCACGGCAAATTTAACCTACTTATGTACTGTATCTAGGCTAGAATATGAAATGTTCACAGCTGTGGTTTAGGGTTTGACTTGAGAAGCATGAGCAGGATGAAGCGACCAGATGCCCTCTCGACATCAAAAATAGAGGCACTTTAAAGGCTTTTGCGGGCCAATTAATGTTTCCGCCAGAGTGAAGATTTCGAGTGCCAATTCTAAGACCGGAACTAGAAATTCAATCCAGAAATGAACCGTCACATTCTGCCCCCCATTTCCATCGATCCTTCCGAGGGTACCAATGAAAAACGAAACGAGCGAGAGATGTTCTACAGTATAAGCAAGGGAGACCACCATCCTCATGGCACACAACATGGCCCCAGCAGAAGCAGCAGATGATACCTCCGAATAGGAGGTTGGCCTCCATAAACCAGTAATTTTACCGAAATTATATATAATCTGCGAGTGTTGATTGGATTCAAGATACTTTCTTATGAAGGAACAATAGTGAGTTCAATTAATTGTAGCTGGATATACAATATAATTTACTTGTAAGTGCGTTTAAGAAACAACCATGACGGTACAAAAGTCAAACCTCATTTAGTTGCCTCCCAAGAATACCACAGGACAAGGTTTTGGGTCACTTGTCGACCCTCATAGCTAACAACCCTTTGAGCAATAGTCTTGATTGGGATCTTGAGCCCGCCGCTGGAGACCTGCTTTCATGTTAAGTCAGTTGTGAAAGCGCGAACCAAGCAACTTACGGAAATTTCTTGATCCAGATTCTTGAACACCATCGATTCTGAATCATAGCTTCGAGACGAGCTATCAGAGAGATAAGATAGTTGGTCTGTATCGGATACAACGAAATTGCGATCTTCGCTCGTCTCTGAAGGAACACTCTCAGATTGGGTGTCTGAATCTGTGTAATCGGTCTCATTTCCGTCCAGGTCGGAACTCGAAAGCTCCGTTTCATTGTAGAACAGTTTTGTCTTCTTGAGTATTCTTTCCATTTCAGCGAATGATACTTGGTCCATTTCTGCAAACGATACTTGGTATATATCTCAGCAGCTTTAAGTTCGATCAAAGGATGTGAAAGATTGAGCGACTATTTAACAGATGAAGGAAGAGAGCTACGGGAAGGGCACAATGAGCGGAAGCGGAACGTTTATGATCGGTTCAAGCTGCGAGTGGGAATTTTGGGGAGAAATAGAGTAAGAGCTAGAATTGAACACCACTTAGAGCTATCAAACTCTTTGAGAAGCTTGCATCGCTTTTGAGTGGGAGCTTCTTCCCACATTTTTTTGCGGCCGTTAAATCCTTGTCCGATTCCCCACAGATGTCCCTCATGATGCTTTGACCGCTAACCTGCAATGAGAACCAAAGCTAGCTTAGCATTCAACCAGGCAAGGAGAGGGCAATTACTCAAACGTTGAGAAGAAAGTTTCCTTAGCATAGCTCCAAATAGTGAGGGACCTTTTGATTGGCGTGGTTTAAGAGGAAATACCCTTCATGCTCAAAAAATATTATTAGTGTTGAATATTCATGTAGAAGAGTGCTATTAATAGAAGACTGCTATGAAGACGCACTCTCGATACTTAAGGTAGTTATTAACCCTCTTCTGTCTCGCATTAGTTTGTATCTAGGGGCTGAGTCCAAAGAAATATGTACCAGAGATCCCTCTTTTTTCTTGGGCTTGCTTTGCTAGGAAGTGTAGCTTTTGCTTCCCCGTCAGGAAAATTGTCTTTAATTAGTCGTAATTATACGGCAGGGTATCGATCTGTGGCATATTTTGTTAATTGGGTTTGTCCTACCCTAGCTGTGTGCTGAGCCTTAATACAGCTAAGAATTTTATATGACAGGCAATTTACGACCGGAAGTTTTACCCACAAGATCTTCCGGTAGAGCAACTCACACATGTTCTGTATGCATTCGCCAACGTGCATGCGGACACCGGGCGCGTTTACTTGTCAGATCCCTGGGCCGATATTGAGAAGCACTACTCCGGTGATTCTTGGGATGAGGCCGGGAACAACGCTTATGGGTGTATAAAACAACTGTTCTTACTCAAACAGAGAAATCGCAATCTTAAGGTGCTGCTTTCGATTGGCGGCTGGTCATATTCTAATAATCTCGCGGCCGCACTCGGTACTAGTACCGGCCGCTCAGCTTTTGTTTCTTCCGCCGTGAGCCTTGTGAAAAATTTGGGATTCGATGGACTTGATATTGATTGGGAAGTAAGTTTTACTCGAGGTTTGGGGATAAACGTACCTTGGCTAAAGTAATAGTACCCCTCTAATAACACTCAGGCACAAAATATGGTGGACATGCTGAAAGGCCTGCGCTCAGTAGGTCCGACCTGGTCCCATTGTCATTCGTTTAGTACTAATCATCGTCAGGCTCTTGATGATTACAGTGCCGCACATGCAAATGGCTACCATTTCCTGATAACAACTGCGAGTCCAGCCGGTCGGTTCACTAGGAATTATTTGCTGCGTGATACTGACCTTGTTTGCAGGTCCGAGCAACTACAAGAAGCTACATGTCGCAGAAATGGACCAATACATTGATTTCTGGAATCTGATGGCATATGATTATGCTGGAAGTTGGGACAATGTGACCGGGCATGATGCTAATCTATATCAATCTATTGACAACAAGCCAAGTACCCCATTCAACACGGATGTGGCAGTTGACTACTACACCACTCATGGAGTAGATTCTAGAAAAATTGTCATGGGGATGCCACTTTATGGCAGATCGTTTTTGAACACCGACGGCCCAGGTGACAGCTATAATGGGGTTGGGAGTGGCAGTTGGGAACGCGGCGTGTGGGACTATAAGTCTTTACCACTGCAAGATTCCATTGTCCACTACTTGGAGCAGTCGGTTTCTAGCTACAGTTACGACCCCACAAGACGCATGATGATCAGCTTTGACACACCTGAAGTAGCTCGGAAAAAGGCACAGTACATCATGGCGAAAGGCCTCGGCGGGGGAATGTGGTGGGAAAGCAGCAGTGACAAGGCTGGGTCTGACAGCTTGATCAGTAACGTATGTGTTATGTCGCCTACGCAGCCCTTGTGAGTATTAACGAGGGATACAGGTCATTGCATCATTCGGAGGCATTGGCTCATTGGAGACAAGCCACAACCAGCTTAATTACACCGTTTCGGAGTATCTGAACATCAGGAATGGGCTTTAACAGGAATAGAATTTTGAGAAAAAGTAGAGTGAAATAAGACTGCTCGACTGCTTGGCTTTGTTCGCTCTTTGCGGCCGCCTCTTCAATCCTTTTTAATCATAGTATGTCCGCTGCGTTTATAGAATGTTTGGGTTACCGTAGCTGTTACCTGTTAATATTCACCCGCGGCCAGGAATACGGCGTTATAAATTACGGAAAATGCATCATCTAGGCTTGACGCATTCTGAGTGGGGTTCTGGGAAAAAAAGTGTATGTCAGGGGATGAAATGTTGAAATGCTCTGCAGTGACGAACAGAATTTGAATTTGGCCAAAGTGCAGTCCGAAGATACACCCGAATTGAAGCCTGGAAGATCGGGTCGTGTTTTGCGGCGGAGACCAGACTCATTCACGCCAGTCACACGTGAAGGAGCAGTGCCAACAGGAACTCGTCATATGACAAAACCATCAAAACTTCATAACTACCAAAAAATTTAGAAGAGCTAAGATGGAAGCAATACGTAAAAGAAGCCGTCAAATGAGCCACGCAGGTTAACATCGTGTTTGGCGGGCTACGATCTCTACACCACAGCAAGTGCGACAGCTCTACAAATCATACGACACATTGGTCATTCGTTGTTCTGGTCCTTGCATAACCTTCTAGTTACATACTGTAGTAATAATAGTAATAAAGACGATCATGACTTAGTTGCCTTGAATATCCGGTGTTCTGGAGTTTGTTAAATATCAGACCTGTCCAGAACAAGCCCGAGAGTAGCCCAATATCTCGCGGTTATCGTCTTGCACCCGAGCGTATCTGTATTCTCTCCATTAGTATCACTCCTGAACATACATAAATTTCTGTCGGAAAGCAAACATACTCTAAAAGCAGTCTGAATAAGTAGACATCCATATCTTCCTTTCTGAGTGTCTTGCGGGCCCATTCTTGGCCCCCTACGCCAATACTCTTCGCGATTCTCTTGCCCTCAGGATCCTGCTCAAAGAACCTAACCAACTCAGGGATCTCATTTGCGTCTTTGTTTATGGGCACATAATGAACCCAGGGAAACAACACGTTTTCATGCCATTCCCTGAAAAACGTCAACTTGAACGGGACGCTCTGGCTGCGCATAAACGCGTAGAAACGCCCACTGTACGCGTGGCCGTCCATATCCAGCAAATACCGATATCGCCAAGCCTCTTCTTGGGGATCAGGTTTGACAAGGTCATTGAAGAACTCGTTCTCCTCCTCGCAGTCGTCGTCACAGACCTGAATGACTGTGAAGTGGGCATTGAAGTAGTTCTTGATCTCGTTGTGTGTGATGTTGCGAACTGTCCATCCACCATCGCCCCCAACGTTGCACTGAGAGTTCTTCTGTCGTTCCATGACATAATACGGTGATTGAGGCTGAGTCAAGTTTCCAATCACTCGCTGTCGGATCAGATTTCTCCATGATCCCCCCGACTGTGCCCGCCTGTCGTCCGTCCACGCCAGTAAAGTTTGTGAATCTTTGCTTCCCAGGGGACCGCAGTATCGTTATCAAAATCCGTGACGGAGTCATAGTAATAAGGAGAGGGCACTGTTATGTCCTGGAACGAGGATGGCCGTGACATGGAAAACATAGGAGTCATTTCATTTGTGATCTTAAAGGCGTTGGGATGCTCATAGACTCCGAGCCGATGTTGCAGCGAAGGACTCAGACACATATCACTAGCGGCAGTCTGGTTGTATATAAAACCTAGGGGCTTTAGAGCCCAGGATGTTGTGTTGTCTTCAGGGGTATCATCCTGAGACATAGCGGGCGAGTCCGGCGGGCATGATAGCCGAGAGTAGAGCCAGGTTTCTTGCTTTTCTATATCAATGAACCTGTTGAAATGCACCGGCACAGGCTCCTCAAGCTTTAGTTGTGTGAAATAAGATCTCAGGGCAACTTCTCTCCCGCTCAATCGAGCGTGGGCTTTGCGTCCTTTCAAGACCAGTCGATTGAGCTCCTCGTGCGGTACCACAACACGTGGCTCGTCGTGGGCGTTAAATCCTAAATTCATATTTGGCAGCCATTGTGCAAATTTTCGTAGCGACTCAATGGTGCCGTGTTCCTGGAAGTTGCCTTGGCCCCCATTCTTGTGAATCGGCAGACCATGATGAATAGCTACCTCCATCTGGACGTTTGGATGTCCCAAGTCCTCTCGCACGCGCGCCCGGATCTTGCTCGGAGCGAGGCCCCAGAAGGGCAGAATGGCATGATATATATTATCGAACTCATCAATCAGCATCGTATTGCGCTCAGTCGCAAATTGGTACCATTTATCGAAATAGGGAGGCGGTGGCATCTGGTAGCGGCGGCGGTATTCGGCAACAGCTTTATCAAGAGACTGAGATTGTCTGTCCCAAGTTCTGTTAAACATTTTTTGAGCATTGTAAGCGAGTTGAGTGACAGGGTGGTCACAGAAGCGTTCGTCACGGATGATGTATGCTTGCTGAAGTGTGCCGGCGAGTGGAGTGGCGGTAACAAGGTACATGATCACCAACACCAACGTGATTCTGGTCAATAGCCAGGCGCTTTTTGTCATGCGCGAATAGAAGTACATAGACTTCCCCCGCACCTCCTCCAGTAGAGGGTAGGGCTGGTAATCCCCGGGAACCCTGCGAAGCGCTTCGAGCCCATTCTCTAGCGCCCGAGACAAAGCCATCAGTAACCGATAGAAGCTCGTTAGCATTTTAAGAACATTCGCAGAACCAATGTGTGGAAGATATTAATTGAAAGATAATCAAGGAACAAAGTAAGAGAGATTAGCAAATATAAGTACTATTCATCTAACACTAGTGGTTGCCGGGGTGGGGACCAACTGTCGTGAGAATGCGTCATTTTCTTTCGCTGTTCCTTTTACCACCCTCTTCTATGTACTGTACGTAGGTCGGAACATCAGTGAGAATTGGCTCTGCAGTTATCTGGTCTATTATTTTTATCTCGGAGTTGCCTACTTTAAAAGAAAAAGTTTCGCGCTAAATACTGTATTTGCGAAATAATGGTCCTTCAACGTGGTTCTTGAAGGCGATCGATGTATCGGGTAAACTCAAGCCCTCTTAACTCGCTCCTTCCACATTCCCCATCTTCATCTCATGTAGCATGCTATTTGTATCCTTTATGTTCACGACCTTTATCAGACTTCGACCATGCCACTCAGATTCAGTGAAACAAAATGATAGTACAGTACCGACAGAATATTTCAACGAAACACTTCAAATTCATATTGGGGCCAATTTGGATCAGTGTTCAAATGGGAACTTGAAAGCAAAGTCAGCCTCCTCCATAATATCTCTTCCGTTGTCTCCCACTGCCCTCCCAGTAAATATCCCGTTCCGCGGGAGGCTGTACTTCTTCCACAAAACGATCGATGAATCCGCACTGTCCGTATCTGACTTATATTTTATCGTGGTGTCGTTTTCCGAGACTTTGATCGAATGGGGATCTCCTGTGATACAGGGTGTGTGTGTGTGTGAATTCATTTACCCTGACCTCTCGTCGAAACGACATGCAGGATACAACAACTATATATCTGTGTATGTACATGTAGAGTGTTCCACTTCCTGAAAACGAACTTAGAGCCTCGTCAAGGCCTACCGTGGCCTAATTGCAGTTCCCATTGTTAGGCTGCCCTTGTGGCGCGCGACTCTGAAACCGTTGTGACGCCTCAGCAAAATCCAGTACGGCCTTGACCGTCTTGGCTCGTGAGACGGTGTCTGGTTTACCTTTCTCACCTTGTTTTGAGCCTCCCAGCAGACTCAACACGCTATTGAATGCGTCTCCAACTTCTTTCCTTAACTCTCTTCGAAGCTCCCTCAGGTTTGGACAGTCCACCAGTACATGGGTGACTGTTTCTTGCGCGCCGCATACGCACTGGTCGTCGTCACTATAGCCAACTTTCTTGCGGTAGCTGGATAGCCAGTTATGGCCCGTGCGCAACTGTGTCAAGAGGTACGCGCGGTTCCTCGGAAGGTTCCCGTATAGTCTTCTCGTATGGCTTGCTGGTAGGGTGTTATCGATCTTTCGCAAGTGACCACCCTTAGTGGATGACTTCCACTCTTGTTCCCACTGCGCGTAGATATTCCGACGTATGAATGCCCTCTCCCTGGTAAGGAGCGGCCGGAAAGGATGGGTTTTGCCCGGACTGGCGGCGTTCTTTGCTAATCGATCTGCAGCGTCGTTTCCCGGATTGTCACAATGCCTTGGCACCCATTGAAGGCGGAGTGTGATTCCCGCCGCTGGAACCTCAGCGGCAGCCTGGAGGATTGCGTGAACGATACGTTGCCCTGATCTATTTCTCGCGCTCTGAACCGCCTGTAGGGCGGACCGGCTGTCGCATAGGATCGTTGCTGTCAGTTGCCTATCTGCAGTTCTTGGGTGCTGGTGGGCGATTTTAAACACGATGCTGATCGCGTAGAAGATGCCTATGAGCTCCGCGACGTGGACAGACCAGCGGCTCATCGGTCCTACTTGGATCTGCTGCGCCTCGACGATCTCTTGATTGTTGTCTAGGGCTACAGCGGCAGCACCCAGGCAGTCCTGTCGACCAGAGGCGTCAGAGTAGACCACAACGTCGGATGTTGAGCGAGTAGCCTCGGCCTTTTGTGCCGCTGCTTCGCGGTCAGACCCAATCTCGATTTCAGCAAACGGATTAAGACGCCACGGCGGTAATGGACGTGGGTCGATGGTTTCCAGTTCGTTTAGCCTCTCGATGTTCATGGTCTTCATCGCCTCCGCGAGTGGGAAGCGAGCATATGATCCGATATTATTCCTACGTCTCTGGGCTCGTGAGAGTGCACTCCAGATGGGATGATCCCTTGGCAGCGTGTGGAGGCTAGCGATGGTCCTCTGGGCTCGGTGGCGGAGACGCAGGTGGGTGGGGGGAACGTATGCTTCTACCTCCAAGGTCGCCGTGGCCGCTGTTCGGAATGCCGACAGAACCCGGATCAGCGAGGTCCTTTGTACGGTGTTCAGCTGTCGAAGGTGGGTTTTGTCTCGTAGTGGGTCGTGCCAGATCGTGGACGCATAGTCCACTACTGGTGTTACACACGCCTGGTACAGTTGTCGCATCTGTTCGGGTCGCAGGTGTCGTAGTCCATTCAAAGCGATAGTGACTTTTGTTGCGCGCTTAACAGCTTGTTGCACATGTTCCTTCCATCTTAACTCCTGGTCAAAAATCACCCCTAGCAGCTTAGCCGTGGGCGATGGCGTGACTGTCGTTCCATTCACAACAACCTGGCCATGCAATTGGTCCCCTCGTTTCCGGGTTAGGTGGATGAGTTCGGTTTTCTTAGTTGTGAAGCAGGACCCAGTTCGCCGCGCCCAGGCTTCGATGCGAGGAATATCTTCGGTCTGTATCTTGACTAAGTTCTCCTCGGCCGAGCGACCTACTCGCCAGCGGAAGTAGTCATCGATGAAGGCTGATGCGCCACCGTGAAAGGTGACGGGTTGGTCGACTAGATCGGAGTTGAAGAATGTGAAAAGAATTGGGGAGAGAGGTGATCCTTGTGCGAGTCCTGCGTTGGCCAGCGGTGCCATATCTGTGCGAAAATCGTCGAATCCTATGCTAGCACATCGGTCGCTCATGAAGCTCGCGATCCACTTTCTCGCGACCGCAGGGATCCTCCTTGCTCGTAGGCAGGCATCTAGACTCACTTGATTGACCCCGTTGAAGGCTCCTTTTAGGTCAAATGACACGAGAGTTACCACTTTGTGTTTGTACCAAGCCCGGTCGATCGCATTCGAGAGCACCAGTAAAGCTTGTTCAGTGGTTCTTCCCGGCCGTCCACCGAACTGGGTGTCCGGTAGCAGGCCGTGCTTTTCTGCTAGATATGACAGTCGGCGGGCTACTATTGCTTCGAGAAGCTTGCCTAGCGTGTTGAGGAGTGAGATCGGGCGGTAGGCCTCCGGGGCCGAATAATCCGGTTTCCCGGGCTTCCTTAGCACCACGATCTTCGCATTCCGCCATAGCTTCGGATGGTAGCCTAGGTTCATAGATACGTTGAAGATTCTAGTGATAACGTCCTTTAGGTGTTTCCACAGTTGTTTCCACACGAGCATTGGCAGGTTGTCATCGCCCGGTGCAGTAGTTCCTTTCGCCGCTGCAAGAGATCGTCGGATCTCTAGCTCAGTGATGGGTTGCCACGGGAGCTCTAGTGGTGTCGAGGTTGGTTGACTGTCGAGGGGAGTATTCATTTCAGGGAAGAAGGAGTCCATGAAAGCCTGCGCCTTCTCTTCGTTTCCAGTAAGCTCGCTTGTACCGATCTTCAGCGCGGGGATACACCCCCACGCCTCTCGGGGTTTCATGTAGGTAGCCGCTTTCCACAGTTTCCCTTCCCCTGCCTCGTCGAGGAATTGTTTCCAATGTGATGCTTTAGCTTTCTCAATGGCCCGAGTCCATGCCCGGCGTTTTTCTTGCATCTCTCGGAAAAGGGTTGTGGATGAAGGGTGCTCTCGTCCAAGCTCGGCACAGGCTGATTGCCATCTTCGGCGTAGCTGGTTGACCTCGGTCTGTTGAGCCTTGAGGTCTGGAGTGAACCACCGCTTAGAGTATGGCGTTGGACGTGCATCTGGCGTGTACCGATCTATAGCTGCTGTCGTTGCTTCAATGAGTTTCATCACAGCCTCATCTAGTGCCGGCCGTGTTTTGATTTCCTTCCATGGGCCGATCCGCCGCACCACCTCCTCGCCAATCTTGTTCCATTCTGCGCGGTCAAACGCCTTCTTTGTCTTAGTGGCGGGTTTGTACTGAGCTTGGAGGTTCCATTCCGAGTACGTGGCGCGGTGGTCTGACCCGTAGTTCTCGTGGTAGAGATGGCATTTGATGAGTAGGTCTGGTCGGTTCGTCACCGTCTGGTCGATAGTGGAGTTTCTTCCCGGGTCGTTTAGAGCCCAATATGTAGCCGTTCCTCGTGGGAGACAGCTGTGTAGACCATTGGCTTCGAAGAAGGTGATCAGGTCGCTTGCTTCTTCGATGAATCGCGGTTGGATGTGGTTACCACCCCAGGTTGGGTGATGGCGGTTGAAATCTCCCGCGAGGATGACGCTTGTGGACCTCCGGTTGTCCTGTGTAGCGGATGCGATCGTGTTTTGAATAGCGTTGAATGCTGGTTCCGCCGACGTATCTGCCGGTGTACACAGCGGGACAGATGGGATGTAAACAGAAAAGAGGAGGAGTTGAGAGTCCGCTGTCCAGATCTTGATTGCGGTAAGGTCTGGATGGTCACAGTGGATCTGTCGGTGAGAGGACGTTGAGACTCTCTTGTTAACGTAGATTAGGCTCCGGAACCGATCAGCATCAGTCTCGACGGTTGGTCGATATAGCCGCCAGGCGCTGTGGTTGACATGTGTTTGGTAGGTAGTAATTGAGGGTTCTTGGATTAGGAGCACATCCAAGTTTTGGCTTTGGTGATCGTTGATGAGTGCTTCCATCCGTGGTCTTGATTTCATGATGTTCAACTGTAGTATGCGTAGGTTCGTCTCTAACATTGATGGGGGTTGGAGGTTGCGGGAGTTGGACACTGTCGGACGCCGGTTGGGTGTTCGCCGCCGCAATCGAGGCATCTGGCCCTGATCCCGGGGGGCATCGTTGCCGCTCGTGTTGACCCGCACAGTGTCCACAGCGTGGGGTTTCCTTACACGACCACGCTAAGTGACCGAAACGTTGGCATCGGAAGCATCTCTTTTTCTTGATTTCGCGGCGTTCCACGCTTCCAATTTGTCTTTGTCCAACAAGGAGACCATTGTTAAGGACATAGTCGGCTCCCTCAGCGGAGTCGAACCAGATACCCAGAGATGCAAATTTCCCTAGCACCTTATCCTTCCTTTTCAGCCATGCCAACTCTTCGATCCGGAAGCCGCGTTCCGCTAAGTCATTTTCTTCCATGATTTTCTCAATAGCCGGAGTGGTAGCGTTTTCTAGGTCGAAGTCTTCTGTCGGGGTACGGTGTACGACGACGCCGAATCGTGGTTTTACTAGCTTCGTGTTGTTCCCTAGCTCGCTTAGCCATTCGGTGTTGTTGCGGGCTACTTCGGCCGACTCCGTGTCCTTGAAGCGGATAATATAACCCGTCTTGGTAGTCCCGATGCCGGCAACCTGAGCATCTTGCGTGGAGGGGGTGTTCAGCAGGGCGGTGCGGATGTGGGTATTGGCGGCCTCAGTGGGGAGGTATCGGCAGAAGGTATTCCCGTCGGTGTTGTTATTATCTCTTAGGTCTACTAACGACCTCTGAGTGCTGATTCGGACGCAGTTCCGCTCTTTCTCGGGCGATTGATGGCTAAGTTGGGTAGGATTGTCGCTGCCGTTGGCTGCCACTGCAGCCCACGATCTGGTTGGGGTTGCTGGTGTCAGGGCTTCAATTTGTTCTCGCAATGCTCTGATTTCGTCGTGGAGCTTTTCGTTCTGATCTCGGAGAACGTTCTGGCCATGTTTAACCTCTAGGATCTCGGCTTTGGTGGATTCGATGACTGTAGTTTGGTGGGAGATAATTTCCTTCAGGCTGTTGATGAGCTGTCGCACCTCCTTAGTCGTCACCCGTCCGTTATTGTCTTCCGAGCCTGCAAACTCGGGGTTCGAGCGTGCAGCAGTGGTGACTTCGTTTCCATGGCGAAGGCTTCTTCTCTTTCGAGGCACAATCGACGGTTGGAAGTTTTCCAGCGAGAACAGCTGTGCCCCTCCTTGGGAGTTTGTGGGGGAGGGCTCGGGCCCTCCCGCGGGTGGGTCGGCCATCGGTCCGGGTTTGGTTCCCGTTCGGCACACAACCACGTTTTGTATCGCAATAGTATCAACCACAACACTCCTACTGTCGTTCCGCCTGTCGATGACCTTCTGATTGTACTCGCCACAGTACAGACAAGTGCCTCGACCCATACAGAGAAGTCGGTTTGTACAGGACCGCTCGAAATCAGTTTCACCTCTTTGCTCTTTTCGATTCTTTCTCGAACTCTATTCTGAAACGCGCTAGTCTATTCTTGATTTAGCTTTTCGTAAGGTCGTGAAACGTTATTTAACACAAAGTCACATGGTTGTTTTTATTGTAATATATTTGAAATAAAATACATTTTCTTACTGATTTGGGGTCTCTCATAAGTGGTAGGAAGAGGCTTTCTTTTCAAGGGAAACAGGTAAGGTCAAAATACGGAGTACGCTAGAGTTGTATGGTCATCACTCATTATGAGAATAGACAAGAAAGCAACGCAACATTTAACTCTGTTGATATGTCATGGTCATGAAATCGGGAAGATTGGCTCCTTGATCAGCTTGATCAGTCACCTGATTGCGGGGTACACTGACAATTTCGCTACGACCAAGCATCTGCCTGATCCAACAACGGTCATGGCATCGACAATATCTTTCGGCGATTCAAATTCTGGCTTACAAGCGGGTATCATCAACGGCAGTGTCACGTTCTGTAAGAAGCTACTAATAATTCTATCGTACCCTGACTGATCGCGGAACTGCCTCAAGTACATTCGGAAACGTCATTGAATCAAGCGTGCCTGCGGGATTTGCGAACGACTAGACCTCAAGATGACAAGGACCGTATTGAAAAAACCAACGGAGGGTTGCTTAAAGACTCATATCGCTGGATTTTAGACAACGAGAAGTTCAAAGAATGGCAAGACAACGAGAGCAGCCGCCTCCTCTGGATCAGAGGTGATCCCGGCAAAGGCAAGACAATGCTCCTGTGCGGTATCATCGACGAATTGACCCGATCGATGGGGGATAATGCAAATATCGCCTTCTTTTTCTGCCAAGCTACCGATGTGCGAATCAATAGTGCTGCGGCCGTTCTACGTGGCTTGATCTATTCGCTAGTCGAGAAGCAGCCATCCCTTCTCTCCCATGTACGGAGCCGGTACGATCAAGCGGGAAAGACGCTGTTTGAGGACATCAACGCATGGAATGCCCTCTCAAAAATCTTCAAAAACATCTTGAAGGATCCGACCTTGCAGAACACTTACTTAGTAATCGATGCACTAGACGAGTGCACAACGGATCTCCCTTTCCTTCTGGACTTCGTTGTTCAGGAATCGTCTATCTACTCGGACGTGAAGTGGATTGTTTCAAGCCGAAACTGGCCTGATATTGAAGAGCGTCTGGACAATAGAAGCCAAACAGTACCGATCTCATTAGAGTTAAATGGGGCATCTGTGTCTGATGCTGTGAAAAAATTCATTCGGTATAAGGTTTACGAATTGGCAAAAGTCAAAAACTACGGCGTTGAAATCCGCGATACAATTTACTGTCACTTGTCGTCAAACTCGCAAGACACCTTCCTCTGGGTGGCCTTGGTTTGTCAAGATCTCAATAGAACATCGCGGAGGCATGTCCTTAAGAAGCTTACGGAGTTCCCTCCTGGATTAGATGCTTTTTACGGTCGAATGATGGATCATGTTCGAAAATCGGAAGATGCTAAGCTCTGCAAGCGAGTGCTGGCCGCTATATCAATAGTATTTCGGCCTATCGCCCTTAACGAACTATTCGCCCTTTTTGACACAATTGATGTTCTTTCTGGTGGCTATGGAGCTTTAGTGGAGATTATCGCAATTTGTGGCTCATTCCTAACTTTACGAGAGAACGTTATTGTTTTCGTCCATCAGTCTGCAAAGGAATATCTACTCGAAAAAGCGCACAGCGATATTTTCCCTCGGGGTCAAGAAGCGGAGCATTTTACAATTTTCTCAAGCTCTCTGCGAACAATGATCAAAACACTTCGACGCAACATGACTAACATTGAGGATTGTGAAATCATTACCGAGGAAATCATGAAACCTCTTCCAGATTCTCTGGCAGCCGCAAGATATGCGTGCATTTATTGGGTTGATCATCTCCAGCGAGGTTGGTGTGATATAAGCGTAGAGCACCGGCGTGATGAGAGAAAGCTCTTCCAATGTTTTCTACAACAGAGATACCTTCACTGGATAGAAGCTCTGAGCATTTTTAGGAGCCTAAGTAAAGGCATAATGACGATGCTAAAGCTACAGAAATTGCTGAGTGTGAGTAACGATACGATTGTGGAAGATGTGCAGCTAATTAAGAAACGACTCTCAGCAACAAGGAGAATCGGATGGCCTTTTGAAACGCGTTCATGACGGTTACCGGTTCATACGATACTTCCGACGACCAATTGAAAGCATGCCCCTTCAAGTTTACAGTTCAGCCCTAATATTTAGCCCAACTCAAAGTATTACGAGAATATGTTACCAGAAAGAGAAGCCAAGCTGGGTTTTAAACAGCCCGGTAGTAGTTGAGGAATGGACTTTATGTCTTCAAACGCTCGAAGGTCATTATGAACCGGTTACATCGATTGCCTGGTCGTCAGATGGAGGCCGACTTGCATCGTCGTCAAAGGATGGGACAGTCAGGGTCTGGGATCCGATCACTGGCCAATCCATATCAACTCTTCAAGGGCATAGTGAATGGGTTAACTCAATTGCCTGGTCCCCAGACGGAAGCCGACTAGCCTCGGCGTCATATGATAAGACTATCATGATATGGGATCCGGTCGCTGGTCGGTGCACATCAACTCTGAAGGAGCATAGTATGGCGATTAAAACAATTATTTGGTCACCGGATGGAAGTCTACTCGCATCAGCATCCTACGATCATACTGTCAGGGTCTGGAAGGCGCATACTAGCCAATGCGAGTCTACCCTCATGGGGCACACTGACTGGGTCACCTCGGTCGCTTGGTCTCCAGATGGAAGCCGACTCGCATCAGCGTCCCGTGATGGGACCGCCGTGATCTGGGATCCAACTACTGGCCAGCACTCGATTACCCTTGAGGGATATGATGGCGCCATTGAGTTGCTTGCCTGGTCGCTAGATGGAAGCCGACTCGCATCCGCGTTCTACAGCGCCGTCTGCATCTGGAATCCCGTCTCCGGCCAGCTCGTTTCAATCCTCAAGGGGCATCGTGACTCAGTCACGTCAATCGCTTGGTCTCCAGACGGAGACGGCCAACTCGCATCAGCATCCCTGGATGAGACTGTCCGGATCTGGAACCCGGCCACCAGTCAGTGCTTGTCCACCCTCGACGAGCATGATGAGCCAGTGAGATCAATTGCCTGGTCCCCAGATGGAAGCCGACTAGCATCAGCATCGGATGATGAGACCGTGAGGATCTGGGATTCGGCTGCTGGTCAATACGATTCGATTCTCCACGGCCATCGCGCCCCAGTCACGTCGATCGCCTGGTCGCCAGATGGAAGTCAACTAGCGTCAGCGTCGTTTGATGAGACCGTGAAGGTCTGGGATCCAGCTGCTTACCAGTGCGCACCAGCACCCAAGGGACATAGTCGCCCTATCACCACAATTTCTTGGTCACCAGATGGAGATCGACTAGTATCGAGGGCGTTGGATCGCACATTTAAAGTCTGGGATCCGGTTGATGGTCAATGCGTATCAACTCTTGAGGAGTTTTGTGGTCCGGCCACGCCGATTACCTGGTCACCAGATGGGGCTCGACTCGCATCACCTTCTAACAATGCCATCAAGGTCTGGAATCCGGCCACCGGGCAGTGTGCTGCCAGCCTCGAGGGGCATACTGGCTATGTCACGTCAATTGCTTGGTCGCCGGAGGGCAGCCGACTCGCATCAGGATCGATTGATACAACCATCAGGCTCTGGGATACGACTACTGGCCAGCACACGATAACACTTGACGGATATAGCGGCAAGGTTGAGGGATACAATGGCACAGTTGATTTAATTGTCTGGTCGCTGGATGGAAGCCGACTCGCATCCGCGTTTTACGATAGTACCGTCAGCATCTGGAATACTGCCTCCGGCCAGCTCGTTTCAATACTTAAGGGGCATCGTGACTCAGTCACGTCAATCGCTTGGTCTCCGGACGGAGGCCAACTCGCATCAGCATCCCTGGATGAGACTGTCCTGATCTGGAACCCGGCCACCGGCCAGTGCGTGTCAACCCTCGACGAGCATGATGACTCTGTGAGTCTGATTGCCTGGTCCCCAGATGGAAGCCGATTAGCATCAGCATCGGATGATGAGACCGTGAGGATCTGGGATGCAGCCACTGGCCGCTGTGATTCAGTACTCCTTGTTTATTCTTCTCGCCTTCTGCAATTTGATAAAATCATACCCAGCCACCTTCACACCGACTATGGTACAATAGACATAGAAGGTACTGATGCTACTACTTCAGGCTCTCACTTTTCGACAGTGCCTGGAACCTATAAATATGATTTCAGTGAAGACTTTTCCTGGGTAACGTGTAATGGGTCAAAACTGTTGTGGCTGCCTACCGAGTATCGACCGCCTTCCGATTCTCTGTTTGCACAATTTATGACCACTTTGGCAATTGGTTGTTCATCAGGTCGTGTGATATTCCTCGCGCTCTCAGAGCACAATCCCCTATCTAAGGTATAAATAGCAGTTACGTCACTCTGAATCTACATTTTCCAATGCTTATCACATTCTCACTAGCTATTGAACAATTCTTACGTATTAGGTAGTGTAGTGTGGAAACCGCTAACGAGTCTGTAGGAGGTTGTTAGCACTGTGGTCCGTCTTGGGTGCTTGGGTCTTCTTTAAATTCTTGGCATACAGCATTTGTTTGTTGAGCACTCCAAAATACCGCCCCCTTCAATACAACCGTTTTAAATAACACCTCCTCAGCTGATGTGCTTCTTCCTATAGGGATCCTGCCAGCAATACGGGCCAAGGGGACAGGATGGTGAAGGACAACGCATCAAGCTGTAGACAGCCCGCCAGATAGACTGTTGCCCGATACATTTCCTTCGGCATCAAGTTGTGCATCTCGCTCATTAAGCATCTTTCTTGTCACAGATGACTTTCCTCGTTTCCCGCTCCTGGAAAGGTCGTCCTCTATATAGTTAAAGACAATCACGAGCCCCAGTTCCTTGCCCCGAGTATAAAGTTTACCCCAGGCAAGTAACTGCTTCTCTACTGCTGCCCAATTAACGTCGGGAGAGTTATACCGCTTTTTTAGGTCTGGTTCTTTGCTATCGTTGACCGACACGTCTACAGACGTATCATCCGATCTAACCCTTCTATTATGGGAGACTCTCTCCTGGAGTACCTTCTCCAACTTACCTATAAGGACCGAGGCTGAATAAGCGCTAGGAGTCAGGGCTACATCCTACTACGTATCCTCCGACCTGAACTGGTTATTCACCTTCACCTTTCACTAGACTATATACCGGATGAAGTATCGTGGAAGCTCGTCATCTGGTTTACAGTATCTCCCTCACACTCACAGAGTTAAAGAAGCCTTGAATTGTCTTGCCGTGGAAAAGACGGGTTTGCAGGGCCATCCTGGGTATAGAAATCCGGCGAAGGGCTAAATCCATAATCTGAGGGTGGTGTGTGATCATAATATCCTGGAGTGGGTGCGTATTGCCAATCCTGGTCCGAAACATCGGGTGCACGAGATTGTGAATCAAGATGGTCGGCAAATCAGTCGTCAAAAATGGTCAGCACTCTCCTAGTGAACGTAACGTTAGCACACTAGGGCTCTTAGTTTCAGCAGGCGGTGGGATCAGCAAGGAGTCCAGCATCTTGAAGAATCGATAGTAACCGAGTTGTGAAGACACACCCACCAGATACAGTCATTCTTCTAACTTGTGCACGACTTTTCGCTCATTCAACAAGGTCTGTCTGTGGAATGAGAGCAGTTGAACGAAGGTGGGAATGTGACTGGCAAAGGTGGCCAGACAACCAACTGCCCCTTTTTCTTGACATGTTTGGCTTGTTTGTTGTGGAGTAGTTTCTAGAACGGATCGTTCATACAAGACAATACAAGGGCTATTTTTATATGGGTATTTAAAAAGGTATTAGAATACAGCCAAGCACTGAGTCAGGGGTAGCCTAACTAGAATCGGCATAGTCCAAAGCAAGATAAAGTTCAACAACGAAATAAAGAGAATGAAACAGATGAAACTGATTTCGAGCAGCCCTATAACCCACTTGATATCTGAAAACATTATAATTGGAATTACAGTTGGACTAGCCGCGAGGGCCAAGATAGCTTTTCAAAAAGATCGAAATAAATTTCGGCTTTCGCTGTAAGTCTCAGTTTTGATCTATCAGTCTCAAGTTCACGAATGGATCAGATCACAGGTGCATTTAGCTACTGAGGAAGGCCATGAAGTAGATGATGAGTCTTTTGTCGAAACAGAAGCTCCCGACTGGCTGGCTGTGGGTGTGGCAATGGAGATTTGCCTTGTGGTGGGAATTGTGGTTGCACTCTGTGATTGGCCAATGTCCATTACGCTGCACTTGCTACCCACATTAAAATCATCATCCAAGGCACACGTGGCGGTGGTGCCCTGTTGGTTTAGGAATGAAACAGCTCCATTTCTATTGATTTTGACCCATGCCACTTGCCGCCCGTTCTCGGTGCCACATATATCGAGCTTCAGCGTCTCATTATTGACTTGGGTACCATTCATGGCAAAGTCTAGTAAAATTTCAGTCACTTGACTTCATAACAGTGAGATCATCAAAACCTACTTGAACAATTTTTCCCATCGAGACGTGCGAAAGATGCTGAATAGCCTGTGCACCCATAATTACTCTCAGACCATATCATACATTGGCCGTTGTTGTTAATAACAATCAGAGAGCCACTTAAAGCGACATTGGCGAAAAGGCAGAGAAAGGGCGCATAGTATAGAAAGTCCATCTTCTGATTGAAAATCTCAGCGGAGGGACTTGAAGTCGTGTGATGGACTTGCGAAGGAATTTATGGCAATTAGCGAGTAGATTCCACGGGATGAGATCCTGCAAACCTTTCACCAGTGCCTTTTTCTTCGATACCATTCTCATTCCATCCAAGAGCCTCCATACCTCACTTATCTTTGGCACAGAATCAACAGACCGCATAGTGCATACTTCATTATGCACTAAACCCCAGCAATTAATATCGTTTAAATGATCCGAAGCTCCTGCCGGTCTCAAGATATCTTGAATTATCACCTAATTCTTCCGCGCCGACAATCCCACAGATACACTTGCTCATCAACTTTGTCTTTGTAGGATCTGTCGAATGAGTATAGAATGAGTATAAGTTTCAGGGGACTCGTTAAACAGATATTTCCATCCGAGTAAAGAACAAAATGAAATTAAAGACAGAACTCAGCAGCCTCACCATACCTGTGCACCGATGCCATATGAGATTCCACCGATTTAAATTCCACCGATTAAGATTCCACCGATTAAGATTCCACCGACTAAGATTCCACCGTTTAAAATTTCACAGTTTAAGATTTCACCGTTTAAAATTTCACCGTTTAAGATTTCACCGTTTAAGATTTCACCGTTTAAAATGTCACCGTTTAAAGGCACAGTGTTAGGCTCCCAGTTTATTGACATATCATGTATGATGCCTCTTTGACCTTTGACCATTGCTGTCAAGTAATTTCTGTTTTTTCAATGCTCTACGTCGCCAGTTCTAGTCATTAAATGAAAACTGCAATTTTAAACTCCGCGGTTCACTTTATCAGGCGGATACGGTTGCTTCCAGGATCATGGAGCCAATCAAATAGATTGATTGTCTTTTCACTTAGCTTCGATGAAGGACTGTATTTAGAACTCTATCATAAACTAATAATTGACCTTGCTCGGTACGGTAAATATAGCTCTACCGATGCAGCCTGCAAACTTCCACCACATCGTCTTGCATCTACGATTCAGTAGTTGCGAATTTGCTCATAGCTCTGAGGCCTTCTCCCATGGTGAAGAGTATCCAAGGAATAGGCAATAATGCAGAGGCAATGAGTCCGAGTAAACTAGAGGCCCAACCGGCGCCAAGGCTTGTATACACTATTTAAACAATTAGCCACATGTATTCGTCGAAAATGGCTGTACACACTCACTTGAAATGGCGAACAACGGAAACGCAGCACCAAGTCCGTACCTGGCCAGACTATTCGCACTCATTGCGCTTGCAACTGTCAAGCCACTGTAGGTATCCACGATATACTGAGCCGTACTTAGAAAGACGCACAGGTTCCCCCAGGCAAACAACATTATCGCAACCAAAGGACTTGCCCAAGAGATATCGACTCGAGATGTCCAACCAAACCAAAAAAGGCCAATAGGTAGTCCAATACTACCAATCAAAGCCGGGTAAAGACGTAATTCAGGCGGTACTTGTCTTCCACGGTAGCGCGCAGATTGTCGGCGGTATAAAAATATGTCGCACAAGACCACGGTGACGGTTCCGAATACGCATCCAACAACTACAGACAAGAATATCAAACCAGAGTCCTCGAGTCCAAGCCCGTAGATACCCTGGAAGATAAGCGGGATTGCAGCAAAGAAAGAGAAGAGAGTTGCGAATGCGCATGCCACGTATAGGGAAATAAACGAAACGATTGGCTCAAACAGAAGCATTTGAATCGGTCGGAGCATGGCGATAGTTGTAGGGCTCTTCGGCTTCGCAGAAATTGATGAGCTTGAATCGTAGACTCGCCCAAGCTTCCTCGAGCGCCGGTGCTGAATCACTGGGTGAAATGTCTCTCGAGCAAACAAAGTTAATACAATCGTCAAAGTAGCAAGCATTAACAAGGTCCATTGGGTCCAACGCCAGCCCTTGCGATTCGTGATAAAACCTCCAATGACGGGCCTGCACATACGGTTAGTGGTTTGCATATATCTTTTTATTGGAAGTCAAAACATGCCCTAAGCCGGGACCGAGAAATGGCGCCAGAATAAAAATAATGGAAGGGATGGCTCGTTTTTCCGGTCTGAATGTTTCATTGATGGTCCCTGCAGCTATGGCCAAGGATGATGCGAAGCAGAAGCCTGCAAGGAACCGCAGAACACAGACAGCCCAAAAAGTCTCGCTCAATGCAACGCCGACTGTAAACATGCTGCCAAGGAGAACAGTGCCGACGTAGACAGGGTATCTTCCAACTGTCTCAGACAATGGCCCTCCTATGAGAGGGCCTAGCCCCAGAGCAAGCACATAAAGTGACAGTGGAAGAACTGCAACCGTACTTCCGACTCCAAACTCCTCCATTATTTGGAGATGGGCAGGGGATAGAATGGATACACCAATCGAGCTATTCCAAGACGTGATTAGTTGAAGAGAATATCAATATCACAGGAAAGATAATGGCTTACGTTGTGAAGGCCGCTGACGCCATCATCATCACCTGTTGGATTTTGAAACGCGTTGGCCAGTTGTATGGATTGTAGGGATCGTCATCCCATTCCCATGCAACAACACCATTTGCTTCTTTACTTTCACAGGATTCAGTGTCGTACGACGAACCATCTGAGGATGCTGATAAATGGCCATCTTCATTTCGATTGCTTTCCAGATCGGTATGAGTCATATTTGTGCAGTTTGTACTAGGAAAAAGCATCTGTCCTCTCAGTTGATGGGTGACGAGGGAGCTTCGTGAATATATACAAAGTGAGAACCTGTATATAGCTTTGAAAATGTTCAAGATACATAAGTCTAACAATCTGTTAATTTTTGGGGGCTGAATAGGATTAACGTATCTAACCGAGATGTAGGACGGACAAACGTTTAACCGTTTGTACAGAAGGAGGTTACTCAGAAACGTTTATTTGGCTGATTCCATGCTCCTGCATGATGCAGTGTTAATGACAGTTTATTTCTAATTTCTTCTGCTTTCACCACCGGCGACGGGCATCATAGTCGGTTTGGAGCGAATGTCGCCGTCATAATTAAATTATAAACCAAGGAATGCTAGAGTGGAACGGCTTCGTATTTTGATCGAGTTGGGTAAACCGACATTCTTTGCAACGGGCGAGAATACACGGGAAGATCGATATATTCTCCTGGAGATTGGATGCGAGCAAATTTGAGTGAGCACAGGCGAGGACTTGTACGCTTATGATATAGAGCTGCCAATAATTGGGCGACTGAAACAGTCTATGCATATATCAATAATTCGATCGATCAACTCGAAAGCTGGCTCTCCAGATCTGGTGGTCAGTCTCCAGGAGTACAGACACGGTCCACTTCCTCAATTCGCCCTTGTCGATCTAACCCCCATCCCGGTGATATGAAATGCCCTGTGTGATAAAACGCCCACCAGGTACCTGCACATTTGGGCACCGCCATTCCCAATGCGCATGTTGGATATTGTACTGTATGAGAGCAACAGAAACAAAACTGTCTCAATCTCTAAACTCCATAGCCCCTTCAAACCAAATATTACACCTAGTCAAAGTGGCGAAATACGGGACGACGAGCAACACCAAAAAATCCGCTGTGTACTACTATGACGCCAAGATCATCCACAAAAACGTCTTGGATGGATAGGAAAGACGATACGACATCCTCTCACCCGTCTCGTTACCTATGCTGGGCTCTGCGATTATCATCATAATGAGCGGTGAAGAGACTGAGGCACCGATCACATTATCGAATCGGAGGCTCCTAGGAATAAAACCGGTATCGGCCTCTGCCATCCGCGTTATAGATAGTCGCAGTACAGTACGGGATTAGAAAGAGGCAATAATTTTATTATAAGGGATTGCTCTCTACATCGATCCACTCTTCGGAGTCATCGCTTGAAACCCCCATTACTTCTCGAAGAAATCCAGCAAGACAACTGTAAAGCTCCACATACTCTTTAGTTTGCGGTACATAGTGGCCCCCACTGTACTGATAGAGCCATGGGCTCTTGCATTGCCGTGCAAGCCTTTTTGTTTGATCTGGAGAAATCGTTGCATCTGAAAGGCCTATAGTGTGGAAAGTTGGGGTCGCGATCTTTGGCGAGTAGAAAGCTTTATAGCACATATTTTCCAGCTTGAATCCACTAAGGCATATGGCAAATATTAGTTTTGGGTGGTTCACCTAGGGATCTCCCGTCAGTTTTGAGATTATGGGCATGTAGGATGTTGGGGCTGTACTGTACCATCAATGGAAATCCATTAATTCTATCTCTCTTTTCCAGAAGCGACGTGATGATGGCAGTCATAGCGGCACCAGAGGAAAATCCAATTATGCCGCTAAAAGGGCCTTTTTCTTCGATTGTATCAAGAATATACTCAATGGACCTCTGCAAGCCCCGTATTTCATCGTGTTCAGGCTCACCATAACCCCAAACCCGCTGGTAAGAGATCTTGTCATTATCGGGATAGGCTGGCCAAAATCCAGACAGGAATTCAAACTCAAACTCCACTTCCTCTGACAGACTGTGGAAGATCTCTCGCACATACCGAGTTTTCGGCTTGAAAATGTCTGCGGATTGACCATGTCCTAATCTCGTATTAGTAGACGCGGCAAAAGGCCCCTTTGGGGGTTGGCAGCAGTCGAGTTTTACCATGAAGCATTAACACTTTGTGAGGATTGTCCGCCATATTTGAACGTGGAAGGGATATTAGTTTGATGGCAAGTCCTACTTATACTACTGTAATCATAAAAGCATAATAACAATTAACCTGCATTACAAATATTTACAATTTGGGGCAAAACGGGAAGCCCAAAGTCTTGCATAGGTCATTCCATTATGATCGTCTCTCCAGCTTAAACTACGGCTGCTCGGTTATCACCCGAACTACTTCTACCCGCAGTTAATATTAGAGAATTATGTTAGTCATTTCCAGCTTGCAATTTGGGTGCGTAGGTTGGAAGAGCGTTGAAGCATATGGTCGAAATAACGATGATAAACACTAGTCGTAGACGGATGGACTGCCAAACTAACCTTGCCTAGTGAGGGTAATCAAAATATTAAACGTTAGTTCAGGGCGACCTAATAATGGTGCTGAATTGGAATTCGCAGTGCACCTGCATTAACGTTTAACCTTTCAAGAGGCAGTACACTGTCAACTGATTCGCAGGTATTGTTTCGAAACATACCGGTTCCAGCAATACCACATGAACAAAGTAAAGGTGGCTGTGCGAATATTTGTGGCTGTGCAAGGATGCTGTGTATTATATAACAGTTGAATACGAAGCTTTCAGTACAAAATTAATTACAGTACTACTATGATCCTACAAGAAACATAAAGCCCGGTTTTGCTGACGTCCCTCCCATGCTGATTCCTACTGCCTTCTGGATAGACGTAGCATCAGAACACGCTTAATGCGTGTAACGCGATAGTCACAAGGTCCTGTGAAAGTCCCCTCTCCTACACACTCCCTGATACTTTCTTAGCCGGTAATATAGAATAATTAGATATTCCCTTCAAGTTTTGGCCCGATTACTCAGCTAAAAGAGCTTATGGCAGAGCTTCGTGAGTGGCTATGTGTGCTAAAGGAGCTTGAACAGGGATATGAGTGTATGCACCGTCGATATACATGGGTTGCGCTATCAGTAATCGTATATACTATCAAATACTACAGTATCAAGACAGAGCTAGAGAGGAAGATAGGTATCTCAAAGCCTCACTCCGGCCGCCGAAAGAAGCTAAATGATGATCAAGCCCGAATCCTATAGCTAATTACTGAGTGGCCCCGAGTGACCTGTAAGGATCTTCTCTCTGGGGTTCTCGCAGAGAAGGAAGATTCAGTTCGACAGCTACTTAATGCAGAGAATATGTGAATTCGGCGACGATTGGTATACCACTGTGCAGTACTGTTGAGAGAAGAACGATACTTAAACTGAACGAAGCGGTTTAAACCCCTTCGTTATCGGGGATTTACATCGTTGATTTCTACTGTACAATAACACTCGCTTCTGTTGTACAGTATTGTACAGTAGTGAGTTCACACATGGGTTACAGTAAACTATGTGAACAATGTTCACTTTCTCTTTCGCCTCACAGTCCTCACTATGAAAAAAGTACCGCACCCTGTGAGGCTATTGTCTCCCCACGTAACTGACCAAATCCACCGTGAAAGGTTGTCGTTTATTAATTATGGAATTCGCACCTATAGAGAGGAAGAAGAGATTAAACCTGGAATGCTAATGTACGTTTCAACAAAGAATGAATTACTTTCCTGCAAAATTCTTTGGCTACAGTACTGTAACCTCAAAAATGGGGGAAAGAAGGGGGGGGGGGGGGGGGGAGAGGAGGATGGAAAGACCGATTCGCTACGTAGCTACCCTCACTTTAGATACTGCTGTTTACGGACAAGGCAATCGAAGATCTATCAGGTACTTGCAAGGATATTCAATAAGTTCGGTAAGGTGAGCTCCATAAGACAGAACCTTCAGCGTGTACTCCCATAGTCTTAGCCTCAAATCAGGAAAAAAGTTTACCAATGGGAACACCTCCGCCAACAGAACCATTTTCGTCGAATCGAATTGTACACAATGCCTCAAAGTTGAGACACACCAAAAGGGCTTATCAAAAATTGCAGCGCAGAAGAGAGACTCTGTTCAAGAAAGCTTTCGAATATTCCACCCAGTGCGATGCTGATGTTCAGCTTGTCATACGGTCGAAGAAGACCGGCCAGATTTTTACTTTGATCTCGAACACAAAAGGGTGGCCGCTCTCTGCAGCCGAGCTGGTACGTTGGCCCCACTGAAGCTTTCCAATGGCTGCGTATTGGCCACTGACTGAGCAAGGACATAAACCACCCATTACCAATCCGAAAAACGATGGATGAGCTTGCAAGGCAACATAAGAAGCAAGATTCTTCTGTCAGTAACGACGACATATCCAAATCAAATAGCAGTAACGAACCGATTCTGATGCATGGATCTGAGTCTCATTGAAGTAGGAGGCAGGCCAGGCAGACTGTGGGGCTATGTGATTTGTGTCTTTAAAATACATACATACTTCGGTAGACATACGATAGATCTCAATCTCCAATGTTCCACTACTGTAGCTTACAGGAAGCCCGTACAGTATGTACCCAGGAAATGTGTAGGACTAAGCTTATCCAGAAGGGTCCATCTGAGATTGGGAGCTCCCGTCCAGGAGCGCAATCAGTGTCCCTGGGGAACTTCAGCGGTTCATGAGTGTAGGAGACATCCTGTAAATCGACAGACCTCTTGCTAGGAAGGCCTTTGGCTCATCTCGGCCTGGTGTGGACTTTGTAAAGCGTACGAAGGCCAAATAAACTAGTATAATGCATTCTTTAGCTCAAATTGAGTCATTTTCAATAGCAAGGTATTATAGGTATTCGATGGCATTCTTGGTGGTAAGAATACTCGCAAAAGCCCTTTCGAATTAATCTGCCTACCAGCACTCACGCCACTTCCATGGTTTCCAACGGATCAGAAATTTTCTTTGTGTTCGACGAATTAAGGTCAAAACGGAGGGGTATAACGGTCTCCGACCAGTGAGCGACCAGTGAAGACGGAATACCAATCAATTCCCGACAAAAATGTCACCACTCTTATCTCATAACATGAGGTGTATAACCGGGAAAATGAAGCACGGAAGTCGGAGCCTACCTAAGGTTGCGAAGGGCGGGATCAATGACATTCACCTCTCGCGCATTTGGTTTCTGGTGATTCTTCACTGCCCGCGACGGGTACCTCCGATGGCGGTCAGCGTCGTTTCTCATACCAGCTACTTGGCTAGCTTGGGCCAACCTCTGGCTCCTTCGAGCACTCGATATGCAACGCACAAGCTGACCAGAAGGACTTGATCGGTTTTTCTTTCTGGAGGAGCTTTCTGACTTCTTTGAAGTCTTTTGAGCATAACGTTGTCTAACCGCGTCCACAGTTCTTTCAGGGAAAAGTTCCTGAATACAACTCCACGAAAGTTTTTGAGAGTCTCTCAACTCTACCAATCGTTGCTCATCCTCAGGAGACCATTCCTTTCGCGTGATAGTTTGCCGTGCCTTTATAATCGTAGGTTGCGGAACGGCATCGTCTATTGTCGTAGTACTTGTTGCAATGATACCATATGCGTGCTGTAGCGTCCTTGTTGCAAGTTGAACAACTGCAAGGTCTTCCTTGAGAGAATCGGAATCGGAAAAGCCATTAGAGAACTTGGCCTCAGCAGTGGTAAGGTCGTAAAAACGCCTCAGGTATCTGATCACGTTCTCAAATGCGGCAAGATGATTACCTCCATGACCGTCTTCGACATAACGTGTGGAAGCTTTCGCTAACGGTTGGCTCATTCTTTTTCCGCGCGACTTGGTCACCTTTGTGGTGTTTCGAGCGCGATGTTGACATGATCTTATGGAGGGGATCGGCGAATTTTGCAACGTTCGTTCCTCAAGGTTTTCGAGAAGCTGCCTGTGGTCATGCTCATCGCTTTGTCCAGTGTTTTCGTCTCCAAAAACATCAAAGACTCGCGTTGAACCAGGGCCATCTAGTCCAGTGACGGAGGGAGTACTACTAACTCGGGAGGATGAGTAGAGCGCAACTTCCTCAGGGTAATCGGGGTAATCATTGGTGGCTACTGCATCACAATGGTAGATTTCAGACGAAACAGGTCGAGAGTGATGTCCATGTTCCAATGCTGGATATTTTTATATTAATCAGAGACGTTCGAAGCAAAACCTTGGCAATGCTACTGACCAGAATCAATGACTCCATATTCTGCTCGTGGGAAACTGTTCTCTGGGATATGCCTACTCGCTTCGAGGTTTTCTCTGAGGCTGGTTTGTTCTGCGAAAACGGTGGTCCCCGATTCAGAACCAATGGAAGGGCATCTTTGCGGACGATTCGACGGTGGCTGCCAGAATCTTTGATGATTCAAGGTTACCATTGTGAAAGTATAAGCTTTTGTTCTTGGGCAGAAGAATGTTAAAGTAGGAGAAAATGAGACTGATCTTGATAGGATGAAGGAAGGGTAACCGCAAGGAGAAGATCATTGGGATATTTATATTTCAGACCCCCGTACCATCACACTATGAAGCGGAGAGTTAGAAGCTGCCATATCAGATCCATAGTCAATGAAATGAAACTAATAAAACCAACTATGTAATCGCGCGAGCTCCAGACCATTCAGTGTAGCCAATTGGAAACTCCTTCAAGCTCTCAGTGGGTCAACGGAGGGGGCGCTCCCAGGAACATGAGATCGATATGGATCACTTAACGAATGTTTCGAGAAATATTCAGGCAGTGATTATGCGTAGTACAACATATTGATTGGTCGAACTGCTTGGAAGGCCCGAGACTATATGCGTATGAGCCTATTCCCAAACTTTGACAACAGAAGAAAAAGGGAAATGTACTTGTTCCATGGTAATGGCATGAATGGATGATACAGTGTACACATGATGAGGGGTTCAAAATCTTAGAAAGGCTGAAAGACAGGCGCACCAGCTAACTGGAAAGGCGAAAGAAGTTACCATAGCAACGTGAGTACGTCATATCCTGGCCTTCGCTCCCAGGAGCACCAGAAGCTGCGCGGCTAGCATCGGAGGCCCTTGTCAAACGGGGAGGCAAATTGAGACCGAAAGTGCCGGTCAGTCTGAGCATTGGGGTGAGCGATCAGGCTGCTCAGGGAGCTGCTCATGTTCGCTCAGGGAGCTGCTCAGGGCGGCGAGATGATTAACTCATTCTGTGCTCCGGGAGCCGATCATTTCCCGAGGCGGCAGTTTTACCGTCACCTAGATTACGCAAAAGATAAAGCGACGATCGACTCAAACAAATTCTCAAACCCCCCACTCTTTGAACTCAGTCTCTAAATCCTTTCCGGTGTGTCCACGCGCAACGTTTTCCCAGGCCTCAAAGACCCGTGCATCGGGTTGGTAGAGGCGCTTAGCCTTTGCTTGCCTTATTGATATGTCGGTATCAAATAAGCAAGGTTCATCATCTTCGTTTCTCCATATAAGCCTAGAAGTTCCCGCTCGCACTTCATACTCCAGTGAGTACCGTGGGAGGCCATCAGTCTGCAAAACCATCCGTCTCAGTTTAGGCATCTAGAGGGCAGCCCAGGCAGCTAAGATGTAGAATCTGTCGGCGTAGCTCGCGATAATCTTGGATCGAAAATATATAGACCTACGATCCTCGGGAGGGATCCGAACGGATTCGGGATATTGCTCCTCCCTAGTATCGTAGTATTCGGGATCCGTGTTATCTTCTGTTGGATCCGTTTTCTCCGGATCCCGTTCTAGGAGCCACTTTCCCGACGGCGTAACTGGCGCATAGCTCACCGTCACATCTCTGAGGTTTTGCCAGAAGGGTCGATTCACCGGTAGAGTATCCTCCTGTGAACTCGACGGCCAAAAAAGCTCTGGGCCTAAGACTGTAGATTCTTTGATATTGAGAATCTCTAGACGCTGCGACAAATCCCGTAGACACGAACTTAAAAGGTCCGATCCATCCTCTATCACGTTTAGAGGATCGTAGTACTGATCACTAGGGGGCACGTATTGAAATTGGAGATCAAACCACTATACCCGAGCAGGGAAGAGGTAAAGATTGCGTGCAAAGTCTAGGCGAAATAAATTAGGTCAAACTTAGTGTCACTTAACTAGGGTTGAGCTTTCCACGATGGGATCTGGCTTACCATTTCGAAGTTGTTGTCTTAATCGTTCATCCCGCTTACACCCGTCCCTCATCAATAGTTCCACTCGATTTAATTGCGGTAGTTTCGACGCGATAACTGCAGTCGATGCCGGCTCGATTAGCCTTTCGTTTCCGAGGCCTTGGATTGAAAGATGGGTCACTATAGGGACCGGTAGGCACTCGACATCTGTGGTAATTCGAGAGAATTGTAGGCAGGATCTCTCATATCTCTTATAAAGAAGATCGTCTACCCTCGATCTAGCGGCTTGTTTCCGTCGTTGCTTCATATCGAGAGAGTCACTCGGGGACTTTGCCTGGATAGAAAGCCTGATGCTAGCAGCATCTGTTGGCCAGCTTGATAGGATTTTGAAAAGAGTGCAAATTGTTGAGGTAAAGATCTTGTTGTTTTGTTGGCGGTCCTCGTCTGTCTCCCATTGAGCGCGCGCTTGCACATCGTATGACTCGAGCTGCACGACTAACTTGATAAGTTAGATACAAGATCTTCGGCGGGGCTCCGTTACGATACGCTGGAACTCTTCCATTCGTTTAGCTGTGTGAATTCGAATTTTGGCGAATATGCGTCTCTCAACAATAGCCTGCCAGTGACGGCCCAATATAGCATATGGAGCCAGGCTACGAGATCCGCGTGCATGATCCCTGATTATGTGGTCCAATACCAGGGAGATCAATTCAGGTGGTAATAAATCCATGTTGTGATGGCTGGCAGGTAGGGGTTTGAAGAGGAACAGACCGGCTGCTGCCAAGTACTTATACTGTAGGAACTAAACCAGGCCAGTAGGCCTTTGTTACCGCTTTTCAGGATTTACTGTGGTTAGTGACGTCTGTAACTTTCGGGTAATTTTCAAAAACAAGTACAGATACAAAGTCGTCTTTGACACCTAACACTTTATCTTTTAAGTCGGAGCAACGGGGGAGAGCTTACATAACAATGTATAACCAACTAGTTCTAGTAAATCACAGATCCCATACACTTTAGACAAATGATGTACTTCAAGGATCTGCCTCAGGCATGACAATTCTACTCACGTGACCGTGCAATGGACCCGTCTCGATTGGGGAAAACGCGACGGCGCAAAAGAATCCCAGCTTAGATCGAGTGCTGTTCAATCCACCTTAGTGGAAACGACATATATACACGGGTCCTTTTACCTTTCTCCAGTTAAGGATGGACTATACAAGTGAGAAGTGCCGACTAGTACAGTACAAATATTGCCCAGGTGAGAGACAGGTTCCTGTAGTAATCCTCTTATAGATTAAATCAAGAGGTTTGTTTCTAAGTACATTTAAATTTGAAATTGCCTTCTACTTTCTACACGAAGAAACACCTTCTAGCCCCAACGCCAAGGTAATGGTGGAACTGATTATACCCGATTTCACTAAATCTGTTTCGTCTTGTTGATGACCTCGTGGTGGGGAATCTATATAAATAAAGACAGAGTGATGTTTAGCGCGCTAGAGATCTTTTTCAGTTCTTTGAACTGGTGTTGGGTAGTAGGAGCCCTAGAAAGTTCAGAAGACTTCGGACGCAGGAGATCTTTTGCCGTAACATACTAGCTGAGAGCTAAGGAATGACCAAAATCCGGATGGATCGGCTGTGAAGATAAAGACCTGCCCAGATTCTCGAATCCGTATACCCAAACAAACATCCGCCCCACACATCTTGCTAAACTCGTGCGACTTGTTCTCTAGGCTCATCTTGCGCCGGTCTCTTTTCTGTCGAAGTGATTTCTTCCTCTTAGGTTCACGAGAGGTCTTGGCCATGATACCAGTGAGGTTAGGGGTCCGATCGGGGTTGTAACGAGGAGCAGGTAATAGGGCTCGATTTGACTTATCAAAGTAAGTATCAGGTACTCAGTTAAGAGAGCGGAAGATGGGGAAATGCGCCTTTTTGTTTCTTCAAAAAGCCACGATTTCTTTTCGAAAACCACGAATTCACGATGTGGCATTATACTGTACCGTAATCGATTCAAAAACAATAGCCACGATCTTCCCCCAATGACCGAGGGATAGTGTTTGCAACGCTAGCTACTTGATCGCCGCGACCACCAAAACGGATCCCTGCGGGTCTGCGACTACCAAAACGGACCACTGCTCTGTTTAGTGAGTAGTCATGTGATATAGGTAAACCAACTCTAAAAATCACGGTGAAAGCAAAGATAGCACCCTTAGTTCGGGCGAGGCGGGTAACGGCTGTGGTAGCAAGCCTGCGACACCGTTTTGTTCATTCAATAACCCGCAGACCCCACCCGCGGTGAAATGTTTCAGATTATCACAGAGTGGCGCTCTAGGCAGCTTGCTCTCGGTCTGGTGTCCGACACTCAATGATGAGACGCGATGATATCAGCAAGATATGGATTTTTGTAAACTATAAATACTGTTCCTCATTCTGCTGCTTCGTTTATGCTCTACCGCTTCACCGTCGCTGGTTCGACTACACGCCCTTCCTTTGAGAATAATTTGCCTTCGTTCGTTATGCAGCTTGCCATTCTTTTTCTACTAGGCCTAGCGTGTCTTACCGGAGCTAGTGCTAGTCCAGCCTCCGATAGTGCCAGTACTACCGAGCTTGATGTTCGCCGTACCGATGGATATCGCTCCGTTGCCTACTTTGTCAACTGGGTCAGTTCGCATAAAACAACACTCGGGTAAAATCACCCAGAATCACTTACTAGATATATTATTCATTTTAGGCGATCTATAGCCGTAACTTCAATCCTCAGGACCTCCCAGCCGATAAACTAACGCATGTGCTATACGCATTTGCTAACGTACACCCGGACACCGGAATGGTGTATATTTCGGATCCTTGGGCCGACATAGAGAAGCATTATACTACCGATTCGTGGAGCGATACTGGAAATAATGTTTACGGATGTGTGAAGCAGCTATTCCTTCTTAAGAAGAAAAACAGGAATCTGAAGATCCTGCTGTCTATTGGGGGTTGGACTTACTCGGCTAACTTTGCGATGTCCCTTAGCACTGCTAAGGGTCGTGCGAATTTCGCTTCCTCCGCTAAAGACCTAGTGATAAATCTCGGCTTTGATGGTATTGACATTGACTGGGAGGTACGATTTACATAAGAGAAATCTTTAGTGCAAGAGGTATACTAACGAACACCTAGTATCCCGCGGATAGCACCCAGGCAGATAATATGGTTGCAACGCTTCAACAATTACGCTCGGTATGCTATATCAGTACCCTTATTCTTTATTAGACCTAAACTGACAGGAAAATAAGAGCCTAGATACATATAGCGCTGCAGAAGAAAGTAATTATCACTTTTTGATTAGCGTTGCATGCCCAGCCGGTATGTTTTTCTAGGCCCCGTAAATTCCTTGCTTCGTTTCTGATCTATATACAGGACCAGCAAACTACCAAAACCTCCATATATCAGACATGGACAAGTACCTTGATTTCTGGAACCTTATGGCTTACGATTACTCCGGTAGCTGGGATACTACCGCCGGCCATGACGCTAATATCTACACCTCGACTAGCAACCCCTCTAGCACGCCCTTTAACACTGACCAGGCCGTCAACTACTATATCTCACAAGGAGTGGCAGCTAGTAAGATTGTTATAGGCATGCCACTCTATGGGCGCTCGTTTTTGAATACCAATGGGCCTGGTACGTCTTACAGCGGCGTTGGCAGCGGTAGCTGGGAGAATGGAGTGTGGGACTACAAGGCGCTGCCCCGGGCTGGGGCAAACGTTAGCTACCTTGACCAACCTATGGCTAGCTACAGCTATGATTCTTCGCAAGGAACGATGATTAGCTATGATACCCCCCAAGTTGCGCGGAAGAAGGCAGAGTATATTATGTCAAAAGGTCTGGGTGGAGGAATGTGGTGGGAGAGCAGTAGTGACAAGAAAGGCTCTGATAGCTTGATCACGACGGTATGTGCACTAGCTAGCTATTTCTCTCTGCGGAGTTATCGTTGGCTAAGGGATTTTCTAACTGAACATTCCTACCTTTAGGTTACTAACACCTTTGGCGGCGTCGGTGCTCTGGAGCAAGTCGAGAACGAGCTAAGATACCCGTCCTCCTCTTACGACAACCTAAAGGCTGGATTTCCTTCCAATTAAGAGGCGGCTTTTGACTCAGTCAAGAGAATCCACGATTAATACACAGCGTCTATTCTGCTCACTTACTAAGAGGACCATGGAAGAACTGGTTAGTTATTTGTGAGTAAACATAACATTCTTTTTTTCAACAAGTTCAGTATGGAATCTCTTTCACAGGTATATAGTCCAATGAGTGGTAGTAGGAATCGCAAGTTAGCGTTTTGCGGCTAAGCAGAAATTCAAAATATGTTTTAAGCCTGTTTTAAGTAGCAACCAAGAAGCTACGTGTTACATTAGAGATCCTCCGTAGCTTATTTTCTATACGGGGAATCCTCCCCAGAATTTTCCTAGGCAGTGAGAATTTTCTACCGGTCTAAAGCTAGCAAGATCTTCAATCCTCCCCCTTGTCTATATACCCTTCTCCGCCTCGAGGTTCATCTACCACGGGTAGTTATAATTGCGACACCATTTTCTGTTCCACATCTAAACGACTCTATGTGATCCCTATGGCATTAAATAATAAACAGCCAGAGAGTTACGTAGGAATATCCGCGACGCCTTTGTGTCCTCTTGACAATTCTCTAAGCCTTTCGCCTCTAAAAGTCCTGGTTCTCTATTAGAATATTCTGCTTTAGGGATAGTGGCTGAAACTGCGGTAGCAGACTTACGACACCATTTCAGCCTTCCCCGTCCCCCGCGAAGACATTCTATATATCGAGAAACACGCACATCTCTATCCCCTCCGACGAATTTTAGTTTAAATCTTTCTGCGAGCCGTTTCAGATACAGAGAAGTGCAGAACCAGCTTCACCAATTTACACTCACTCATTCTTTCTGTGCCCCACTGCCAAGCCGCTAGTTCGGGAATTGGGTATATATAAATGGTTCTGTGTACATCTGCTGAATACGACGATGGATAGTGGAGTACCAATGGCTTGCAGTCCTTGTGGGTAAAGTGGACGAACATAATTCGGCTCCACAGCTCAATACATCTGCAAAGGATCTCTTAGCATCTACACGCTATTCTATGTTACCCCATACACGAAACTCATAATAATGAAGCTTTCTTGAGCTGTATATTAGTCAAAGAATTGCTAGGTCTCTTCGACATTTATACAGTATCTAATCTGATTCCTCTTCAACCACAACGTTCGCATGCCGGAAATGACCTTCCGCACTTTCTCTTTTCGCACCGACGACATCCAGACTCCATTCAAGAAAACCTTTGAAATCTTGACCTGTGTGATGTTGCCAATTCCGTCTTACAAATGCTTTGAGCTCCGCGAAGAATTCCTCGATCGGGTTTAAATCAGGCGAGTACGGTGGTAAATACAACAACTTCACACCAGCATTTGAACATAGTTCTGTTATTCGTTCAGTATGGTGGAAAGACGCGTTGTCCATGATGAGAACTGATTTTGGCGCCGGCCATCTACCGCAATGATGAAGAAGCTGTTCAATAAAGTCCTCAAACATGCTCGCATCTGTCGATCCTTGGAAGACTCGCGACATCAAGATGCCATCTTGGAAATATGCGGGGAGAATTTGATACCGCTGGCCGCGCCCTGAAGCCAGCCCGCTTATCACAGCCCGATTCGTCTATGAAGACCAGGTGATACGAGCGAAAATCTGAGAGTTGATGCAGATAATGATCTCTCAGATCCGCATTTCGTTCTTGTGCTATTCGTCGTGCTACCTTTTTGGTCCAACCCTGCGATCGAAGGGCTCGGCTAACAGTGTATCTGGACACGAGCAGTTCGAATTCGTCATATAGGAAGTCTGCCATTTCGTCCAGGTATAAATCCGGTTTCTCAATCAAGTGTTCGCATAGAGCTTCGAGCATAAACGGTGTGATCATACGAGGACGGCCACCAGGGATCAAGGGTGCTCGAACATCGCCGAACATTCGGAGGTTGTTACTGATGGTGATAATCGAACGTTTGCTGCAGCCAGCCGCTTCTGCAATCTCTGAGGTAGTCAACAATCTGCTGTTAATCATATCACGAATCATCACAAGCTGGGAGGGGGCGAGTCGAGGCGCCATGATAGTCTTTGTCGCGCTGTCAACCAAGGTTGATGAGGTGGCCAAGGGCGCAAGGAAACGTGATGGACCTGGATCTGGGTCGGTTCGGGCCGACAGTCCAGCCGAAAACCCAATGCTGTACTGTACCCACGAGACAGACTTTGTCGATGTTCTCTTGCGTACCGTACTGTGTGATAGAAATAAGTCGTGGAATTTCATTTCATAATTTACATTTTCAGGTAGTCCTCATTATTTATAGACAAGTCTTCTTGTATCCTTAGTCTTATCTTTCCACCAGGGAAACGCATGAGTAGTCACATTGACACGTGAGATGCACTCCAGATTACAGCCTCACACCCGGCGCCTAACGTACCCCTCTTTAACCCTTCATCTCGCCAGCAAAGCCTAACTATATATCGAACCCGAAGTTTTTACACTTCAACCGCCAACCTACCTACCTGCGTCGAAAATAGGCTATTGTGCCGTGTTCTCCACAATGGATGGTTTATCCGGGGCGGCGAGCGTTATCGCGGTCATTCAACTAACGGGAAGCCTTGTGAAGCTTTGCGGGGGCTACATTCTAGAGGTGAAAGATGCACGAGACGAAATTTTCACCCTACAACGGGCGATTGCAGGCCTCCAAGGGACACTCCAAGACCTGCAGAAATTCCTTCAAAGTAACGACGGAAAGGCCCTACCTACCTCCTCACGACTAGGCCGCAATATTACCGATTGCCTCTCCGACCTCCGAGCCTTAGAGGGGAGACTTGATCCAGGAAAAGGAAAGAAGCTAATGCGCAAAATGGGATTACGAGCCTTAAAGTGGCCCCTGAAACGCACAGAGGTGGAGAGCGATATTCAGAACCTCGAGAGATATAAATCTTCATTCCTCTTATCTTTACAGGTGGATCAAACGTACGTTTATCGAGCAAGGTTTATGGCTCTGTATAATTGACCCAAAGACTGTATAGTTCTCTGATGGTCGGCGTGATCGAGGGTATGGATCTTGGGAAGTTGGAAGGTGCGGAGGAGGCAGGGTTTGAGTCATTCTCCGACCGAGACGAAGTCCAATGTCTCCAAGGCACCAGGACCCAGCTTCTCCAGCAGATAATGGAATGGGCTATGTCGCCGTCCCAAAAACGCATTTTCTGGTTAAATGGAATGGCCGGGACAGGAAAATCCACAATATCTCGGACTGTGGCAAGGTCGCTCAAGGACACCAATTATCTAGGTGCCAGCTTCTTCTTTAAGAGGGGTGAAGGGGACCGAGGGGACGCGAAGAAGTTTTTCCCGACATTAACAAGGCAACTGATGCTCATGATTCCTGCGCTGAGGTCTGGCGTGCACAAGGCACTCCACGATGACCCTGACATTGTGTCAAAATCGCTCAGGGAGCAGTTTAAGAAACTACTCCTTCAACCGCTGCTCGATCTTGACCAACTCGGCCGACAACCTCAAGCCGCTGTGATAGTGATCGACGCTTTGGACGAATGCGAACATGATCAAGATGTCCGAAACATCATTCGATTACTGGCTCTTCTACAGAAGGCAAAATCGGTTCGTCTTCGGATCTTCTTGACTAGCAGACCCGAACTTCCAATCAGCCTCGGCTTTTCAGAGATCGCGGATCATGGGTATCAGGACCTAGCTCTTCATGAGATACCCGAAGAAGTGACAGAACGTGACATACGTTTATTCCTGCAGGACCGATTTGCGAAAATCAAACACGACAGAAATATTTCCCAAGACTGGCCCGGCGATGACGTCATCCAAAAATTGGTCACGATGTCCGTTCCACTGTTTATTTCGGCTGCCACAGTGTGCCGTTATATCGAAAATGCAAAATGGGATTCCAAATTGCGCCTCGCAGAGCTTCTAACGGACCAAGCCAAATATGTATCGAAAATGGATAAGACATACCTACCAATTCTGACGCGACTACTGGACGATCAAGAGAGTGATGAATCGGAGCAGCAGCAGCTCCTGCAAGAGTTCCAGGACATAGTCGGTGTCATCATCCTTCTCGCTGATCCGCTCTCTATAAATGCCCTGTCGCTGTTTTGTGGGATAGGAGCAGACCAGATCAGCAATCGATTGGATTCATTCCGCTCTGTTTTGAGCATTCCCGGTGACCGAGATCAGCCTGTTAGGATTCTACATCTATCATTTCGGGATTTTTTGGTCCGGTCTAGCAGCAAGTTTTTCGTGGATGAGCGAAGAAAGCACAAAGAAATTGCTCACTACTGTCTCAAAACCATGCAAAGTCATCTACGGAAAGATATCTGTAATCTCGCAAATCCTGGAGCGTGTAAGGCAGACATCGACCCCCAAGATATCCGACAATATCTACCGCCGGAATTAAAGTACTCTTGTCACTACTGGATACACCATCTCGAGCAAAGTCAGGATCTATCTTCCGGGATAGAAGATGTGCTACAATTTCTCCAGAAGCATTTTCTGCACTGGCTGGAGGCGATGAGTCTACTAGGTCTTATATCGGAGGTAGTGGGTATGCTTAATCTCCTCTGCGTGATTTTACCAGTAAGCACCGTAGTATACAGCCATTTAAGATTTATACTAACAGATCTAGGGAGACGAGCACTCTAGGATATCTCAATTTGTACATGATGCACGGCGTTTTACACTCAAGTATTATCAGATAGCTGATGAGGCGCCACTTCAGCTTTATTACGCAGGGCTAGTATTTGCCCCCCAGACGGCAATAATCCGTAATGAATTCAAACAAGAGCTTCCTACTTGGATAGGCCAGTTACCACGAGTTGAGGAAAGGTGGGGTGCAGAATTACAGACTCTCGAGGGCCATTCAGGCTTGGTTACCTCGGTGGCCTTCTCGCCTGACGGCCGGCTGCTGGCGTCCGGCTCTCACGATAACACTGTGCGACTCTGGGACACGGCGACGGGCGGCCTACAGCAGACTCCCGAGGGCCATTCACGCTGGGTTACCTCGGTGGCCTTCTCGCCTGACGGCCAGCTTCTGGCGTCCGGCTCTCACGATACGACCGTGCGGCTCTGGGACACGGCGACGGGCGGCCTACAGCAGACTTTTGAGTGCTATTCACACTCAGTTACGTCGGTGGCCTTTTCGCCTAACGGTCAGCTTCTGGCGTCCGGCTCTCACGATAAGACCGTGCGGCTCTGGGACACGGCGACGGGCGGCCTACAGCAGACTCTCGAGGGTCATCCAGACTCGGTTACCTCGGTGGCCTTCTCGCCTGACGCCCGGCTGCTGGCGTCTAGCTCTAACGACAAGACTGTGCGGCTCTGGGATATAGCCACGGGCGGCATACACCGGACTGTTAAGGGCTATTCACGCTGGGTGACCTCGGTGGCCTTCTCGCCCAACGGGCGGCTTCTGGCGTCCGGCTTTCACGATAACACTGTGCGGCTCTGGGATACGGCGACGGGTAGCCTACAGCAGACTTTTGAGGGCCATTCACTCTGGGTTACCTCGGTGGCCTTCTCGCCTGACGGCCGGCTGCTGGCGTCCGGCTCTCACGATAACACTGTGCGACTCTGGGACACGGCGACGGGCGGCCTACAGCAGACTCTCGAGGGCCATTCAGGCTTGGTTACCTCGGTGGCCTTCTCGCCTGACGGCCGGCTGCTGGCGTCCGGCTCTCACGATAACACTGTGCGACTCTGGGACACGGCGACGGGCGGCCTACAGCAGACTCCCGAGGGCCATTCACGCTCGGTTACCTCGATGGCCTTCTCGACCGACGGCCGGCGGCTAGGTTCCGGCTCTAGCGACAATATCGTGCGGCTCTGGGACACAGCGACGGGCAGCCTACAGCAAACTCTTAAGGGCCATTCAAGCAGGGTTAACTCGGTGGCCTTCTCGCCCAACGGGCGGCTGCTGGCGTCCGGCTCTCACGATAAGACCGTGCGGCTTTGGGATACGGCGACGGGCGGCCTACAGCAGACTCTCGAGGGCCATTCAGACTGGGTTACCTCGGTGGCCTTCTCGGCTGACGGCCGGCTGCTAGCGTCTAGCTCTCACGATAACACCGTGCGGCTCTGGGATACGGCGACGGGCGGCCTACAGCAGACTCTCGAGGGCCATTCAGGCTTGGTTACCTCGGTGGCCTTTTCGCCTGACGGCCGGCTGCTAGCGTCTAGCTCTCACGATAACACCGTGCGGCTCTGGGATACGGCGACGGGCGGCCTACAGCAGACTCTCGAGGGCCTCAATGAGATTTCGAAACCGAATATCGTTATCGACAAAATTTCTTTTTCTCAAGATAGTTCATATATTATTACCAACTTGGGCAACCTTGTCGTTCAGTCTGGGCAGGCGAACGATGCCTCTAATTCGAGCCCAGCGCTCATCATTGTCCGAGGACAGTGGATATTCATCAACGGCAAAAATGTGCTCTGGCTTCCCCTGAGTTTCGGCCTAGCTGTTCGACAGTTACTTGCGATACAATTGCTCTAGGACACGCGTCAGGCAAGGTTTCCTTTATACGTTTCCAGTGATACTGTAGCAGTTGTCAATGATTTTCGCTTTCTCTCCTTCCTCTATTTTCTGATCTCATGATAGAAGAAGGGCCTGGGAAGAAAATCGAATTAATATCACCCTGTAGTGCTAATGGAAAGCGCTTGAATTCCACTAGATTCTGGATCCCGTAGAGCATATATTTATTTTGGTTTGCTACATTTAAATAGCTGGGTCTGGCTAAATCGGACGGCTCGTCGTATCATAGGGTAAGTTATGGCGGAAAATGGGGTACATCTGATACCCCACTAAACGCCACTCACTTCTCAGACCAAAGACTTAAACGGTGGGGCCAAAAATCCGGAGAGGAGAGTAATCCGGGGAAGCTGGTTTTGTAGTCCTCTGTACTGATATGTTTAGCAGTGGAACCGAATTATTTCAGCCACAGGAGACTGCAAGTCATTAACTAGTACTCCACTATCCATCGTCATATTAGTTAAGCAGAATGCTCATGACGCAATGTACACAAGACCATTAATATCTACCCGATTCCTAAACTAGCGGCTAGGCGGTCAGACCCAGAAACAATGAGAGAGTGTAAGTTGGTGAAGCTGGTTTTGCGCATCTCTGTAGTTAAGCAGATTGATCACGACGTAATGAACATAGGACCATTCATATATACCCAATTCCCGAACTAGCGGCTTGGCAGTGGGGCACAGAAAGAAGGAGTGAGTGTAACTTGGTGAAGCTGGTTTTGCACTTCTCTGTACGACAAAGCTATTCTTTTCTCAAATAGTTCACTTATATCATAAATCGAAAAATGGTAATCTAGGTTCCTGATGCTTATCGGACTCCTGCCGTTCTACGAGCAACAAATCCAGCATCAGTGTCTAATCTACCTTAGCGGGAAAAGGTAAGTATCAATATTCCAGAATGACATATTATATCAGGATACAGTACGTCCCGAAACTGCTGCACCCCCCTCCTCTCTTTAGAGAGATTCTCTTGCCCCACCCTATTTGGAACTAGTCCATATTAGGAATAAGTCCGGAATATCAATATTCCTGTATAAGTCTCAATACCATGACTTATTCTGATTAAGATACGGTGCTTTGTCTCGTAACTGTATTGACGATCCAAGGGAACTAGAATTTCCATGGCAATGCATACAAGTCGAACACCAGAGCTGGAGAAGTGCCTCGAGAATCTGGCGAGCTGTTACTTCCGTCTGCCACACCCATGGCCAAAGTAGCAAGATCGCCAGCCTACCACTCTTCCCTGTCTATATGCGTCGCAGCCTTCGTTTAGGCCGCTAGTTATAATACAGAAGGCTGTGCTTATACACAGAGCTAAATTGGCAAGAAAAGATGATTCTCCTCCGACAGTGCTATTCAATCCACCGTATTTGGAGACAAATTGATGAAGGGGCCGAAGGGGTTTATACGTAAGCGGCCGAAAGCAACAAGATTCCCAGACTATAACTATAGAGTATAGCCCAGAAAATCAAAATTCCTGAGTTGTCATCTATACAACACTTTAATCCAACAAGCTGCTCTTGTGGGCGCATCTATACTGGACCGTCTTGGTCCACTTACAGTACAGAAGACATCCTGTCGGAACGAAGAACTCTCATTCTTAATCTTACCTAGCAGCCTAGCGTCAAGTTCGCGGCTTTGCTCTGCCCGTACGCCGGCATGGCCTCAAACTTGCCGTCGGAATTGATGTCTGAAATTGACAGAAGAGAATTTGTGCCCGGCCGAGGAAAGAACAACTACTCTTGATTGGAATGACGGCGTGGATGCCGAGAGAAGAGCTAGCATCAGGAGGTTGATCAAGAGAAAATGTGATGGTGATTCACTCCAAACTGAAGCTCAAAGCCGTCCTTCGTGGTCTCTTTGCGGGTCATTACGACGCCCGCGTTTGTAACCAAGATGTACAACCGGCTATTCTGAGCCAGAAACGCTGAAGTACAACTCCGAACGCTCTCAAGAGACTCCTGGTCAAACTGAAGAAGGTGGACATTCGGAGACACTACAAGTTCCCCAATGGCCTTCTTTGCCTTTTCGAGATTTCGTGCTGTTAGATATAGTTTCGCACCGGTCTTCGACAACGCCTTCGCAGTCTCGACTCCGATACCTAAAGAGCAGCCTATGATTAAGATCACCTTATCCCCCTATTTTCTAATAAGACCTTCATCTCGGACGATCTATTTAGCTACCGGGCACTTATCGCTAAGGCCACTTGGATATACATGAGCCGCAGTATACCGAGATATTATAATAATAGTTTAGGAAAACTAAAAGTATAGAGAGGTAGGTTCTAACGTAGGGTAGAAGCCTTTATTTTTGTAGAGAATATTATAAGTATTAACTAACCCCCTTTATATATTCAAAGAGAAAAATAAAGGGGTACTTTGCGAAGGCTTTCGTGATACTCGAGGCGAGCCGCAGAGTTAATTCTCGCGGATCAAGAAGTACTACCTCCTCGTAAGTAGAGTAGAGCTAGACTCGCTGTATTCAGAATAATAAAGATAACTAGTTATATTACCCCTATTTAAGGTTACGCTAATATAGCGGGTAACAGTGCTATATTTTTATCTATAGTTCTTATAATCTAGAATAGCCGCTTCCGCCTTTTTATCAGCCGTATACTCAAAAGCCTGCAGTCGTGGGGCTTCCCTAAAGCGGTTAGAACGATGTCATCATGAGTAATAACTCGCCATTTCCGGCGCATTTTCACTATATCCTATATTAGGTCAAGTTAGTTAACGTAATTCGTCCACTAGTCTAAATTTGGTTAGATCGATGTCAGCAATATTGCTACCTGCCGAAGTGGCAAATCATCATACCCGTGGACAAGATAAACTTTGGGCATACCAGCTAATGTTTTGTGCTCCTCGCTCAACGCCCAGGATCGATTAAATAACAGTACTGCTTATGCGAAAGATAGAATACATAACCCTTGTTTAGGCAGCGATAGTGGTACAATTAAGCTTGAGTACATCACTGCTTAACATGTGGTAGCAATGGAGGTAATCGTAAATCCTATCAAGCATACTTCGGCCACGGACCAGCAGCGCAGGCGAACGTCATCCCCTCAAAATTTTGGAACTGTGGAACTGTGGAACTGTTGATCTATGGAACTATAACGTCAAGCTTCTCAATGGAAATAACGGGAAATGGACTTTAGGTGACTTAATTCCGAGCTGAAATGGAATGAAAGCTATATAAGCCCAATCAATGCTGGTAGTTTCCCAATTCCCAATCACTATCCTACGTCTTCAAAAGCGAACCCGTCACAATGGCAACCAAGTACACCGCAGATCACGAGTCTCCCAACGGCCCTGGAGACAGCCGTCCTACGGCCCTCCAAATCATCCAAGATGAACAGCTCGAAGGAAAGCTCACCGACAAAGTCATCCTTATCACTGGCTGCTCCTCCGGCCTAGGAATCGAGACCGCACGCGCCCTGGCAAAGACAGGCGCTACGCTCTTCGTCACAGCACGCGATCCCCACAAAGCTAAAGTCGCCCTCGGCAATCTCCTAGAGTCCGACAAAATCCACCTCCTAGCACTAGACCTCAACTCCTTCGCCAGCGTTCGAGCCTGTGCTAGTGAGTTCCTCTCCAAGAGCCACCGGAAACTCAATATCCTTATCACCAATGCCGGCGTGATGGCGACACCGGAAGGCAAAACTGTGGACGGCTTCGAGACCCAATTCGGCGTAAATCACCTCGCCCATTTCCTCCTCTTCCAGCTCCTAAAGCCCACCCTGCTAAGCTCCTCGACCCCAACCTCGCCTTCCCGGGTGGTCTTCGTCTCCTCCGCCGCCCACCGTATTTCAACCGTGCATCTAGACAACCTCTCCTTAGCGGGCGAATACGACCCTTGGAAGGCCTATGGACAGAGCAAAACCGCCATCATCTGGACGGCTAACGAAGTCCAGCGCCGGTACGGATCGAAGGGCCTCCTCGCTTTCAGTCTGCACCCTGGCGGTATCACCACGGGTCTCCAACAACACGTCCCTGATGAAGTGCAGCAGAGCTGGGGCGACGACAAGTCCTTTGCGCTGAGGTGGAAGAGTCTCGAGCAGGGCGCTGCTACTACTGTCTGGGCGGCTGTTGCGAAGGCCCTAGAGGAGCATGGTGGGAAGTATCTTGATGATTGTCAGATTGCAGGTCCGCATGATCCTGAGAGTGGGCCTATGGGCCCTGGGTATGCGCCTTGGGCTTATGATGAGGCGAATGCGACAAAGTTGTGGGATGTTTCAATGAAGATGGTTGGCTTGGACGAGGAGAACTGATTTTCGAGGATAATGATGTGTCGAAGAATTAAAGGAGCTAGATTTGGAGCCATCTTTGCTTGGACCACTCGTGATTAATTCTTGAGTGTGCCTGGGGCTGTTTGGAAGGGGAATGGAAGTGTCCGATGTATTGAATATACAAGCAATTACATGCCTGAAAGTGTTATGTAATCTACGTACGAAGCAATACACGCGCAATTTACGAGGTACTCCGGAAGAACTCCAAATATAGACTGGTGTTTCTTGGCTTAGGAGCCAGGAAAGTCAATCGAAGAGTGTAGGTGGTCGCACCAGTTTCGGGACGTACTGTATTATTAGATATATACGCTACTATAGATGCATATACTTATATACCAAATCAATATCATCATCAAATCAGAAAAACTATGCTATCAACGGAAACATCACGTCGCGGCTGAAACTTCTGCACGTGATCAAGTGTCTAATCGTGGGAAGGACATAGACATGAGAAGCATAATAGATTAAAAATTCACCGAATGGGGATAGTAACATTGCCCACTGGGTGACTCCTTCTCCGGTAGGTCCGGGGGTGGCCATTTCTTCTCTCCCAAGCTAGATGGTATTCATCGTATTTTTCAGCCGGGTTGTGCCTGTTTGTGAATTTATAAAATCCTTTATCCGAGTAGAGATCGTCTCCTTCCCAATATCGAATTTTGCCTTTGCTCCACTTGAACTCAGGTCTTAGCTCCCAATTAGGATAGAAGATCTTTTTGTCTGTCTCCGACTGTGGAAGTCCAGAAGACAGCTTAAGGGTAAATTTCTGTTCGTGGGCCTTCCATGCTGAAAGAGCCATAGCGTTAAAAATGGAGTCAAATTATACAGAAGAGAAAAACTCACGCATTAAAACATAAAGGTATTTGCCCATACAGCCAGGGAATCGCAAAGAAATGGTGTTTTTTTGTCTGGATCAAGAAGTTCGAAAGTTCTGTTGCTCTTGACAGGGGGATATGAGGCGTCCTTATACAATTTAATTATCAAGAGGAATTTTCTTTTGTGCTTTAGGGGATTGGTGCCTACAGGGATCGATTTTGCTAGTCGCAAGGATCCGTTTTGGTAGTCGCAGGGATTAAGCAGGGCGCAGTCGCAGTCCTATTTCGTTCAAGGATTTCCTTGTAGCTAAACATGAACACTCAGATAGATAAAAACTACTGTGTATCGTAATAACTTAATCGTCCTCACTTCTTCCATCCCCGCCGCTATGCGTTGGTTTCTGGGTACGACTCTGTGGATTAACACTAGGTGCTGTAAAGTCTTGTTCACTGTTTTCGCATACTGTATACTGTATTTTCTAACCGACGCAGATTGAAAGCGGTGAGGGAATCGGCGAGGGAACAGCCGCCACCGTACTCGAGCGCGTGCGCTCCGACATTTGTTTCTTCCCGGAATTATGAACCTGATGGACCTCAAGTGCCGCTAATTGACTCGCTTCGATGTACGATCTGCTACGGCCGTCGATCTGCCTGGTATCACGGAAAGCACTCGAGCGATCCGATCAGATTTCCAGCGGCAGGCGTTTGTTCTCGCCGACGCACGAAATGTAAGCTCTATCAAGCGAGATGGAGCGCCTCTGCTATGAACTTGCTGGCCATTCCGGAATTACCAGCAGATTCACGCAAGACCGAAACGGAAAACTCGTTGAAGAAACCCCTTGCTAGCCTTTGATACAGTTGTTCAAGTATGACAAGAATAGCTGGAAATTAGTGCAAGATGCTCTAATGTCATTTCTTCCCCTCAAAGGCTCTTTCCTCTACGCACTGGAATGAGCTGAAGAGGTATACTCCACTCAAGGGACTTCATGTAGAACTGCAATACATTCATACACTCCTCGGGTTAACAGGTTGGTTAGCAATTCTTGTGACGCGCGCTAGCCTTTTGGCAACTGCTTCCTGGTTTGGTGTACTGTAGAGTCACTTGGAATATTGCGATCACACGAGTGTCCAATTAGTACACGAAGCACTGCGTTACGTTCGTTACCATCGTTTCGACAAGCAGGAGCATGTTTTTCCTATCAAAGCGGCGTAAGATTTCATGGAGGATTTTGAAGCCAGATCTGTCTAAGGAGACCAACGAAATCGGCAAGATGGGTTTTCTCATTTTATGTAAAATATAGTAATTTACCAATTACGAAAGGGAGCGATGGCTCAGACGCTTCACGAAGGATCCACGCCTTTTAATCTTAACATAGATTTGGCTGTAAAATAGAAAGAATAGGAGTGAATCAAAAACTTGAAGCAAGAACAATCTCAGACTAATACAAACTTGTCCACTTCGACATCGGATAGACTTTACTTCCCTCTTTAATGACAGACGCAGGTCGACGTGGAAGTCGCAGAATCCGACTTGCTGTCTGAGACTGTAGCCGAAGGAGAGACAGTACTCGAAGAAGAGACTGTGCTCGAAGAAGAGACTGTGCTCGAAGAAGAGACTGTGCTCGAAGAAGAGATCATCGGCGCGGAGGATGAGCCAGTAGTGGTCATTAACTTATAATCAGACGCACTGCACCAACTGCCAACCCGAAGTCCATTATTCAAAGTGCATGCTGACTTGTCACCGTTCTGATTGAAGAAAGTGACTTCACCGGTCTGGGTGACCGTTACCCAAGCGACATCCTTGCCATCTTCAGTCCCACACGCTCCTACACTAAGGGTAGAGAAATCTTTGCGCGTGCCATTCACGATCTCGCTCAACTCTGCAAAACCGTCAATATATAGTACTCAAGTTCAAATAAGTACAATTGATACCTGAACAGTCGGTTCCATTGAGCTCTGCAAAAGATTCAGAGTAACCTGTGCATCCATGGTTATCGTTAGACCATATCAGACATTGGCGATCCTGGTCGATGACCCCGAGAGAGGCCCCCAAGGAGGTGCGAATAAAGATTCCAATGAGAACTGCTTGTACCGGAAGGTGCATTTCGGTTGGTTTGACTGAGAGAGTTTTAAGCAATAGTAGATGTTGATAGGGGGCACGTAGCTCTTTATAGACAAGCTATGTAAGGTGAGTAAGCTGCGATACTATTATTGACCCCTGAATTGACCCTTATCATGCGATCAAAAAATACTTCGCGCGCCCTGGTACCCCTCATCGGTTGAATTCTGATGTCCTGGAGATGTTTACGTTGATGAGTCCGTACTCCACCTAGAAAGGAGCCTTTGCTCATTCTACCTGCAATTATTAAAACGGATCCTTGCGACTATCAAAACGGATCCTTGTGACTATCAAAACGGATCCCTGCGACACTCAAATGGTCCCTCCGGGGCAGGAACTGCAAGCCAATAGGGAAGTGCCGAGTAATTGTAGAAAGAAGCCACTAAATAAAAGACCCGAGTTGTATTTTTGGGTTACGGGCGGAGTTATCGATTGGGAACCCCATTGCACTCCGTAGAAATTTAGGAAATGGAATAGCTCTCAGAACCAATTTTTGTTAAAGGGCAGCTAGTTAAAACAATAGTGCATCAGCAGAGGGTGACCGAGCTTTGTTCTCACTTTTGCTTCACCTGAAGACATCAAGACAATCCTATGACCCATACAGAGAAGTGCAAAACCAGCTTCTCCAATCTGTATACTGTCATTCTCTCTGGCCCCACTCGCCAAGACACTAGACTGAGAAATGAGTATATCTAAATGGACCTCTGTACATTACGTCATGAGTATTCTGCTTCACATGACAATGGATTGTCGCAATAGAAATGGGTGCAATTCACTGTAGGCAAATACGACGAATGATATTGCACACTACCGGACGATAAAAACTTTCGCCCCTCCTCATTCCATGTGGACTGGATGCAAAACATAGTACAGAATACTCGAAGGGGCAGGTATACCTCAGGAGCCATATGGATAAATGAGAGGCATCTCGAGACGGAAACTTGCCAAAGAAAGTTCTCTTGAGAACAAGTTTGTCTCATGAAAGCAGGGGTCACAATAAATGTTTCCGAAGAAGGGATTGATCTCGAGAAGGAATTCTCGGGCACGGGTAATTCTTGAGAATCCGTTCCTGGGAACCCGATTATTCTTGAGAATGCTTTCCCGTGATTTCGCTATCAATAAGTTCTTTATGATATTGGCTGCCTAGCCAATATTTCTCAAAAAGCCCTTTACGGGAAAGCTACGTTACTGAGAATGGAGTTTTGACACTATATCACTCCTAAGATACGGTTCACGGGTCATATAAATTCCTAGGCCAGCAATTGTCCCAGGAGACGTTTCCCAAATCGTATATGTTTCTATGAAGATATTCGCAAGCTCTCAACCATGCCAGGAATATTAGACCTTCAGGCGAGCTTGCTTATAAGAGGGCTTTGCTTTCTTAGTACGAGGTTTGCTTTTGGGTACTTTTTTGACAACACCGTCATTCGTTTTAAACCTTCCATCTTTCACAAGCTTTTCCTCGCTTGCTCTTGAAAGCATTATCACAGATTCAGTTCCATCCGCCACCCCTGCACGAAAGCACATCTTAGGGCTCAGACTGTTCAGTGATTGATCATAGAGACGGAACTTTTTACGCATATATTTCCTTGCAATGCGTTCTATGAGCGAAGGGTCTGCCGGATCCACCTGATGACGATCTGCCAGTCGCCATTCTTCATTCTCGAAGCACCAGAATTTGAAGTCAACGAATGCTCTTTTATCCGACCCATCAGAAGGTTTACTAGGCTTTGCAGGAGCGTGTGGCTCGTCAGAGATCGGATCCTCCCTGGCCGGTGTTGGACTGGAATTCTGAAGTTCAGGTTCGATAATTTGAGGGTCTTCTCGCGGTGGAGAATTCTCGTTCTCGCTACTGGCCCGAGTATTGTCAATATAGGGGTCTGACGAAGGCATCTGCTCTTTCTCCCCATTATTCTCTCCAAAATTTTCTCTAGAATTGGGTAAACCAAATTCCTGTTCCAACCTTTCCCTTTCCCAATCCTCGTCGAGCCTCTCTCGCTCCTTTAATGACCTTTCCAGGTCTTCAGACAAGCGTCGTCGTTTTTCACTTTCTCTGATGCTGCTGCTTCTTCTCACGGAATACACAGACGGAGAGTAATTTCGGGCAGATGTTTGGGTCTCATGCGCGGGACCCTCACTGTCCGAGGCAGTTTCTTCCGGAGTGGAAGGATCATCGGCAATATTAGCATCATCTTGTGTTTTTTCGCTGAAATCAGACTCAGAAGATCTGAATTCTTGACGATCAAACAAGGGGCTTTTTGAAGCATCGTCAATACCCTCATCTTCCATTAGCCCGACAGAATCATCTTCAGACTGCACTTCAGGGGCTACCGAGCTTCCATTGGCCATCGAATCATCTTCTGGGCTATTAATCACCTCATCAGGTTCTAAAGAAGGAGCATTCTGGGCACTACTCTCATCTTCAATGTACGGACTGCGGTAACCCTCGAGGACTCTGCGTGCTTGATAATTCTCATAGACTGGACGTGCTTGGACTGATGCTCTTTCTAATACATTGTCGATGGTTTCAGGAGCATGCACCGGAGACCCATTCTCATGAACAAACAAAGGTGACATATCTCGTGCGGGTGGACTTGGGCCCGTTTGTCCAGTTCCAGTTCCCGGAAGCGGCCGTTTTCCCAAAAAGGCGTAGTAAAAGCAACGCCGAACGAAGAAAGTTGTGACCGGAGAAAATGCAGCTTCATCATGAACCTGATCGAGGAATAAGTATGGAGCATCTTGAGAATGTGCCTTTTTCTGCGGAAAGCCACATCTTCTTTTTGTAGACACTTCGCTGTCGGCAAGGACCTCTGAAGTTGGCCTATTGTGTTCAACAGCTAGCAAGAAACAAGCAGACACCCGATCAACAAGCGTTTCCAATTGGATAGGATCATAACGAAAATGATCCGGTTTTCGAGCTTTCAGAAGAGCGGTCCGCGCGATGAGACGATCAGGCGACTTTTGAAGAAGAGATTCTATCTCTTTCGTCCTAAAGCCAACGCGGCGAGCTAGATCGGCCAGTCCGAAAAGTGCATGCTCATCAATTTCCCCGCGGTCACGCTTGACCAGAAGTTCCTCATCACATTTTGCGGGGGCAGGGATTGACCCGTAATGACGCATCGTGTAGAGCCAAAGTTGACGATATCCTAGATCCAACCTATCGGCACAACTAGTAGCTTGTTGGCGAAATGTGAAATCCGATATTTGTATGAAGCTCTCTTCATCAGCTGAGTCGCCGCTAAATTTTCCTTTCATTGTATTCCATATGGATCCATCTGCAACGCCGAAAAGCCGTTTCATGCATTGTGCGCATTGTTCAAAGAAAATGAAATCTTTCCAAAAAGTTTCCAAGGATGGAATTATTCCATCGAAAAGTTTTATTCTTTCCCAGATTACCTTGCGTTCAGACTCATCAAAGGAGGGGAAGATTTGTCCACTAAATATGAGTCCCATGATTTCTTTTGCATCTTTCTCACAGTTCCCTGGGGCCTTCAACTGCATTTCCAGGACTGTTTCAGTCTCGATTCGCCTAAGGGCATGTAAATTGCCGCCAACGAATGATGAATATGTCTCGTAAATATGATCAAGATAGGTAAGAATCTCCTAGTAAACGATAAGGCTAGCCGAGATGGAGGGAAAGGAGAAGAGAAGCTCACCTCGATTGATGTAAGAGCGATCACCCGATGAAACATGCTGACTCTCATTCCATTAGGCCAGAGACCCGGAATGACTAATAACTTATCAAAACCACCACGAAGTCGCTCATTGCTTTCTTTGTTCAGTTGCTCCATGCGTTGACGCTTCCAGTCAGAAGACAAGCGCATCAGCCACTTTTGTCGAAGGACCCTATTCCCGTCGCTTTCATATTGGCGAACCTTCCTGTATATCTCGCCATCCGTAGGTTGCTTCTCATTCGCATATTCTTCAATGAGGGATGTTTCGAGATCCTCGCTGATATCTATCATCGGCAATTTTAGTGAAAGTATAAATTAACGCTTGTTACCGAGATTGTTTACCATTGAGATAGATATCCACAGTCCACCACCGCTCAGCCGGTGCTAGAATCTTAGAGCCAGCGCACAAGCGATGACGGCCATGAAGCCCTGTCAATTGACCTTCGGGGAACTTGAGAAGTGGTAGATCTTTCCCTGCGCACTGTAGAAGTGAGTGGGTAGAAACGCCAGCGTCATGTATTGCCTCCATTAATGCCTGGCGAGATACAGTAACAGGTATGTAGTTACTGAGCTCAAACCTTTGGCAACGAGTCTTGCGAAAAATACCGCATAATCTTTCCACGTTCTTCAAGTCTAAAGATCCGCATGTTGAGCCCTTGAATTGAATGTCGGAGATCTTAACTCGAGCTGACCCTTGGTACTTCCGTCGCCTTTCATTTGCTTGTTTGAGCTCATTCTCAGTGAACAAAGCGCGCTGCATGGTCAATCTTCGCAGAAGAGAAAGAGAATATGCTCTTCTCTAAATTATTTCTAGATCTTCGAGTACTGTCAGTGGTGAAACGAGATCTTTCTCCTGTGCTATAACACCATCACAGCATAGTGCCTAGGTGGGTGGAACGAACGGGGTTGTTTGATAAGAACAAATGGTCGCAGGGTTCTTGTGCGCAAGAGACCTGGTCTAAACGCAGGGTGGGGAAGGAACTCGAATCCATTTCTGGGGAATCGAAGCTCGAGGGCTATTAGCACATGCAGAAAAATTCTAGGTGGGTGGTGGCAAGGCTAGGGTTGATAGGGTTGATGGCTGCAGGTACAATTTTTCATAGTCGCAAAACTTAAATATTTCAATTTCATAGTCGCAAAACTCAAAAGATTTCGTTTCATAGTCGCAGGCGGTGAGTGGGCCGCAGGGATTCGTTTTCGCTGCTGCAAGCTGCGGGTGGCGAACAATGTCATGTGCCAAAAGAGTGCCGCAGGAGATTTGCCATAGCGATCTGGACTACGCTAAACTAGCACCAGGGAGAACTGAAACAATGTTGCACGAAAGGGCCCGTGTTAGTTCCTTTGCGACCTCCTCATTGTATCTCCCCATGACGTGCGACAAGTAGTCAATACGCATGTGTTGAAGCTTGGTGGCCACAGATATTTTATTACTCTAAGTCTATTCTCAGTGATTCAAAGTTCCTCAAGCTGACTCTAACAAACATCTCCACACTCTATTTTTCTGAATCTTTGAACAGCATAGCCCTCGGTTATAATGTAAGCCTTTCCGTGATATCTAAGCTGTGTCATGTTATTAATCACTGGCTCTTGAAGTTGTCTAAAAATATGGATAACCGACTGACCCAATTCGCTATCTCCGTGCAAAAGGGTGGGTTGGATCAACAGTCCTCAGGGTCTCCCAGAGGAGGAAGCGACAAGCATTTGCCAGCCAAAAAGAAGGACCATACCCACGATTTGAAACTCCCGGGTATCGTTGAATCCGGTAAAAGATCTGGCATAGCCATTCGCAAAGAATCGCCCTGGGAGACACTTAGAGAAATCTATCAGTGTGATTTAGCAGGCGAGATCATGGTAGTGGTAAAAAAGTCTAAGCCTAAGAAAATATACGTTCTCAAGAAGTTCTCTGGACCTGGACAGGATGAAATACATCACAGGCTATCTTCTATCCGGCACATAAATCTGGCCTCCGCGAAAGACTTCTTTGCTACCATTGAAGGTTTATTCACATTAAGCGATTTCTTTCCTTTGACACTTGAGCATGTCGTGGCTTGTCAACACTACCCGAATGAGATCGAGTTGAATGCAATAATGAGCCAGGTCAGCCTGACCCCAGTGCAGATGGGTTACATTTTCTCATTTATCATTTTAGGTTCTGAATGGTCTTTCTTACATTGTATCCCAAAACCTAGAGCATACTTCTTTGGAGTGTTCAGGAATATTGATGGACAACAATGGCAATATCAAGATTGGTATCTCTGCCCACTATTCCATGAAAGACTCTTTAAACCCCCTCCCTCTGACGATGACATTAGGCCGCCTTGAGAAATGTGTTTTGCGAGCCGCAAAGAAACCCCAGAAAACAGAGATGAGATGTCTAGCAAACATCATGATGGAGCTACTACAGAAATACGTCAAGGATGATGGAAATATCGGCATTGACGACTTAGATCGCTGGCCATCTGACTCTGTGCCTGTTGAATTCCTTTTAGCAACAACGGTCTCAGACTCAGTAGGAAGTCTCATGAAGGTAGGTACATCTCTTCCTGACACAGCGACCACTTGCTCACATAATTGATATAAAGCATCCTCTGATCAGCAAAATCCCGTTCAACAAGGATACACTTGTTGGCCTATCTTGGTTTGCTGTCCATTCGACCAAGACATTCTGGTCCTACACACTATGAGATAATATATTTCGATATAGTATGATTGATTACAGTAGGAATACCTTGTTTTTAATCATGTTCTACCTTCCCGATACTCTAGCAAACAGGATCTCGTTTCGTATTGACTATTCACTCTACTGTATCCTTGCAACTGGATAACATTTCCCCACAAAGCTTCACTTATGCGACCGGTGGACCAGTCGCTGCAACAACCAGAACAGATCCCTGCACCCACCAGGACGGATCCCTGCGACTACCAAACTTCATACTATTCTTGCAAAGCAATTAGCCATAATCCATTCAGTTTCACCCCTTCATGTTAGCATTAACTACGAAGCATGCGCAGTGGAAGAGTCCTGTCTATACTGTATCCTTGCATCTGGTAGCGTCTCCCCAGATTCCATGAATAGCGTATTCTACAGGAGGGACTACCTGCGGTAGTTCCAACACTAGCACTCTCCAAATGTCTTTAGTTGTGGCGGATAGGGTCTTGGTAATCTATTTATAGTATCAATTTTTTTTTATATTCTCAATTGGATACGATTACTTTCATCTTCATCGCCTTGGCTTTCATGACCATGGACGTGGAGTAAGATTGGGCATTACCTTTGTAGGTCCTTAACTATCTAGACTATGGTTGGTATTCAAGGTTTATCATGTTCAAACGTTGATGCAAGTGCTGTCGAACGATTCCCCGCAATTTATCACGTATATCTCCAGACGTAGACGCTGCCAGTGGAGATTCAAGTCAGCATTATACGCGTCATAAGAAAACTGAAGTGCTGTCTCACTCATCACAAGCATTTGCCCTTGATCATCTTGCAGCGGTGATCGTTTCTTGATATTCTCCCCAGAAAGCTCCGTTAGAACGATGTCTACGTAGTCAGGAGCTCCTTCATAAAAGAAAGCTCGCTCATGATTCCCAAACAGTGAGCTTTCACTCAACGAGGGATCCTTTCCCACATAAATTGAGATGGTTAGTATCTGCTCGCTTCTGTCAGACTTTGTTTCTCCAGTATATGTAACGAGTTACTGACGTATCCATTATCCGCTACATCCTCCTTCAATAATTCATTAACATGCTCCTGTGCCACAATAGCGATTTCTAATTCATTAGTTGGTTTCTTGTTCCGTGCTTCTTAGGGACATACCGCGATCTTCAACCTGCCAGATAAGATGTACTCGACGCACGCGCGGTGTACACGTGCCATTTCCATGAATCAATTTCCTGGCGTAAGGTAAGACAGCCGGGAGCCCAGAATCACTTGCAACAAGTAGCACATTTTCGTAATCGTCAAGAGCCTCGCTAAGGCCATGAGGCCCACTGTAGAGAGCCGTAGAGGAGTACCCACCGGAGCCAATTGCCCGTAGTTGACGAGCAATTGTGCCGGTAAGGCCGTTCCGAGGCAAAACCAAAAGCTCTAGCACTGATTGCTTCTCCTGTGACCACGAAATAATCGTGAAGGGATGAGTTTGCACCCATGACCAAAAGCTCACCCCCGGAAGCCACAAGTTGATATACTGCCCAGCTTTCACCTTGACTGGTCTCGGTAAGAGCAGGCGTACTTTGAATGGTGTGCCAAAAGCTGCATTTTTGATAGACTCATATGCGTTGCTTGATAAGACGGCGCGCGGGCAGCCATTTCCCGAGAAAATTCCGTTTCGGTAGAGCAATCCCACGAAGTACAAGCTTGATGTGATAGCAAGAACACTTATCCCGATGATGAGATATAGCCACGGTAGCAGCGCATCCTTTGGGACGTGTTGCCAAATTCCATAAACGGTAACAATCGTAAAGCCCTGGTGGGCTCTAAGAAAGAGCTCGTAGGAAAGGTTTCGCACAAATGGAAGCGACATCAGAGTAAGTGCTCCTAAGCATGAAACTGCCTATCGGTTACATTAGATTCGATCAGTGGAGCTACGACTTTCCGCTTTAACTTACAATTATGGTGAGCAGATCTTGTGTATCCGACTCAGTGGTTGAGCTTTTCAGGTCGAAGCCAAAGGCGCCGACATGAAGCACTACCAGTACCATTGTCATCCACCCGAATGCTCGATGAATTTTGCGGTATGCTGTCAGAGAAACACCCAAAAGGTCAGCCGCATAGCTCAAATGACCTGCTCCTAGAAGTAAAATCATGTTGATAAGCGACAGAGACCCTGCACGGCGGCCGATTTCTTCTAACGAGTTGCCCCTGAACAAAATGAGGACAGCGTTCACGGTGACATAAATCAGATGTGCAAATACTCCGACTCGACTCCAAGGGCCCCAAAAGGTGTGGCGAGAAATAACATAAGGATAGATAATATGACGGTAAATGAAGACCAGAACAGGAGTCTTCCATTGAGCAAGTGACCTAAGAAGCCTGATGAAGACAAGACTTAGGAGTATGCCTCCTGCTATCATAGCGTAGATAACGAGTGCGTCCATCACTTAGTTGACACCTGGATGCACATTAATCAGGAAAATTCTGAAGACATATATGCGGCTACCGAGAAACATATAGATAAAGTAGGACCGAGCATGCTTATTAGTAAGAATGCCGACATTAACTAGGGGGCGAAACAGTATGATTCTTGGCTATTTGCTTTGCAAGAATGGTATGACGTGTAGAAACAGTCTATCGGTTTGAAAGGTAGGCCTAAGGAATTTACTTCGGTAGTCACAAGTATCCGTTTTGATAACCGCAGGGATCCGTTTTGGTAGACGCAGCGATCTGTTGTTTTAGTGGTTAGTCGCAAGGATCCGTTTTAGTGGTTGCAGCGATCCGTTTGGGTCGCAGGGATCCGTTTTCGTAGTCGCAGGTGTGTGCCTTTTTTTGCAGAGACCCACTTGATAGTAGAGATGCGTCTCATTGGTCTACCAGCCACAGTGAAGCTTTGTTAGGTGCTCGGACAGGATAGCATACTGTAGCGTTGTCTCTCAGCCCGGAACTTAGGGCTTTTGGGCTAGTAAAAATTGCTCAGTTACAATCCACTACTATACATGTTTAACGAACAAAGGGGGTTGTTCACACCTGGTCATAACCGGAGGATATCTTGCAATAGCTTTGAACTTCTTGGTCCTCGTTGTTTCAAAGCTTCACGGAAAACACAAGTTGGGGTAGACACTCAGAAATTATCGCAATTAGCCACAAGATGGAAATGAACTGCTGTCTGCCGAACAACACGAGCAGTAATGAGCATCCCCTTACCAGGTATGTTTCAATCCGCGTTTATGAGCATGGATTTAATTAGTGTCCAGAGAACATGGGCTTCCCCATCTTGAACACCCTTCCGAAAAATACTCTCTAAATTGGAAAATCAATCAGGCGGGGCTAGGATGGCTGAGTCTGGGCAACTACTTCGGGTACTCCACCGTGCTGATCAAGGTCAGAAAGATCCAGAAGCCGCAGAACGGCTTTCCAATGCTACAGCCGGCTTTTCACCCGAACATTATTGGCTTGGTAGAGGCATTCTATGATGAAGGTGTTGTCTACCTGACTTACAATTATAGTGGTCTTGTAGTGAGCCTGGCGCAAGTTGTATCCACTCCTACAGTCAAGGTTAACGAGCTTGAGATTGCGACCATCTGTTGGGACGTTTTACGAGGCCTTGAGTATTTGCACAAGACTCTTGATATGGGACATGGGAATATTGATAGCTCTAACATCGTTTTGTTCGCTGACGGAACCATCAAGATCGGTGAGCATTAAGCTTTCTCATACTGTTAATAGAAGCTAATGTCATTAGCAAACATTGGGGATTCCATGTTAGAGGATACCCAGACAAGTTTCATTGACGATCGTGAAAGTCTTGCCTCTTTATTACTTGGACTTGACCAGCCAACGAATCATGTCTCGAGGGTCACAGGAGAACAAACCCACAAAGTAACCTTATCGACATATGCATTGCATTTTATCGAGAATCTAGGACCGGCATCATATTCGTATCTATTTGAGGTAGGGCCCAAAGAATACTATCTCGACAAGAGCTGACGAGTCTCAGCACGTTTTCTTGGCCCAGGCGAGCCGTGATGACCGACGCTGGTATTTGATTCCTCATTACTTAGATACAATCATGTACTGGGGTATTATGACAGAATGAGAGGAAGGAAATTGTTCAAAATTACCAAATTGCATTGCTTATAAACTTCTTGACACCTTCGATGAATTCCAATAAAAACAGTGCATCATTCATACACTCACTGTCAAGTTTGCTATAAACCCAGAGCATCCTATTATCAACCCGCATAAACTTTATGGTTCCTGAGAATGGAGAAAGCGATGGTGAGCACTCATCATTTGATTGTGCTCCTGTTTCACCTTTTCCAGATTGACAAACTTGTACATAATCAACAAAACACAAGAAGAACCAACGGAAAGACCGGATGCAATTACAGTCAGAAGAGCCATAATTGACCAGTGACCTCCATGACCCGTATATAGACTGATCATAGTGGTCAGAGGACCAGCCGATTAATTGAGGAGCGTCGGCCTAGCAAAGTCAGGAAGAGATTCCTATAATCCTATAAGGGGAGGGTCAATTACACACATGAATATACGGTTGATGAGCCATATATAATTGCCCCTGTACACATGGTAGAACCAGCTCATAATAGCAAACTCCGCAACGAAGAAAATGCACGCCATCGCAAGTAATGGGGGATTTTGGATAGTATTGAGGATGACTTTTCCTGCTTCATTGTCTGACAAGCCGTTGTGGACGGTATCCGACCTCTGAAGGGATGTGAACGTGCCAGGAACGACCAAGTAGCCCGCAAGCAGAACCCCAATGGGCAACACTAGCAAGCAAATTATATTGCCATGGTATCTGGTCTGCCTCCAGAATCATTCGAATATAGCGGGTCTCCAGAGACTCATATGATAACTCGTTGCGTTGACCGTCAACAAGAGTAGATAGACCGGGAGCCATGACAAGTTCTGTGACGTGTGAGAGAGAATCCTAGCCGGCGTCCTTTGCTTTTATATTTACTGCCAAGATAATTACCTTATATTCACTAACCAGTCTAAGGAATACACTTGACAGGAGTCGCTAAATTGATTCAGTCAACGTCATCTGCTTTACGTATAAACTAACATTTCATACCATCATCTCACTTAGAGTAAATAAAGCCTTTACAACGATCATGTGCCCCACATGCTGTCCATTTGCGTTATATAGTAGAATTAGGAATCAAGCGCCATTAACCTCATCTTTCTGCCTGGCTATTGCTGGGTGTCTCGTCTTCAGTGTTACTAAAGGCTGATTCCACTGTCTTGTGTAGATTCTCAAGAGTACATAATAGCTTGAACCTAGCAGCAAAATACTCTTTGAGCCTGTTGGGATCATGAGGGGGGCTATGTAAGCCTTTTATATCGTTAAACGTTTTTCGATCTAGCTGAGGGTAGTGCATTTCCTGTCAAGCGCTTAGTAGGGTTCCTTGTACCAGAATTTCTATAACGCTTACAAGTGTTTCATCCGGAGGTGGCCACGAGGTGTGGCGAGAAGAGTTGTAGACATATTTTTCTCGTTCATGGTCGATGAGGAGGTATACTCTTGCACCGCAAATATCCGAAAGCTGATGAGCTTTGTCTTTTAGGGTCTTGATCCGTCTTTTGAAAGTAGTGCGGGAGTTCCTCTGAGCGTCAGGACCCCCCATTGTAAAACCACGGCTGAATCAGTTCAAAATTTGATAAGGGTCTGCCTTCGAGAAAGTAGGGAGATTCTTATATTTCGAGGCAGACCTGAACCGCAAGAGTGGGAAGTGGCAATTATTTATATCCTGAAGGCTGTCTAAGATCTATTTTGTGAAAGTCCGCGTTGGCAGAATGCCAGACATGTACATCTGATTTGTTCCTCAAGCTTGTGTCCGTTTCCTAGAACCAGTCTCCCTAGAGTCGCAGGATTCGACCATCCTCCTCTTACCCCTTGTGGCGCCTTTACTGACGTCACAGCTCTGACACGGTTTGCGAGAAGGGTAGTTATGATCTCCGTGGCCGAATGATGAATGCAGGCCTTGCCTCGAAGCGAAGGTCGCCACACTTTCAGGAAAACCAGATATTCTCCACTTTTTTTTGGTTCGTGATTGTATGTAGATATTGATTGTATAGTCCAAGTGGCGAGTCAGGAAGGAGATCGGATGATTGTAGCATCCGCATGAAGGACACAAACTGTCCAGTCCCCCGAATCCATCAATTAGCCCGCTGTCTGAGACATAACTAAGGCCTTCCGGGTAAAGATCTTCCAAGGCCAGAATGATCTCCCGGGCTGGGCCTTTACAGCGCACTGACCCGGGGCACCAAAACGGGACAGAAGTCTGCTCCGGTAACGAGCCAACTAGCAAAAAGAATCTGGAGATCAGCAATGTTGTTGCCGCATCCCGAGCTATCCGCGCGCTCCCGGGCTGGAGAAGTACAAGATCGCGATAGTCGTTCATGGCCCCCACCGCGTCAATTGTCTGAGGTGCATTTCCTAACGAGACATCCAGGCGGTGGCAGTCTCCTCTGACTGACTCGCTCAGCCTGCCTCTCCAATTCTTCCAATCAGTGTCTGTGTCCATTGTAGACATCCATGCGTCAAAACCCCTGCGAAGAAAACCATCCCGAAATATGTGGCGAAAATGAGGAATCTGTTCATCTGGAGGGGCCTTTCCAGTCCCCATAGAAACCATCCGTATGGATCCCATGGACAGGGGCCAAATCTGGTTAGAAACCTGACTCGCGATCTCCCCAGAAAAATTGTGTTTCAATCCACCATCCTGAAAGGAACCGATTCCCTCTAAATCTATCGGCGTAAAAAAGCTTACCAGCCAATCATTTAGTCAACTTAGGGGAGCTAACTCAATGCATTGGATTGACTTACAAAGGAGCGGCTGTTGTGGCCCGCCCACTAGTTTTTGTCTGTTAGCGTAATTACGCCGATCAAGCTGTGTAATGGGTGAAAACTTACATTCTCCACAATTTTGGCTCGTATCGTATATCGTCGGGGCGGATTATACGGTACCCTAGGAGTGTCAGTAAAAAGCACACCGCACAATCTAGTATAACTTGCTATATTCGCCCTTTGAGTCCTCGGATACATTGAAATTCCCGATCACAAATGTACTTGTGTCCCTGGAAATGCTCGTTGTAATTACTCCCACCTTTAGGCCGGACCGTCTTTGACCCGGAGGACGTTCCCTGGTAGCACCAAAGAGATAGCGATTTTCTCCGAAAGCGCCCTTAAGAGCGGTATCGAAAATTTGGGAGTCATAACAGCTATCGTGTAGAAGCCATTGGATCCATTTAGCCACTTCACCAAGCAGTGATTTGTAGCCCGAGACTTGAAGAAGCAGCAGGGGCAAGACGGACCGTCTTTTCCTGAAAATCTGACGCGCTAGTGTGTTGAATCGCTCGGAGCATTCTGTGACATCCCACGACATTGCGAATAACCCTAGAGCAATGAGGCCTCCTATTATATAATGATCAGGCTTCTATACCAATACATTGATATTGTAAATTTAATTTTGACTGACCTGAGCTTGTGCCGATAGCGAGGTCTACCAGATCCTGAAGGGTGCAAGGCCGCAAATGCTCTTGCACAAGGAGGAGGAACTCCAAAGGAATAACGCCTCTGACGCCTCCGCCGTCAAGGGCAAGGACAGTAGGGCTCATAGTTGGTGGAAGAACATCCACAATCAAAGGCTTTTGGTAGAGACAGCAGAGACAGCCTTTAACCGTAAATCGGTACTCTAATCCCGCCACTGGCTCCCCATAGACCTGGGCACAGCGATCACACAACGTGTGACCGCAGTCCAGAACATGTTGCGGGGTATGTAGAATGCAGAATAGACAGATAAGATTACTTCGTAAACAACCCAGTCGACCACTTTCAGATTCGAGTTGTTTTTTCCGTAAATCTGCCGCTGTTGTTGAGTCACACGAGAAAAGCTTAAAACGTTCAGAGAAATGCCGGTCGATCAAATCAGTCTGTTCTTCTGGACATAATCCCGACCAGGATCTTTGAGCTCTGCCATAAGCCTGTCTCACGAGGTGCCGGTACAAGGTCTCAAAAACATCACGAGGATTCGTTGCTACAAATGTTAGATTCACTCACGTAAAGTGGGGTTTTCTAACATACCAAACATCTCCGGAACGTAGTGATCCATGAAGAGGGCTGACGCAATGGAGGGAGCTAGCTCGTGCGGAGACAGGCGCGCGCGATGGGCGATCTCAAGATAGTGTACAAGATTTGACTCTGCGCACGGACTTACTGGGCGATCTCTTCGCGTGGCTTTCACCATATCGAAAGAATTCCACGGGTCGTTAAGAGTGTGATGAAATGCTGACTGAAACAGCGCCCGGAAGTGCATAGCATTCGGACGAAAGTGATGTACTTGTCGAAGAAACGATATCCCCGTTACTTCTTCAGTTATAAAGGCTTTGATCCGCAGGTAGTTCGCAGTTTCTGATAAGCCGCTTTTGTGCAAACCAATAAAGGAAATTCTGGAAAATAGCCCAGACAAGTCTTTGTACCCATTTTCTTGAAGATCCTCGTAGAAAAGGCTGCTGCATGGCCTGTCAATCTCATTATCTGTGACTTCAGTCCTATATATGAAAACCACCCTTGGTGAAAGGGACTGAGGTAGCGAAGATGCAGAACCAAGTTCAAGGCAGTCAACCAGGAACTTTATGACCATTCTCATGCTGGAAATATCATCAATGAATATGCATACCACATCTGCAAAAAGAAATATAAGCCGCGACCACAGTACTTGCAGCAGACTACGCGCGGAATAGTTATCCCACGACACAGGTTGGCCCATTCCAGCCGCAAGTTTCAGTGTGGGACGGAAGTGTCCCGCCTGCGTAATATCACCGTCGGCCAAAAGAACTGGCTGGCGACTTTCCAAGGAGGCGACATCGTATCTGAGCTTGATCTGTGCTTCCGAGATGTGTCTCTTTATATTGTTCTGGGTATATAGCCGCTGAAGGGCGTGATCCTTAGTTTTCCCACCTAGAAAAACACATAAAGATGGGTACTGATTTCCGGGGTCTGGCAACTGGTCGACCACACGTGGTAGGCGACCATGATCTAAGACAGCAAGACTGGAATCCTCGCGGACACCCACATCAAGCCAGCCAATATTTATCGTATTTTGCATTATGTGTAGTTCTTGAAAGGAAGTTTCTATCGCTCTTCTATTGAGGGTAAAGAGCAAAGTATTTAAGCTAGGATTTACCCCTTCATTTTACAGGTTGTTTCATAGCTAGGGTGATATTCTGACCTGGACTCACTATGCCATAACAATAGATCATCATAGTGAGTAATCCTCCCGAAACTCCTTACCAACGCTATACCTGCTCACCCTACGCTCACCTCGTTCTCACCCTCTGTTACCCTCTCTCACCCTCTCTCACCCTCTTACCCTTGCTTATACGTACTTTCGTTATGTACAAATGAGGTGGTGGCAAATGACAAAACCCCTGCCACAGTTCCTGGTCCAGCTGTTCTAGTCCAGTACCTGGTTTGACTGTGCAGCCAATCAAGTAGGACGGGCTTCCAACACAAACAACCTGTTGGTAGGGTCAGCGCTTAAGAGACGGGACGTATTAAATGGCCTTTTGCGACCAGAGATTGCTCTTTCATTCTTCAATCATGTCTTATCCTGACGGCACAGGCCCCTATGAGGCTTCAATGCCGTTTCCTTCTATGGATGAAATATTGACGACCAGTCAATATCTGTCGTGTTTCCCATGCCTTGATGAAAATGAAAGTGCAGTTGCAGACAATACTACCCTCGACACGAATGAATTCTGGCAAGGTAGTGACATGCAACTTCTTGACGTCACCTCTACCACGTTTCAGGACCCCTCAATAGACGCCTGCATGGCAGACGCCCTTTGCAGTAACCCAGTGAATCGCTCCCAAAATAGCGGGTAAGCACAGATAGTTCTTGCCCTTCGATTGCGGACTTGCCGTCGTTCTAACCACATGCTACCGCAAGTTCCTCCTCAATGACCACGTCCGATTTTAGTGAAGCAAAGAATGAGTTTTCCCAAACGGCCGAACGGTTACTCCTCCAGATGGAGCAGTTTACATTCACGATTCACCAATACGGCGATTCGACGAACAAAATGGAGTCTAAGATAGATGCATGTACCAACTCCATTAGCCACATTGAGCAACGTCTGAACGCTATAGTGCGTCAAATGGGCAATATGGAGGACCGACTAGGTAGCATGAACCATCAGCTGGGTTGTATGGACGAAAGATTGGTGAGCCTGGACCGTAAGCTCAATACTCTAGATGGATACTTGTTTGAAATCGTAAAGCGTGAGAAGGACATCATGAAAGATTTCTGTGATTTACCCCGGAAATAGCTGTTAGATCTACAAGTTGATACCTGGTATACCGATAGGGTAACACATACGGAAGAACACCGAAGATGCGAGATATATTTCTTTCCGATATGACTAAATTGAACTACATAACTAAATTAAACTACATAACTAAATTAAACTACATAACTAAATTAAACTACATAACTAAATTAAACTACATAACTAAATTAAACTACATAACTAAATTAACCACATATAATATAAACGTTCCCACATAATTCAATGGCTATTTCATCTAGCTAAAGATCATCCAAGTAAGTAGATTCTGATGCTCTTCATGAATTAGAAGTAACCCCCCTCTGCTTCCTCGGAGTCTGGCTGCCAGAGGTCCAGATATTGCCGCTCTGATTCATGCAATTGTGCTGTAGCCTGAGAAAGTGCATCTTCCAGCGAGTTGAAAACAGCATACATCCGTCCTTGAAGCTGCAATAAAATTTGTTTGGTCTCTTTGTGCCATTGAAGCTCTGCTTTGAGATAACTCATTTCATATGCGAATTCCTCCATTCGGGTCTTCAAATCGGGGGAAGATCTCTTCGCACGCTGTAATCTAGAGGGCAGTCTCTCGAGGTTGGATGAAGTTCCCCCTAAACATAGAACTTGATGGTCTGTCGGTGTGATCTCCTCAGAAATAGGCTCAAGGCGTTCATTTGGATACCGACTCATTATGATCAGGCAGAAACTGCGCCTTCCTTGGATTGGCAAAAGGGCATGGGAATTTGTGCTAGAGTCCTACGACCGAGAAATGGAACTGTGTTATACTAAAGTGGCTGGTAACGTGCTTGTCCTCTCTCACCCGATGACGCAAGTGAGTGCGAGCGCAAGAGATGGGAAAGGACAACCTTGATTGTAGTCTGGAACAGAGAAATAGAAAGAATAGAGCTATCAATAAATGGCGTATTACTTGGGGTGGATAGTCCTGGTACTATCCTCGAATGATGTTTTAGGGCCGTAGGTATATGTTTGCCTAGGCGACAACCTGCGGTTCCCTAGCAAATGGTGCACTGACAAATACCAGAAAGCCTTGGCTTTCAAACATAGCCCTGGGTGTATAGAAAAGAATTGTTGGGATCTACGCTTTCAGGTTTTTTTATTTTTATTATTTTTATTTCAACCGCTCGTTTCTAGGAATTCGGTCGTTTGTCCTACGCCTAGGCTGCGACACTATTTCTGTGACGGCGCGGCAGTTTGGTCTTGCGGGATCTGTTTTCCAGTCGAAAAACCTCCACGGTCAAAATGGTCCTGCGACACCTAAATCGTACCCTAGTCTCTGTGAGCAGCAGGGCCAGGGCACATTTGGGAGCGGGGTATATGGATCTCGCTACGTCTTCTCCGCTTGATGAATACAACGAAGGCAATCAATCAAGGTGCTATTACAAGTGGACATGTCGTTCCAGACTTTTGCGCTAGTGCCGCCCTCCGAAGAAGGGGCTCATCAGGTAAAGCGGAAAACCAGCGTATTGACAGCAACTGATAACCTAATACTGTATCATAGAACAGTACGCAGATTGCGGACAATGACCAAAATATCTTTTGCTTCATCGAAGCTCTACTGCGCCAAGAGCAGCGCTCAAAGCATTACCAAGGCCAACTAGAGTCCAAAATCCATAGCGATGCGGCAGAATTCCAACGCTCACGTGCCCAGATCCTGCGGTTACAGAGGGTAGTTTGTGGACTGCAGCATCAAAGATCGCAGCTTGAGACTTCATTGGCCTATATGGCAGAGGCCTGCCGGGTTATGGCTCGAGATGCAGGGCTTGAAAAGGTGAAAGTGCAGGAGCTTGAGTCTCGTCTCTCTGAGGTATACCCAAGCATTGATTCTCTGTTGCAGTACTTGGCCCCTGGAGAGCACAACGGTGATCATCTGAACGATGAAGGAGTGAATGGTCATCTTCTGCTTGAGAATCAACGCCAGCGAGAATTCATCAACAGCCTAGAGGCCAACCTCCTGGAGCGTGAGGAAGCGATACGAGAGTTGAAATCCAGGCTAGAAGAGACGGTGCAAGAGCATCGATTGGCGAGTCATGGCCAGCACGAGTCAGATCGACTGAGTCCCTACGAGATGACTGGGGGTACATCGGAAGAGTCAAGCGTTGAGATCATCACAGGATCCTCTGTCCTTTACTGAAGAAGCCAAAGAATCTTGTACACAAGGTTAGCGAAGAATGCTACACAGAGATCATGCTTTCATGTATTTACAGAGGCTGTCGAAGGATATCAAGCAGCAGGAGGGTTAGGGACCTGAACAGACAGTTCGCATCTTAGTGGTAACGACCTGGCTAGCCCTTTAACCAGTGTGTGCAAGCTGACTTGAACGGATAGGCCGTCAAGCCTAGAACACGCAGACTGAGATGACATAATTTTGGACAACTCTGTCAGTTGGATCTACTGACTGCACAGCCAGATTTCTAGAAAGTTGGTCCTCCAAGACTAAGAAGTGATTCATCTGGAGTTGAGTGCAGCCGCACGGACTTCCGCGCTCCCCCGAGGGCCGTTATCCTTAAATGGTTCTAGTTTTCAGGGTTTGACTAATAATATATCCTCTACAGAGCATTGACTTGACATTTAAAAGGTTCGGAAGACCCATTGCCGGGCCGTCCCGAAGCCTCAAGAACCTGTCTGTCCATGGGTCTGTTCCTGAAATCTCATTATAGGCCTAAAGTCTGGATGTGTCTGATTAGCTCCTGAAAGGATAAGAGGGGGGCAAAATTGAACTGTATAGATATTACTGTATCAAATCGCGTAATTTAGTATCCACTTATTCTCTCACTCATTTCCTGTTAACTTGGATCTTCGCAGCGTGCTTGGTCTATGTAAGAGTCTGATCCTCCTGTACTTTAGAACAGCGAAAGCGTAAGATTGCGATCGGCGCCTTCGTCATTCGTCCCCGCGCTCATGTAGCATTTTGACTGTGCTCCGGTTAGCGCGATCCGTTAGCTTGCCCGATGAACACATAAGACAGAAAGAGCACATAGCCTTTGACTTTCGGAGTTATTGTTCAATAAACCCGTTGTGACTCACTTGACGCTGCTGGAAATTTGGAGATCCTCAGTGGCGAACTAACACCCAGTCAACACTGGGATATAAAGTCCGGTCGAAATGCGCTCTCTGCTTTGTTTAAACGGGCCGGGCGAAGAGGAAATTCCTCAGAAATTCACCATATGGGTATCTGTCATGCTTCCCGGTGGTTCCGGCCCTTCACGGGGTGAAGTTTCGACACCTTTGAGGGATGTCCTAGGCATGGGTCGTTTTCGTCGCCCACCGGTTGTATAATGATACTTTTGAGGTTACGTTGGTCCACTTTTAATTCGCACTATTCTTGCCTCTGCCACTGCGGCTGGCTTATCTTGGTTATCCTTTAGGTTCTCATTACTTCCAGCCGCGGATCCTGGCGGCTAAGCCCGACGTTCCGTGTTCCCCGAGGCTTGCGATCGCCACATGGCGTTGCTTTCCAATGATTGAGAAACTAACATACGTACCAACGAATTTTGGGTTTCACGGAAGACCTATTGCTGGGGCGTCCCGAAGACTTATGTCTGTTCCCTCTTATTATGTGACAAGATAAGGTTGTATTGTATTTCATAGCCTTTGTGATGCCTAATTAGCTTCTCGTGAATAGAAAGAGAAATCAAATTTTAAGGCATGGACAATATACTGAATCACATGATCTTAAATCCATGCACACAACCCCTGAGCTCGGACCTTCCCAGGCCCCAAGCACAAGAATAGAGGCCGAACAGGGCTATACTTCTTTAAGACTAGCGCATGATTGATGGGCGGGGTTCTTAGTCTCCTGCTCATAAGACAATTTGACTGTGCCCGAGCTAGCGCGATCCTTTAGCTTGCGATTTGATGTGCTCTCGACTTTCGAAGTCGGATCTGACCGTGGAAGTGTGACGGACTTGACCTCTGCTAGACATTCCGAGATCCTCTATCACCAACAGCGCCTAATACCCAGTCAACATTGGTACTCCGGTGGAGGTTGCTCTCTCCGCGAGAGGGATTTCCCGGAAATACCTCCCCCTTTGGACTCGTTTGCTGTCGTGCGCTTTGCTTTCAAAGATCCCAACGACGGTTCTGCCTCGCTGTCTGCTAGCCCGGTAATAATGGTCCGTGTGTTTGTTCGGTTATGTACAGTGACACCCGTTATTGCCTTCCATATCGAGGAACAGAGAGATACTCTCTCGAACCCTAATCGCATGATGGACTTCAACTAATATAAATTAATTGTAAATTACAGGTTTTGAATATACATAGTGATAATAGCTGGTTTTGTACCTACTGGTATAGATACATGACTCTGCCTGGGAGACTGAAGGCTCCATGCAAATCGAGCAAACTAGGCGACCGTTGACAATCTGCCAACTTCCCTCCTCCATCCTTCAGTTGCCTTAGTGCAGAGGGTCTGACAGTGCCCTGAGTGTCCATCTCCAGTCAAGTTGATACAGTTCTATTCTAGCTTTAGGTTCATACGAATATACGTGTTGCATTCAGAGCAGTGCGACCTTTAGTACAGCTTCATTTTGGCCAAGAGACACCCTGAAGCTGACACACATCCAATGTATGACATCTTGTGAAACCTTGCAGCAGAGCAGTCTGGTATGTGTACATTGCGCATAAAATAGCGACATGAAAGATCTGGTGCGAGCTTCCCCAAATATCAAACTTACGGTGCCAAACGCTCCGGAATTCGGAACTATAGATGTTCGTCAGAATGATTGTCCCTTAGTGAATGGAATACGTAATAGGCGTCCCAACATACAGAGTATAGACTGACTCCAATGCTATAGAAAGTAAGTTCGAGCAGATACAATTTTACTTCAGAATATTCGAGCATATATTCAAGCCCATATCGTTTAACTCCATGGAGCAGGGGTATAAACGATGAAGCGCCAAAGATAACGAAGGCGCCAACCTTCACTTTCCGCCCGCGTGGAGTTCTGAACAAGGGATTCGAAATCAGAACACCGGTGACAGTACCCGTGGTTAAGACCTAGGGCTTATGTTAGCGTATCAACACATTTGACTCGGCTGCCAGGACGATAGGTTAAGTGGCGAGGATCGCTCGGAGAGACTCACAATAGCCCAGTGTAATTTTTGTAAGCTCGCTTCACAGAAGAATAAATAGTAGATACCGGAACAGAATGTGCCCATTGTTACCATAACAATACCAAGGAGATCCATTCCATGCCAGAACTGTTCTACTTGATGCGAGTAGGGTTGGATCAGGTGGTATAGTGCGCTAAGGACCAAGCAGATCTCCGCACACCAGAAGTAGATTCCAAATATAGCGTAGTCCATAGACGAGAGATTGTGAAATTGAGGCTCTGCTAGGTACCGTAAGGAGGTAATTGCGACGATTGGTAGGAGTAATGCCCCGATCAGATGAGTGTACACATTGCAAGCCTCGTTGTGCAAAAAGGTCAGGCTATTAAAGATCTCCAGATAGTCTGCTATTGCTGGTCGATAACCACTAAGTATATACTTGTTGTCAAACTGCCATTCGCAAATCTCCTGCCATGTTATGGTTCGCACCTTGGCCTTTGGCTGGTTTGCGAGGTCGTTCGTAGTGCTCATTTTGACTTTCGGCACTTGCCGCTTTGTGAGTTCTGCTGCTGACATGATCCTTCTCTCGAGATATCCGAGCTGTGCTAACTATGAAGAACGTAAAGCAGGGCACAGCAGAGTACAGCAGGAATAGATTACGGAGACGATTTGAGGGATCCCAAGGGGGTGGACTGCTGAAAGACGGGCAGAGGAACGGATAAGCGTCACGAAGGAAACTCGATGTAATATTAAGGGTTCGCGAGAGCTGTACCAAAGCGATTGTCCAGAAATATAAGAATAGAGAGAATGTGGCTTATCAAAGTCTCCGTACAAGGTTCTTCCCTAAGAAATTGCGGCGCAATCAATTGTGAGTCAGAGAGGATCATTCTCTGATAACTCGCAATTGTACGATTGTGCTAGGAGCTTTCTGCGGATGATCATCAAGCCGGCTCGCAGGCTTTTTGGAAGGTTTCTATCGGATATCGAGAACAGGAAGCCAGCCAATATGTGATATAGCAGTAATAGATGCCGTGGGAGATCACTTCGGTGCCATAAAATCGGGACTGTTCTTGCTTTACAGTCATTCTCGAAATCGGCTTGACCGGTACACACTCACACTCTCTCTTCTAGCCCCACCGCCAAGACCTTAGCGCAGATCATTTATTGAGCGGGCCGCAGCAAAGCGAGGGGCTCAGTAAAATGCGCCGTGTATGTTACAGTAATATGTGACATACAATTACATTACGTGCATGAGAACAAAGCCCATGGAATTCCAAAGAATTCTAGGGTGGATCCCTGCAAATCATCTGGGGAAGGCCACCTTGCACTAACTTGATGATCAGCTTGGAGACCTTTTTCTCCTTCTCCTCCTCCTTTTGTGCGGTGTGTGCTAGTCATCACTTGCGAGGTGTCTCTTTGGCCCAGAGAACCTCAACAAGTGATATTAGCGGCCAACAACCATCCTGAACAGCTGGCGGTTGTTTGCAGGCGAACAATTCCCTCAACGGCACCGGATGGTGTAAGCCTCCATTAATTATCACTCACCCTTAGTCTGTCGTTACCGTAGACCCCGAGAAGATGACTTCCATTTCCCTCGTTAGCCATGATGATTATGGCGTTCAACAAAGCACTGCACTTGACCAATGGGGCGATACATCACAATATGCACCAACACCCGGCTTTGCACCAACACCTGGCTATGCAACAACACCTGGCTATGCAACAACACCTGGCAACCTCCGTTGGTCACCCGCCTCCCCGTCCGACATAGGCAGCATCAACGTCAATCCCATCTCCCCTGTCGATTATGCCTCTCCACAACAACTTGCTTCGCAAAAGAATAGTCTTCCGTTGCTCCAGTTTGGCGATTGGGAGGAAGGTCGAACATATGACGAGAATCCACCGGTTTGTATCCACTACTTGATCGAGTGGAAAGTCACCCTAAATAACAGGACGGTGGCGAAAGATACGGAACAAGATCTGGTTCTAGCCCCTCGATTTCACTGGAGGCTCTTCTTGCAACCAAAGCTAAACGAGCTACTTGTACGAAAGTATCCACATCGAAAGCTTGAATCGGATGACACCTCTGTTGTCGTATCCGCCACCCGGCAGAAAGGCCTCACTCTGAGGTTTGATGGAACGGACATTGATTGGACCCCTGTAGAAAAACTGCTTTTAGATTGGGGAGACCTTTTCCTTGCTGGCAAGAGACTGAGATTGGTTGTCTCATTCAATTACATGGAGAACAATTCGAGCTCAAACATAAGTGGCAGGACGACTGATAAACGAGGCACTTCGTCTGCTACCCAGCGGATGCTTCAAGAGCGAGACCGACAGATCTATGCTGAGGAAGCAGCTTCCGGAGAGCCGCCTGCCTGGAAAGAGGTATATGCTTTGATGCGTTGTCCTGGGTCCTGTGAACTAGGCCCGCACTGCTGGCAGGATCCCTATGGGAAGAAACACTATAAGCTCTACCGGGACCAGCTGGAGAGCTTGGTCAAATACGTACAGAGCGGTGGTGTTTTACAATCGCATAAAGATGTGCCTGTTATGATTCGCGAGCAAATCTATAGAGCAGAGAGACAACGGCTCGACAGACCGCGGGCCAATAATCGATCTACTGCCGAGACAAGCTATCCTCCTATTACTATCACAAATGTGCTTCCCACACAAGCCCCACAAGCACCGGGGTGGTCAACATCTGCACCTCCAGAGGAGACTACTGCTTCTTCAGTCGACTTTCCTGCCATTCATATCTCAGGCCTTCTCGATGTTGCTGTGAGAGAATACAGCAGCTGGCAACAGTCACGTTTGGGTGATGAGACATTGAAGGCTGAGGTCAGAAAGGCGTGCGATATAGCCCTAGATGATGGACTGGACTTGGCGCAAATTGATGAAGACAAAGATCCCAATTACTTCAAGACGCGTGGGGTTAAGTGGGGTATTTGTCAAGGACATCAGGTACCGGGCAGAAAACTACAACGGATGCGTGGTAGGCGAAGCGGATATATAGTGAGAGCATTAGTTATTTTGGCAGGGACTTTTAGGCGTCTATATAATTTGAGATATCTTCCGCGCTTCTGGTTGGGAAAATCAAAGTTCATCCATTATCAGACCTGCATTCCGGAAATGACCCTCTGCGCTCGAAACCCTTGAGCCAACCACATCAACGTACCATTCAAGAAACGCATCAAAACCTTGGTTTGGATTGATTTTATACTCATTCCACTTGCGCTTGATAAATCGTTTTAGCTCAGAGAAGAACTCCTCAATAGGGTTCAAATCCGGTGAATAAGGAGGGAGATACATCAGCTTAACGCCGGCATCTAAGCACATTCGCTGGACGTTCTCTGTACGATAAAAAGAAGCATTATCCATAACGAGAACAGACCTTGGCTCTGGCCATCTGTTGCAGTGCTGAAGGAGTTGCTCGATGAAGTCTTCGAAGATATCGGCATCAGTAGTGCCCTGGAATACTCGACTCAGGACAAGTCCATCTTGAGCATACGCAGGGAGTATCTGGTAGCGTCTGTCCCGGTGGAATTTCGAGATTTGAATTGGTGTCACACCCAGAGGTGACCAACCAGTTCGTCGAAACCCGGCCCTTTTGTCACAACCTGACTCATCCACGAAGATCAATTGGTAAGACTTGAAAGAAGATAGGTTATAGAGGTAGAAGTCCCGCAAATCTGCATTTTGTTCCTTTGCAATCTGGCGAGCTGCTTTTTTCGACCATCCGACCGACGCAAGCGCCCTGCTAATGCTTTGAATTGTCACATGCTTTCCGAATTCGTCCCACAGGAACAAAGCCATCTCGTCTTGGTATAATGTCGGCTTCTCTGTCAAATGTTCGCGAAGAGCTTCGAGCATAGGCGGCGTGATAGTTCGCGGGCGTCCAACACCATTTCGCGGCGGCGCCCTAACGTTCCCGAATACTTTGAGATTGGAGCGAATGTGTACTATGGATTGCTTGCGGCAGTCAGCCGCATGGGCCATCTCAGACGTCGTTAGTGAGTTACTCTGAATCATATGGTGAATGAGCTCGAGCTGTGGGGGTTTGAAATTTGGTGCCATAGTGCTCCGAACGAAGTAGAATGGTTGTCTGAATGGTTGTGCAACGTGGGCTTAGTCCAGGTCCCGTGGTGGTTTAGCCCCTGGATATTACGGGCCGATAATAAATCCGATGTTATCTGCGCCGACAAATTCTATGCAATTCTAGGGGAATCTCTAAAGTGTGATTTGTGCCTGGGAACTGACCGTTTTGTCCCCGGGGAAACTAAGTGGCTTTCACTCGGAATTTTATGTAGTGTCAGGGGAGTTGATCTCATCTGAGAGTTATCTACGTTCAAGCTGATACTGAACAAAGCGGATTGGTAGGCGGTAGGAGCGGACCGAGCCGCCTTGAGTATGACCCCATCTTGAAGTTAAATGCCAGCAGCACAGTGCCACGCGTGGGCGGACGGAAGCCACAGACACTCTTGGTTCTTCCATACTATAATGCCAAGGGCACGTGCACATACCTGGCAACTCGGGTTGGTAGCCTCAGCTCAACCCCGCCTTCTTCTGACAATCTCCTGACATCGTTTCCCACGAGCTCCGCTTTACAATATTATTTTCTCTCTCATGTATCCATAATTGACAGGTCAGAAATTACAACGCCCAATCTGATCGTATTGGAGTCTATCCATTATGGATGCCAGGAACCGATCCTACGACGATTATACGGTCGGATGGATATGTGCCTTGCCGGTGGAGACCGCAGCTGCGAAGCTGATGTTGGACAAAATACACCCGCCTTTGCCTCGCCTGCCGATGGACCAAAATACATACATTCTTGGAAGCATCGGGGAACGCAATATCGTTATTGCTAGCTTACCAACTGGCGCATACGGCACTACATCAGCCGCAACGGTTGGGATGCAGATGCTGTCTAGCTTTCATGCCATCCGCTTCGGTCTTATAGTTGGTATCGGCGGCGGAGTACCAAGCAGCAATGCAGACATTCGACTCGGGGATATTGTAGTGAGCCAGCCGACGGGCACTTCTGGAGGCGTTATCCAATACGATTTCGGCAAAGCGCTTAGCGGCGGCAGGTTCAAACGCACAGGTATGCTTAATCGACCTCCCAAGGTTCTGTTGACCGCTCTCGCGACTCTCCAAGCACATCACCTCACGGAAGATAGCCGGATCGTTGAATTTGTTTCCAACCTGCAATCCAAAATAGCGCCCCACAAAGCTACCAAGTTCATGCGACCCACGCAAGAGGACTGTCTATTCCAAGCAGAATATGATCATGTCGCATCCGACACGTGTATAGATTGCGATCGATCTAAATTCGTTTCACGAACCCCACGAGAACACCAAGAACCCATAATTCACTACGGACTCATCGGATCGGCAAATCAGGTTATGAAGAATGGCAGGCGACGAGATCAGCTGGCTCGGGACTTGGGTATATATTGTGTGGAGATGGAAGCGGCGGGACTGATGAACGACTTTCCGTGTCTAGTCATCCGGGGCATCTGCGACTACGCCGACTCACACAAGAATAAAGAATGGCAAGGGTATGCGGCCGCGGTAGCGGCGGCCTATGCAAAAGAGCTTCTCTTGGTGGTTGCAATCGATCAGATCATCAGCACACCAACCGCGCGAGACACACTCGCATACTCTGGTGAGAGGACGTCAATAATATTCCTTAAGTAATTCGGATCCATCGCTAAATATTGCTTCACATATATAGCTCACCGCTTCGACATTCCATTAGACCTAACGGCTGTGCCAGTAATTGAAAATTTCGTGGGACGGCAATGCGAGCTAGACCAACTATGGCAGTATCTACAGCCCACGGATCCCAAGTCACGAAAGGTTGCAGTTATTCATGGGCTTGGAGGGATGGGAAAGACACAGCTAGCAATTCGTTTCTCACGGGACCATAAAGATGATTTCAGTGCCGTTTTCTGGCTGAGTGGTAAGGACCGAGGCACGCTATTACAATCATTGAGCTCTATCTTGCCCCGATTGCCAGGGCAGTCATATACTGACGGGGCATTGAATGACGAGGAGGTGGAGCATCGAGCTAGATATATGTTGAAGTGGCTAGCAGAAAAGGCAAACTCACGCTGGCTAATCATTTTTGACAACATCGACCAACACTCCCATTCCGATAGCCCCACTAGTGATGCATATGATATTGCTGAATTCTTCCCTGGAGCCGACCATGGCTCTATTCTCATTACATCTCGGTTACAAGGGCTGACAGAGCTGGGAAAGTCATTTCCTATCCATAGGCTTGACTTGAAGAATGCGATTCAACTGCTCTTACAAAGCAGCCGTCTGTCAATGAGGAATACAGCTAAGGAGCTTGAGAGCAATCCAGGTATTGAGGGACTCAATGCTGGAATTTAATTTATGATACTAATATATATAGATACCGTTGCTCTTGCGAGCCGTCTAGATGGACTTCCATTGGCAATCGTCATCGTCGGGGCGTTTATGCGTGCAACTGGAACCAGCATTGCCGAGTACCTGCAGTTCTACCAAGAGTCTTGGTCCGATCTACAGCTGCAGTCAAATTCTGAGCGCCATTACCAACAAGGTAACATGCTACAAACATGGATGATCTCATATCATGAGATCCGGAAGCAAGATCCGGACGCAGCGGAGCTCCTCCTTTTCCTTGCTCATTTCGACAATCGGGATATCTGGTATGAATTGATACAAAGCAGCCGCCATAGCTCAAGCATTCCTGTGTGGCTTGAACGAACCATATCAAGCGGACTGGCCTTCAAAGTTGCTGTAAGGTCTCTCATCGAGTTCTCTCTTCTTGAGATCAAGGAACAAGACGGAGGCTATGCTATGCACCCAGTGGTACAAGACTGGTGCATTCACGTTGCCAGCACAGACACGGTTGTCGACTTAAGCCAGCTCAATGAACTCGCACTGATATCTGTTGGATACACCGTCCCCAGTTCTAGTGACAGAAATTATTCTACGCTTCAACAACGGCTTATTCCACACGCGAATCATGTACGCCATAGGGTTTGGTCAGGTGATAACATTGATTTTGCGGTATGGGAAGCATTTGGTGGTTTGGGCAATCTCTACAGAGATCAGGGGAAGCTACGAGAGGCAGAAGAGATATACCAGCGAGCATTGGCAGGCTGTGAGAAGGCCCTCGGTTCAGATCATACGTCCACTCTCGATACTGTCAATAACCTTGGGAATCTCTACAAATTTCAGGGAAAGCTGAAGATGGCAGAGGTGATGTATCAGCGAGCACTGGCAGGCAAAGAAAAGGCCCTGGGTCTTAATCATACCTCCACTCTTGAAACTGTCAACAACCTTGGAAGTCTCTACTATGATCAGGGGAAGCTGAAGGTGGCAGAGGAAATGTACAAGCAAGCACTAGCAGGCTACGAGAAAGCCTTAGGTCCGCATCATGAAACATATCCGCCCTCTCTCAGTACTGCCAATAACCTTGGACTTGTCTACTCTGATCAGTGGAAGCTAGGAGAGGCAGAGGAGATGTACCAGCGAGCACTGACAGGCTATGAGAAGGCCCTGGGTCCAGATCATACGCTCACTCTTGAGACTGTCAATAACCTTGGGAATTTCTACTCTGATCAGGGGAAACTGCAAGAAGCAAAAGAGATGTACCAGCATGCACTGGCGGGGATGGAAAAGGCCCTCGGTCCAGACCACCCGTCCACTCTCACTACAATAAACAACCTTGGCGTTGTCTACTTTGACCAGGGGAAACTACAAGAGGCTGAAGAGATGTACGATCGAGCACTCGCAGGAACGGAAAAAGTCCTCGGTCCAGATCATACGTCCACTCTTGATACGGTTCACAATTTTGGGAGTCTTTACAAGAAATTGGGGAAGTTGCAAGAGGCAGAAGAGATGTATCAGCGAGCACTAGCAGGCTACGAGAAGGCCCTCGGTCCAGACCACCCGTTCACTCTCACCACAACTAACAACATTGGCCTGGTCTACTTTGACCAAGGGAAACTACAAGAGGCTGAAGAGATGTACGATCGAGCACTCGCAGGAACGGAAAATGTCCTTGGTCCAGATCATGCGTCCACTCTTGATACGGTTCACAACCTTGGGAGTCTTTACAAGAAATTGGGGAAGTTGCAAGAGGCAGAAGAGATGTACGATCGAGCACTAGCAGGCTATGAGAAGGCCCTCGGTCCAGATCATACATCCACACTTCGTACACTCAACAACCTTGGGAGACTCTATTCTAATCAGGGGAGGCTGCTAGAGGCGGAGGAGATGTACCAACGAGCACTTACAGGCTACGAGAAGACCCTCGGTCCACATCACAAAAGGACTCAGCGGCTCAAAGAGAGGTTAAATGGGCTAGGCATCGCAGATTGATAGTAGCGCAGTAGCCTCCATGTACAGTAGAATATTGTTACTTTGACTTGACGCATTCTTCCTATCGGGTTCACAAAATGTCTCTACGTAAGGCAAAAAGCCGGTCCCCTTGCAGAGCATGTTTATCTCTTGACCTGACCCACTATCGTATTCGAAAATGGCATAGGATAGGTTCCATCCTGAATAACGGTCGCAATTGTGTACGTGAAGAGAACCCATTTCGTGTAAGCTAGGAAGGGGTCTAGTGGTCACCCCAGCAGATCATCAAGACTTAGTGCCAGCGAGCCTTCATCCACATGATCTCCAGAGATCCACCATCGGTTTCTACGGGATTCCGTAAGTTTTCTTTCCGTACGCATGGTGTAATTTTACGTCACAAGGTAATATAACATACGCGGCGACTTTTACTGCGCCCTGAGAGCCGTGCAATAAATGATCTACGCTAAGGCCTTGGCGGTGGGGCCGAGAAAGAAAGTCTCAATGTGTACTGGTCAAGGCGATTTCGAGAATGACTGTATTGTATCATATGAACAACCATTTAACTCCGCCAAGCATCCATTTTTTATTGCCACTGTGTAACTCGTTTAAGTAACTGCAGTTGCTGGGTTGGGGGAGTGAACGAACGACGCCACGGTGGGTTGGGTGGTTATTTTTGGCTATGTAACAGTACATGAATGTTCAAGTCTATGTTTTCGTCCTTGTTACAATACAACCTGGAACAAGTTTTTACATACCGAGGTGGCTATATAAGGTTTAGCTTGTCATTGTGACTAGGGTTTGAAAGAGCATCTCTTTGACTTCCAACATGGAAGGCAATAACGGGCGGCTCTATACAACTTGGCCGGAGACATTGGTCTGTTGTTGATACTGTACATTAGCTTCCGTTACAATACAATCTTTTGTAATGTCTAACTTGCTTTCTTGCCCATATGCCGCCATCATAATATTGTGTGCTATTCCGGGCCATATTTTCAAAAGATCCGAGACGTAAAGGTATGGGTCATGGGCTAGCAGCCGGGGGATCACCATTCAAGCCGCCGGATTTTCGCAACACCAAAACAGTGTCGCAGCATCAAAACAGTGTCGCAGCATCAAAACAGTATCGCAGCATCAAAACAGTGTCGCACCTGAAATAATTAAAGTATGGTTTTACGTCACAGAATTTTTTTTGGTTATCAGAGAGTGATCACATGTGATGAGTTACCTGCGACGTCGCCTTATTCAGCTCCTCTTTATTCGGCTGTACGTCTCTTCAAAACACGTACAAAGTTCTGGCCTCTGTTTCTCTAATGCTGCTTTACCAAACAAGAAATACCTAGACACTACTGGACACGATGCTTCTAGCTGGTTGGTTTTGTTTGGCGACAATTTGTGCTGCTCAAATGGTGAATCTATTACTGCCAGGTTTTCAGGGGCGTTCACTAGAAGCAAGTGTCAAGAAGAAGGTACTGTATACAGTACACATTACTCGTCTTGATTGAAATTATGTATATGATTCATATTATACTGACTCCATGAAGGATCTAAATGTCACAACTTATATTGTGGTCTGCCCAAAGACCATTAGAGCATCGGACTGTGGGATCCTTGGGGATGGCATCACCGTCATCGCTGGTCCAACCTTCGCCGAGATAAGGCAGGCCAATAATTTAAACAAGTGAGTGACGCTTCATTAATTTACAAATACCTTCTAATGGAAATAAATATAGTACCGCATCTCTATCTTGCCACGTTACTGGAACAACCTATGCGTCCTGCCATGCAAGGCAAACGATCTCTGTGCAGGCCACATTAGCACCAAAAGACCTGAACTGGATGAATATACCAATCATTTCAACGACTGAAGAAGCTATATTTGCTCCTTCATCTTTACCAAGTGTGATAGCAACCAAAATAACCACCGATGCATCATCAATTTCCCAAGCTACGGCTATCCAGGAGCCAACCGAAAATAAGGGAACAGCTATAAGTAGTATGACTCAGGCATTATATGACATCTCAGCTTCAATGGTCTTATTTTCTATGGGCTATATCCTATCGCTTGCCTTTTTGGATTGGGAAATTGTGCCATTTCGTTTTCTATAGCCATTGTCGCGAGTACGTTCCTGGATCAAAGTGACAGCCTTACTTCTTGGGTCTTATTTCTATTATATGAAAATGCGTTTTTGCTATGTATAGAATTCAAATACTATTGTTTTTTCCTTAAACTTACTCTGGTCATTTTATAGTACTGTATATACAAAGCATTGTTTGTGCATTCAATAAAAATGAAAATGAGTACTTAAGCAAGGACTAATCAGGGCCAATTGCTCTAATAACACCGTATCCCCCATACAATACTGCTATCCCTCGGCTCAGTCTCTTCCCCTGATCTCCTATTTCCTCAGTAATTTGTGGGTGATAATGCGGCACCACCAGAGAGATGAATAAATATGCCCTGACCATCTCTCACTGCCTTGTGGATTTCCTGGAACTCGCGATTATGGACCCAAAAGTTCCATTCTTTCTTGGTCCACGCGACATTCCTTTCAAGGAACACCTGCAGATCCTTCATTTTGAGAATCATATTCATCTCTTCTTCGAACAATTTGCATCCCATACCCGCCAAACAGGATTGACAGAGTGTGTATACGTTGATGCGTCGCTTGGCAGGAAGAATGTGAGACCACATGATTGTGAAAGAGGATCCTGGGTCATAGGTGACAAATTTGATATCTAACTTTTGGTTTCCGGAAACCGTGCATGATGCACATGACCAGAACACCCTTCCCTTCATCTGAATGCTATTAGATTCCCACAACCAATCTCCACATTCTCTTAAGCTCACCTTCACAGTGTTGAGTAGGATGAACTTCACAAACGGTAGCTTTGAGTGAATACAGGTGGCACGGAATGGAAATGTGCGGTGGGTTCCAATAAAACTGGCTTGTTATGTATATCACTAGACCCTTGTAGTGACTAGTTTAGTCTAGGATTCTGAGACATTGTCGCAGAGCAGGAACGTAATACATGGGTGGGCCAACATCATTGCCCCGTATTTTCGTGTAGGCAGGCCTGATAATATAACGGCAGCTATTGTACTGTACAAGAACTAAACTCTTTATTTTCAAATTTTTACAAGAAGCAAAATTCAGCTAGACAACCCTCAAACGAAATGGCGAAGCTAACAGACCTCCCGTTTGAAATCCTAGAACTCATTACATCTAAGTTGAGCGGATGCACACTCAGATCGTTCTCTCTGGCAAGTAGAAAATGCAGAGCAGTGAGCGAACCCGACATGTTCAGTACGATCAAGATCACATTTTCGGAGTTTGACTTCACTATGCTAGAGGAATTATCAAGGTCTCCTCTAGCAGCATATGTGAAGATTCTTCATTATGATGCCTCGGAGCTATTTGATCCAGGTATGTCACACATGTGCGGACTGAATATATTATGCTTACATCCACCAGAAATCCAGAATTGGGACTATTTCACCTCTTGCATATATACTCCACAAGAGTATGCAAAAGACTACACAGACTTTTGCTGGAACCTCAGAGGCAACAGCTTCGCTTATAAAGCTATCTATGCTTATTTCGGGAACCTTATCATCGACCAGCAGGCTATTATGGAAGAAAGGAAGGATATTCGTGCATTTACGGAAAGTCTTCCCCGCCTCTTGGAGCTGAAGACTATTAAGTTGTCTTTTACCGGAGAGCAAGATAACCAACTGTTATGGTTTTCGAACCGGTTATTTATTGACAGCTGGAACTCATTTGCGATTCATTTTGAAGCAATGCTGAGAGGTATGATAGCAGCGAAGTGGAATGGGCTGGCTATTGAGTCTTTGGAGATAGATGGGATGCCTTTCAGATCAGCTCACGAATCCTCAAATATCCTACAGATTGCAGAGCAAGGACTGGCTTTCGTTAGGAACTTCAAGTTAGTGAATAGCCCTGGATTGTTGGACTTGATGTCTGCTGTCCCTTTACCGTGCCTGCAGAGATTTGAAGTCACAGATTGTTGGCTCCTGGGCTCTAAGTTAATTCGGCTCCTGGAGGCTCATGATGGAGCTGTGCAGCACGTGGAGTTCCATAGAATAAGTCTTTTTTATGAAAGGTTCAGGCCGGGCCCCCGCTCGTCGAGTTGCGCAAGAACATTCTGGGAAGTTGTTACTGAGACCGGAAATACTGTCAAGGTTGAAAAGCTAGTAATTACACCAAATTGAATGTAGATTATATAGCCAGCCTGAATGGGATCTGTCTTAAATTTTGTGGTAATGTCAATCGTCTTAAAGCGAGTTCTCATCATATCCCTCAAAAAGTAACTGTACTAGTGTTTTATACAGCATAACAAGGATGTTCAGGCTGACACTGGTAAGGCCTGCTAGACCTAAAACGGCCGATGGGCTGGTTTCCATTATTATATATAGCTTGCAACCCTAGTTCAACCCGCACTTACAAACATCATGGACGGACAACTTACATCGTTGGGGAATAAGAAGCGGGCTTCTTGGAGGGCTACTTGCAGGAATCGTCTTTCTCAGCATATTTGTTATTTGCCATTCACCCAAATCCGTTTCGATTATTCGCTAATATCTAAGCTAGGGGAGACGCTTGGTATCGAAGTGCAACCATCTGATGTGCGATTAAAACCAGAAGAAGACATGCCGTACAAATGGCAGATAGATGATCCGGCTCTTGAACCATTATTCCAGAAGCATCTGAGTAAACACTCAGTTGGGGCTTACATGCTGCTTCACAGGAGCGCAGGCCAGACCTTCCATGCGGTCCGACCGGAGAAGGTAGTTGATCACTATTTGAATTGCAAGTCGGAATCACTGAACATCACAGATCGTGAAAAAGCAGGAAGACCTCGATCTCATCTCCAAACTAGAAGCTGAGAACCTCAGTCTCACTGAAAAATTAAGACGAGCCGAGGAAACAGCACATCGAAACGAACAGGCTACGATAGAAGCAAAAGATGAGATTAGTTCTCAACGATCTATAATAGAAGAAACCCAAATGGCTATCCACCGTCACGAGCAGGATATAGTGAATTGGATGTCCCTCTGTGAATGGTATCAGTCGAAGTGTCTCCAGTGCTCTAGTATGCTGGGCCAGATGATGGCATTTTTACAAGGCGATACCCCTACTGCGTCAGAAGTAGCTACGTGGCCTACTACTCAAAGCAGTGGAGATACTGTGTCCAGTCCGCAGCAGGAGTACATGCCGAGGTAGTATAAGAATAAGATACATTTTCCCAGAGCTTCCTAGCATATCAACGGTATGAATTAATCACCGCGATATACATTTCCTCACTCATTGAATTCAACAAGTTTCATCATGGGGTAGCGTTGAATTATTGTCCCACATGTTTTCGTATCCGACAGCCTTTAATTCTGCGACACGCTTTTGGTCCTGCGACATGCTTTTGGTCCTGCGACACCCTTTCAGTCCCGTAGTACCATTTGGGTTCTGTAACACTCTTCGTGGTTTGCAACTCCAGTTGCCGTGTACAGCAGCCATAAGCGTAGCATTTTGTTCATTTGTAGTAAAAATATATAACGAGTTCTCTTGCACCACACAACTTCTGTGATCTTTACATTTCCCTAAGATTTTAATTCGAATATGCCGAAGAAAAGAAATAAGAAGGCCCAAAAGGCCAACAAGAGCGCACGCGATATCCAAACACCTGTTTCCGACAGAGAGAATAACGTTGATTCTGAAAGGGCCATACCGAAGCAGAGAACGGATCCCGAAGGTACGTGCATATTTGCCTCGTTCAATTCCACTTCTAACTATGAACATTCACAGCAGAATCTAGTCGAAATAAAATAGGCAAAAAAGCCGATGTAAGGACTAGGTTTGCTAGGAGCCCAACTCGAGAAGGAGACTTTGCACCAAATGCAAGCGACTACGATTCAGATGACCGAACAGATCTGGAATCGAATGATGCTTCCGATCAAGACAGACCAACTGAGCAGCAGCCAGATCCTCTGAGCTCTTGGGTGAAGGATGTCATTCGACGCGAAACATCGAAAGAGTCAGAGAGAATGGTGGAGGAATTTTTCACGGCCCAAGAGCCTGCCTACGAAAACTGCGAAGCGTTCTTCCACAGGCTCAATCAACTTATCCGAGGTGCCAATGAGCGGAATGATGTCACAGATATTGATGTTGGTACTATTCCCGCGACTGGTTATAATGGCCTATGCCAGACTTGGCAGCAAGCAGCAAACAAAGCGGTCGCAGATCATTCCTCGGATGAATTTTGGTCTGCCTTCAATCAGACTCGCGATCTTCTAAAGCTTTTCAACAAAAGGCATCATCTTCCACGAACCTGGAATATTAGCCAGGAATGGGCAGAGCAAATGATTGGGGTATCGAATCCCAGAGCTGAAAATGATTCTGAGTCTACTAGCGACGATGGTCAATCCGCTCTGACCGATCAGCCCGCAACGAGCGAAAGACTCAGTGTCGGCTCCGATATTGATTCCGATGACAACGATCAGACCGGGCTTGATGCCTTGGAAGCGAGAACTATGAAGCAGCAACGCCGACTAACATCTGCCAAAGTCTTATACTGGTGGCCAAAAGGTACCGGTTCTCAAATTTTTGTGCGATATGGAGACCGGACGACCCCGATTTATCGTATTCGGGCGGGGTCTCACGAGAGCTACAGTCCTCACACAGTCGAACGTGTCCTGACTACAAAAACACGTGGCAACGTCAAAATAACCGGGACTAAAAACGGTCTCCCAGAGGAATTCTGGAAATACAAACGCAAAGATGTGGAGAACATCCTTGGAGTTGGTTGGAAGATCGAAGATGATGATGAAGAGGGCCTCAATCCTCTCAATCTACTGCAGCCTGCAAAGGGCGCATCCTATCCACACACGCGCGCACTGGTGAAATGGAGAGATGGTGTGATAACATTAGAAGGACGTTCATTCATTCGTCGTATTTCCACTGGCTCGGCACTAGACGGCGATCGAGTGATATATCAGAAAGCCGAAGAACTCGAGACGGCTTACCGCGAGCGGCACGGGCTGGAGGATCTCGTCGATGACCACTACGATGATGAAGACAGCGATATAGGAGTCAGTCATGGTAGAAGATATCGAAGCGAGCCTGCACGTTACTCAAGGTCAGTCAGGGCGAAGACTAGAAATCACTTCCGCTATGATTCTAGTGAAGACAGTGACTCTGAAAGCGATGCAGCCGCGCAGCCACACAACAGCCGGTACACGAGACACCGCAGTGAGCCCGATCGCCGTCCAATGAGGCGCACAGGCAAGGCAAAGTCGAAGACTGAAAAAGATGACGCATTGATTAAGAAACTAGAAAGAGAGATCCAGCGACTAAAGGTGGGAAGATCGAAATCCCCCGAAGAACGTCGAAGGTCGCATGGTCGTGAGCGCACAATTTGAATACGATCTTGAGCTGATGGCTTGCTATGATTTCCCCTTTGCCAAGCTGTTGCCGCTCAAGTGAGCTAGTTACTTTGGAATTCAAGCTTTGATTTTCCCTATTTATGCGTTTATATAGGAGCAGGCCTCCTATGAATATGAAATTGTGTTATTCAAATTGGAACGGAATCCCTAGTAGAACCTGTAAATCCCAAGCTGTATTTTGTGCACAGACCGATTTAAACAAGTACAGTATGCTACGCGGTGTTTAGAATCGTCTTCAAAAAGTATCAATACGTGTGGCGGAGCGAAGCGGAGCAATATACTAGCAAAATTTACACTTTGGCAGAATGACGCACTTTGATTGGCCAACGGCGAGATAAAGTTGGTTTACTTGGCTACAATGGCTGTCCTTCTCTTTTAGGTTAGACCGCGCCAGCGAGCTATCCTCTTTACGGACGGATCGTCTTCCCTATTGAGCCCGGAACAACTTTACAGCTACCCCGTCGCCGTGAGATTTTCCCTCCTACTTCGACTGAGAAGGAGCTTCATTATTTCACCCTCATTTCCCTCGTTTGCCGCGGCCGTCTTAATTATTCTTTGGGTGATTCTGATGTCAAATTCTCTTTCGTCAAGAAGAAGTTTCATCAAAGCATATCTAACTCCCTCATTCGCTGCAGCCGCTAGGACTATGTCCTCGGTGATCTTAATTTCGTCTGACAGCCTCTTGATGACCTTGCGACGAGGCGACCTGGAGAGCGCTGCCGTACTCACCGCCCCATGCGTTGACGTCCGCACCCCTGTCCAAGAGCAGTTTGATAACCTAAGGATGATCAACAGTCCAGAGTTCTGGAACGACTCGAATCAAGATCTACCAACCTTAACCATCTTACGTTAAATCGTACCCGCTTTGTGAACGCTATAGAGGACTTCCAGAAAAAGCTCCTGGCGACTTGGGAGGGCGAGTAATAATATATTATTACTAGCAATCTATATATATATTCCGGCTTGTTCGTGTTCCATTCCCCTTCTATGCCTATCATAATTTGTGAAAGCTACAGGGTGGCCTGGAGAGGTAGGGCTGAACCTCTTGGAATTTCCCTGCGATCTCGTCGCGGGAGCGCAGGATAAACACCCAGCAGTATTGTGGTATATTCTGCAAAATATCGGCCGCCATCCATCGTAGTGGTCGAAATAGGGCTCTAAATGTCGATATGAAGCCGATTGCCCGGGTTGGTCTTGGTCCGCTTCTCCTTGCCAAAGGATTAAGCGTGATCCTTTCCCATAATACACGGAGTGCACAGCTCTTTGATAGTAGATCCCTTGATGATAGAGATCCCTTCACTATGCTCCGGCATGAGCTTCACCTTGTGCTCGCCTACGTGGCAAGCTCGGCGATGAGCCAGCTCCATACGGATGCGGCTTAGAGGTGCTCTTGAAACCGAGGCAGCTTCGAGATCGGAAGCACGAACGAATAAGGTACTCATCGTAGAATAAGCAACAGTCGCATGCTGTCTGTGCAGCTGACTATCTCCGTTAACGGCATGCGGCCAATATTAACCGCGATCCGTCTCCGAGGCAAGGTACGCTACGTGTTGGTGGTTGAGAGCGACGTCCAAGCCGTGGTACTTTGGCATTTGCACGCATTTTAGCTAATATTAAGGAGCAGAGATCCAGAGTATAGCTATGCATGCACCCTCATCCCTCTATCTACCCACTTCCAGTTGTTCTGCCAGCTGAGTGGGGAAAAATTGGCAACCTCGGAATTCTATCCAGCGACGAAACTGCGTTTTCAGATAAATCAGCGCTTCTGCTCGTGCGGGGGAAAGAAACCATCCTCTTACTAACAGTTGCAATGCGACCACCTAACCAGAGGCACCGGTACAGTCTCAAGGTGGCAGTATATTGGTTTTCAATAATTCGTCTGTCATGTTCTGGAGGGGCATCATTGAAGAAGTCATCTGGGTGGTAAAGCTGACTCCATGACTGGCCCCGAATGAGGAAATCTTCTGGTAGGTATTTTATCGATCCGTCGGTCAGTGGGAATGAAGATCGTCCAAATATTGAGATAACTGTATCAGGCTTGACCAAGCTATTGAGGTAGTGCGTGATTCGCATCCAGGGAATGTATCGTTCAAGCTGCTGCATTGCAGGTGGATGAAGAGCCAGACACCAGACGAATGACAACGATATGTGAATACTGGGAAAGACAGTTGGGTTATCCACTTGGTCAAGAAGGACGGATAGTGTATGGAATGCGAGAGAGCTTTCTTGGTACGCGATTTGAGGGTTGATGGCGGTGCCAGCTTCAATTGAGCACCGTTTCTGGCCTGACATCAACTCAAGTGCCACATTGTGTGCCTCCTTGAAGTTGGTTTCCCCATGTCGCTTGAACCACGATAAGGCTATGACGGCATCAGGCTCGCCATATTGAAGAACCGAGGCGATATTACAGGACACAATATGGACTACTTGTTGTTCAGTGAGTAGCAGGCGAGTGTCCCGTTGTAACAGAGCCAAGAAACGATTCCGGAGAGTAATAAATTCACCAGGGGGGATTGCGTAAACAATGCCCTATGTGTTGCAATGAAAGCTGTGATAATTTCATCTTGATGAAGAACCTTTTTCTCAAAATGAGTAAAGAGCCACTCAATCCCGTCTCGTGCATCAGGGAAAGGGAACACGGTAATCAGTGCCTTCATGAGGAGAAATAGTTGCTTGAGAAAATCTGGCCAAGCTATCATTGCTAGACGATATTGTATTCGGCCAATTTTAGGTGATTGATCCGAGACTTGACTGTACCAATCTCGCGCTATGCCGGCCCAGACTTTGCAATCCATTTCCGATTCTTTGAAGTCCATGCCAAATTGGGCTAGATCCCCAAGAAAGTCCATCCATGTCTCGCGAAATACTGAGACGTTCTCTAACAGAGAAGTGAGACTCGAATAGGCGATATAGATGAATGTCCACACGTAATCCAACGATTGCGGACGTTTGGCTTTCAGTGCGGCTAGGGGCGAGTTGATCCCGGTGCCCCACACACGTGTAGGCATCTGATACTTTTCTGCAACGCTCTTCAATATCGTCCCGCCAGAGAGGCGCTGGGATGTGAGGAAGAAATCAAGGTACATCTCAAGTAAGTTTTGGTGGCAGTGCAGGAGGCTGGACAATTCTACCTTGCATTCACGCCACTGCTGGACCATTTCAACGCATCTCTTCTCCACGTTGACCAGGTCGGAATAGATTCTCTGTACTTCATTGACCAGCTGGTCTTCGGAGATAGGAATGAACGGTGGTTCCGTAAGCATCACCACCTCACTCGGCGCCGGTGAGCTTTCTAAGGCGTAGTCCTGTTCGTGTTGGGACACTGACATGGTAGAGCCGTCTGACGAAATTGCTTCATTTAAATGATCTCTGGTTGAAAAGGGCCTGTCCTCCAGGTGGCAAGGAGGGCAACAAGACATGACGATGAAGACCAGACGATCTGGTAGTTGAAAAGTGATTAGTTCTCGACCGCTCGAGTGTTCGGGCCTGAAACTTCCTGGGAAAAGGCGGGCTTTAAAAGCCGTCCTTCTTCGCCCTGGCGGAAAATGGGTAGTGTCTAGGTGCTAGCTATCTATTGGTGGTGGAGACAAGCCTTGTATCTGACACGGTATAGCGTAGATTACACATGGCGCGCACTACCGAGACTCGGGAGGCTGCAATAAATGAATATTACATTTCTCCAGGGCCGGAGAAGTACAGCCAGCCTCGCCAGGGTATTGCCGGCAACTCTCGATTGATTCCCTGATCTAGTTTTGCCACATATGAGAATATCGGCAATTTAATTCTTAAAGCTCAACTTTTTCTAGCCAACAAACGGAGCTGCAAGGATAGGAAAGCAAATTCTTTTCCCTTGACTGTTGCCCTGATTTCCAAGCGACCCTCTAGACTTTTCTCTTCGACCCAAGCCCCCATTTTCTAAGATCCTGAAATCCACTCCAACTAGTCATCCTAAATCTCCTCCCTATCCACGATGGCGAAGAGTGATACATTGCGTACACTTCTGCCTGCAAAAGCTGAACACACCGTTCGGCATTCAGGAGCAGACTCGGCCAAGGAGAGGAGACGCAACGTTTCCATCGCGTGTACAGAGTGTCGAAGAAAGAGAACAAAGGTCAGACAACCGAATCCCTACCCCCGTATTCGACGGCAGGTCTGACATTCCCAGCGTAGTGCTCCGGAACGACACCATGCACAAGCTGCAAAAACAAACAACGCCAGTGTCTATACGATCCAACGAAGCACCAACGCAATGCACATCCTGCACTTTGCAGAGTGGTTACCAAGCTCCGCTCTGGAACCTCCAAGGAGATCTTACAGTTTGTCCTCCGGATACGAAGCTTGAAAACAGACGGAGATGCAGTCAGTCGGCTGTTAGATGACTCGATCCCGGAAGAGTTACCGAACGGCCATGATCGGAAGGAGTGTAATTAAAGTTCGCCAAATGCACGACTTCAACATGGATGGTTTACTTTGGTTCGGCGCGACACTTCAAAGGATTCCGGTTTCTGGATGCTGTTTCGTGGCAAAGAAGGAAGACGAAGTCAATCTAATAGTTAAAAGTGACGCGGACAATCAATGGCCGTCTTTGTCAACATGATAATGCCTAGGCTGATGAATTGGGAAATTTCGTGAAGAATAAATCAGTTTCCAATGGCGAAAGACCCTCGATACCTCGACACGAGTGTAATACTGTTCGCTGGTTCTGCAGGGAGACATTCTTGGTAGAAGTAAGTGTAGATCATAATTTACTTGAGGAAATTTGGTCGTTATCTCCAGACCCAAGACACTATGGTCAATCAAATCCACAACTGGCCGCATATTCGAACTGAATATTCCACGAGGTGGTGACTCTAAAATAGGCCGAACTTCCTTCGTCCATGGCAATTTCATTCGAATCGTCCTTGGCCGCACCGCTGTCTAGCATCCTTAGGTTCACTTCTTTAGTATGGATATCAACGAACACCTGAAAGCTGATACTGCCTCATATTTTGCAGGGGACAATGCCCTATCTCGATTCGATAAGGCAAGTTGCTCACTAGGAAAGAAACAATCAGGCATTCTGCGCAGCTAACGTCTCGGCTTTCATCATAGAATCCAATTCTGGAGATCTCAGGTCCTTGTCCCGTCTAATAATGCATAGGATGCAGAAACTGATGGACAGAGTATTTCGCCTGGCCCGTTGAGATTTTCCAACCCAAGCCCTCTAACATCAAGTTCCCATTCTGCGAGTTTCCATCATCATCACTGTGCTTATCTCATCCAGACGTGCATGATACCAAAAAAGCACAACATCAGGGGCATTACCCGCGTTCAGACGTTTTGCATACTGCTGTAGGTACTTGTTGTGTACCACGGAGTGCTTCTGCAATAGGAGAGTTCTGGGGTCATTTGGATCTTCATTGAGAAAGACCAGGCTCACGTCGTTTAATGGCAATGGGACGGAAGAAAAGTGGTCTTTCACGGCAGATATTGCCCACTCAACCACGGCCAGATCAACTATGAGAGAGTTCTTGGGCCGATGAAGTATGTTGTGGTGTACTGTGGAATTCCCTCCTTCAAGTGGGACGGCCTCCAAGATCATACCACCGAAGCCTCTGTCCGTAACATCTGCCATAATATCGGGGCAGGAATCAGGAAACCAGGCTCTGATAGTCTATTCAATTAGCGTAAACAGAAAAGCGTGAGTAGCCGGAAGCTTACCTTTAGTTTGACTGATCGCAGGTTTGAAGTCATGATGTTCCCGCTGCAAGGCCATGATGAGGGATTCCGAGACATTTTAGAATATCCCAAAATTTTATCTGCCCTCATGCCTCACAAGAGCCCATATTGGACTCCTGGATAAACATATACAGGAGCACGGACCGTGCGAACTATAGTTATATATTTCGTGTTGCGGTCTCAGAGGCCGGTAAGAAGGCAAGTCTCGATTGGTCAGAGCGATATTCAAATCGTCTATTTTGAGGGCTTCACTGTTCATCATAGGTCCAGTAGTTCGTTCCCACCCCTTCATGTCGGTCAATTCCTAGATAGTCGGCTGTGATTTGACCGTGGGCATAACAAAGCTCTGTCAAACCCAGAGCGGGAAGGACGAACGTCGCTATTTTTCTACACGAGCCTGCTAGACAGCAGCTGCACCGTGAACAATGTGAATAGTTTCGCATAAATGTCTTACCAATGCATATAGTTCGACAAGTCCGGATCATCAGCGACGGATACGATCATCGTATATAGCGCCACTGGTATGCACTGGTATGCCGTTTGGCTTGATGTAAGATTTCATCACGTCACCTGAGTGATGATCGTCACGATACCGGAACGTCGGCAGTTCCTGCCCATCTATACAAAGTCTCCAGTCAACTTGGCCGCCTCTTTCTATTTTATGGAGAGAATAATCAAGCCTTCTTTTGCTTTACATCAAAATGAAGAACTCCCACTAGTGGGGTGCAGCGTGGAGGAATCCCGCACCGCTCCGGGCCACACGATGAAAAATGGATAGATACTGGACAAGAATGACAAAAAAAGTTACAAGCGCGGCAGGCACAAAAAGTCGGTTCTAGGCCGTTGATGCTAGTTGCCCTGCTCCGTATTGAGTGCGAAGCGTCTGCGACCACGAGTGGGGTGCCCTGCATTGTCGACTGCTCCGAGCCAATGAGGGACTACAACGTGATCCGTGATCAGTCCCACCTTCACCCCCGCCGGAGACCAAGGTCGATTGTCTGCGAGAGCAATCTAAGAAGAGGGATTCCCCGCCACCATGGTATGTCATGTCTTATCCTTACTACCATCCGAGGACAAAGCGGTTGATCGTTCCGTTGTTGCCCGCAGATAGGACAGTACCGTTCCCCAGCCACAATCAGGGGAGTAGAAGGCCCTTTCCTCCTCACTAAAGTCGCCGAGGAGGCACGACAGCGACTCGCCACATGGGCCAGTGACCATGCCGTTCCATCCAAGGACTACTTCGTTGATGAACAAGGCGATCGAACATATAAAATAGAGAGTTTGAAACCATTGGTGGAGCCTCTCCTGCGAGAGATGAACTTAGCGGTAGGGCACTCGGGTGAAGTTGCGAGCTGTGTTAACGAAATCAGGAATGGAAATACACGATGCATCGAGAGTCGGATATCAGGCTCATCCCTGTCAACCATCCAACCTACGCAATTCCCATCAATGTCATTACCGGCGTTCCCCAAATCAAAGATCTGGCCAGTAACGTCGTAACGCTGTTGGTGGGATACTTTTTTACGCTCTCCGAAGACGTCCTCATCCTTCCCCAAGCCGACTACCTGGTGGTGAAGAGGATGAGATAATGCTAATAGGCTTGCTTTTCAAGAAATTCCAGCGAGGAGAAATAGATCCGTATCTTGTTGTTCGATAGGCACAACGCCTGGTGCTTCCTCCGCACTGAATAAAGGATTCAAAGATTGTGTGAATGGCCCGGAGAGGAGCTGCACCTTGGAAAACGGGATCGGTCCGTAACCTAGAGCTATGCAGATGCGTGCCAGTCTAAAAAGGGCCGGTTAGCAAGCCCTCGTCACACCAACATAGGGGTCTTACGGAATTGTATATCCTGTCAAGTAGTGCACGATACAGGGAAGGCAGTATGGGATCCACCCAGGTTCCCAGTGTGCCATCTCTGGCGCTCCCAGCTTGTTGGCCACGATCTTGTAACTGTCCGTATCGTTGGCTGCAAATCGACTAAATTGTGCCGGACCCCGACTCTCTGATGCAAGTTTGTCAGCTGGGGCTTCGCAACGACTGCAATCACGTACCAAGAAGGAAGAATTCCCAGGCCTCACATCCCCATCCATTCTCCAGAAGGGCTGCCATGCATCGATTGGCCCAGACGGCGCCATGCCGATATTTTTCCAAGGTCAGATCCTCTTTCGTCTCGTCGAGATACCGTCTCATCATATCGTTGGTTGCCTTCTTGGACACCCCCGCACCCACCATGACCACACAGAAGGAGCAGAATACTAGCTTTTGAAAGTCAACCACCCGTGTTGTGAATTTCTGGTCCTTCGCACACCGGGCAATGAACTTGCCGTATAGACACCCCTGTACGACAAGCTCAGGGCGCTCGGTGGGAAGGATCGGCGGAAGCGCGGTGGTCCCCGATTCTTCAGGAAAAATGGGGACACCGCCATGTCCCAGAATTAATTTCAGAGCCATCTGGTTCCGCACTGGAGTATCAATACCTGCCAACTGTCGAGCTCTCTGTAACTGCGTTGCGGCCAGAACCCCTTCCACGAAGACATTTAGCTGGTTCTTCCATTTCGGTATCTTCTCCTCGCCCGTATGCGCCGGAGTGGGAATGCACGGAGGTGTGTATTCGACAATCTGAATTCCACATGCGACTGGCCCTTCGGTGTTGGAGGGAACAGGCTTGCAAAGGCTTGCCTGGTCAGGACTTGGGTATGGCTGTGCACTGATCAAGTTGATCAGGTGTTCCACCTGCTCCTCAAGGTATTGGATGTACGCCGGATCAGGCCCTTGGAATTTGAATTTGCGTTGAGACATCGTTGAGCAAGACAGTATGTGGTGCTTTGCAGTGGACGAGCCGTCTCCTTTTATGCCTACCGTCTATAAAAGGAAAGTACCCGGGTACTTTCCTTTTACAGACATACAGGCTACTTGATTAGGATGCGATCATCATTCCTCTACCACTGCCGTACGAGGCATCCAGACAAAGTAACACGCCAGTCGGCCCAGCGATCTGGCACTGGTCGCCACTGGCCCATAGAATGATTTTTAAGGTAAACATGATTGGTAACTCATATCGTATTTTGGGGTTCAGCGGCTTTCGTGGTCTACTATTCTATCATTATTCTGGTGGCGTACTTTGCCGTCATATTCCGGTGCAAGGGATATGCTTCACTACCACCGGCTGGGGGGAATGGGTTCATTTCATCATATGGTTTACTAAGACCTCTTTCCTACCATCACCTGATCTCGTATCTCTTGCAGAAATTGCAGGACCGCCTCTCTCATTTAGAGGTTCGCCTTCTACCAGGGAAGGCCCACAAACTGTACTTCTGTACTACATGCAGCATTCGTGATGGCGCTAGTGGTTAGTATTGTCCAAATCCCTCAAACCGAAAGTATGACTCTTATTTCCATTGTCAGACCGTCCGCGTCAGGTGCAGTCCAATGACCAATATATACGCCGGTCTAGAGGATGTGGTCCATGCGGCCATCTTTCTCGGCAGGAAACAGTTCGATCTGGCTGGAATTGATCGAGTCAACCAACGCTTCACCAATCTTAACGGACTGCGACTGTTGAGCAGCGACCCACTCTTTGCCCCTGAGGGCAATCGACCTTATGCCCAAACAGCGTTCCTGGCACTGAATGAGATGCGCCAGCAGTGCTACAACGAAAGAAACAATACCTTGGTGGACGGGAACCAGCCGCTTGTTGATTGGTATGCAGAGGCACTTAAACATTTCGATCAACTGATGGTCCATTACCAAAAGCAGTTCTAGAAAGGAAGCGAGATATCAGAGCTAGTGATCACACACACTGGGTACTTTACATGCTGCATCTGTAGAGGCGTGTCAACTCAGGTCTTCGTCTTGACTCAATGGCATGCTCATGATAGCACTTGAGTTCCTAGGCAGTGCCGTCGGAAGACAGCTGCTTCCGACGCTTGGACACTGGGTGCATCTGAATCCCTCCGACTGCCAACATAGATTGAGCGTTTCGTTTCTGCCCTTTGGCCTGATGTTGAATCGAGGAAGGTGTGGTGCCCTTGGACCTGAAGGAATTGTATTGCCATGTCCGAATTTCATGTTGGATTTCCACTGTCCATGGCTGCCTTGAAGGGTTATCGAAATCGGAGCTGCAGTCCAGGATCTCCTCATCTTCGTAGGCAAAGAGCATATGTAAAGAACCCAATGCATCCCATAATTGTGGTGGCTGTATTTGGTTCCGGAATAAGGGCGATGATTGTAATTGGGAAACCATCTTCCCTATTCGCTGCTCGTCAGGGTGGGTGAGCAATGATCGTAGTGGCGTTGGGTCACTTGGAGTTAACGTCACACCGAGACTGACGCAGACCAATATCAAGCTGGCCCGCTCTCCCAGAGGCGTGATCGGTGCTGTTAGGGCGGATCTTGGGGTACACATCGCGATAAGGCTTTCCGAGGATATTTGCTCAATGCGACAAAGGAGGTAACACAGATACGTTCGCAGTTCCTGGGCCGACACTCCAAAGGGTATCAGCTTCTCCTGCAACAAATAATCACGAACGTATTCCCAATCTCGACGAGTCTGTGAGCTTGTTGCTGTCCATATCTTCGATTTCATCTCAGAAAAGCCCTCAGTGCCGACTTGTGGATACCACTCGTGTTTATTGCGAGAGCTAACGTCAGAAAGTTGTCGAATATCACCAATTCTTGCAGGCAAGGAAGACTCGAGGGAGACGTAACATATCAGGAGGAGCAATTGGAGAAACGAGAAGCGTGAGGGGACGGCAAAGGTGAGTTCGAACTGGGCGCCGGTTGAGAGCATCCTGGATAGTCTTTTTGTATTGACCGGGATGAGAAACTACATACATTGGGAACAGCCGCCTTCTTATCTATCTGCACTTGTTGACAGCCATCGATTATCATCCATTACTACGCATTAAGGGGCATACCGATTCCCTCCGGTACAAGCATCTGATTGGCTGATTGGTTGGCCCGATGAAAAAAATTTCAATCTCAACGATCTCTATTCATACATCTACCCCGATCTGAACAAGTGCAGGAGATGCTCGGGGGTTCCCATCGTGTTGAGTACATAACCACCAAAGGCAGGCAAGGAGATGTACATCCAGTAGTATCCACGAAAACCCCGATCTTCGATATAATTGGGAATCAAATGCTCAAATCTTGCGTCTTCGAGCTCGTCTAGGCCCTCGGGAGAGACAATATTGGCCCCTTGCCTGCGGATTTTGATAGGTTGATGTAGGTAGATCAGAAGCTGCGTGAATTGCCCCTGTTCGCTACAGGCAAAAGTGCCATCCATCAGCTGGGTCTGCAGCCGGGAGAAAAGGGGCGAAATGCATTGTTTCGCCCCCACATATCCGGGCTCGGACATTATGGCTAGGTATATGTCTCCGAGTGTATACTCATTATTGGATTCCTTCCGATGATGAAACTTCGCGCAGGCGAAAGAAAGGTATCGTTGGATTGGGATGTAAACCGTCCCGGCAGGCGAGCGTTTCTCCACGATAGCCACATCTAGTACAAGTTAGTCTGAAGTAGTGCAAAATGCAAATAGTTTCAGCCCAATCATACTCTGATTAACTTCACAAATAACTCCAGCGGGATGTTTGCCATTCACAAGCCTAGGCGGGTGTTCCATTACAGGCGGGCAATTCGAAGTTGAGACCATCATAGTGTTGGGAGAAAAGATCGGCTGCCACCCGTACGGAGGAGCATAGGGAATTGCAGAGCTCGTGGTGGGGGTAGCGTTGGCTTGCATTATGCGATGCTTCAGGACAGCGGACTAACTGGCGGAATAGTGGCGCTTTTCTGACTGTGTTGATGGAAACCTAGGCACCTGAGGAGGGACTCCTGTCTCTTTTAAATAGGTCGTTATTTTCAATCGCAAAGAGGTTGCGCGAGACAACCTACCAATGGCCCTGACTCCTAATGCTTTTCCTTTTCCTCACTAGCAGTCTCCCTAACTTTGGGGCTATCGAAGCATTGATCTGCACTATGTGCATGTGCAGCTCCGGGCTTTACTTGAGATGTTATTTGATTCTCAGTCGTCTCTTTTGGGTGACGGGCCGTCTTGGAAGGATATTTCACAGGAGGTACCAGGCCGTCTAGATAAATGGTATCCCCACTCGCTGTCGAAGGAGGCCGATTTGGTTGTGTGTGAGACTCTGCCTGAAGCGGTGTATAAGCCTTGTGATTTCATTGGTGCAAAATGTAATCATGTACCTGAATCTGAATCTTCACCCGGGGACCAGCAAGAAGTAATGCTCGTTGGGAAACGAAATTGAGAATTAATCCATCCTAGAAGCTGCGGAAGGGATGCAAAAGAATACTCGGCCAGTTTTGTCAAAGTCAAAGGGGATGAAGAAGGTATAAGTGTACGGCCGTTCGTATTTATATTGTCTGCAGATCATCACCTGCCTCAGCATCTATATAGTACTTATTCATTGCTTCTTATCATGCGCATACTAGCACCGTTCTGACAGACAAAAGTACGTATCGCGCAACAAGATCTAGCCCATATTGTACTCGCTATCGAAAGAGATTGGTTCTGAGAATAATGTAATGATTGGAATGACTGGAAAGAGTTGACGGGAGTATTGTTGAAATACCCTTAGGCCCAGGTCCCCATATCGGCGATTAGATCACCAGGCGTAATCGAGATTGATTTTCCTGTAACGTAGGCAGATACTCTGTTGACGAAGGAACAAAATCTAACAGTGCAAATTCATGCTCTCCAACGCCGTCACAAGACGACTCAGTCCAGCATTCTCCGCCTTTACTTTCGTACCCACCACCTCGACGTTCCCCACCACTTTACCCAGAGCTTCAATCTTTTGAACAGCAACATCCTCCATTTCCGCGAACCTTTTTCGAGAGGCATCTGAGAAAAAAGCGCCAGATTCCTCAGTTTTCTCACACACTCCGTTGACAATTTTTATCAAAATATCCTCTGATAGGGTCTGGTCTTCCTTCCATCTTGCAGCTGGGCTTTGTAGAATGACTGCCAGCATGTCCGAGCTCCTGCTATCTGCACTCTCTGCCGCTACAAGTGCAGCGACACGCCAGTCCTGGCGACTTGCACTATGGTGCATAATCCAGCTCGCCGCATGAATGCAGTTGTGCGTCGCGGCATACGTCAAGAGTTTCTCGGGTGGCTGATGGCCGCGGCTCAGGAACCAATTCAACAATGGTTCCGGATCCTTCCGGCCCACAATCTCCAACCAACCAGGGGATGCGTTCTCCGGGTGAGGCTTCCCCAGATCTAGGCCAGAATCCAATAACTCGTTCGCAAGACCCACATCGGCAAATAGACATATATGTCCCGTCTCACGCGGCCCAAGTGAAGTAAGACCGTTGTCCTGGCATGATCTAAGCCGTGCCCAGCAGACTTGAAACCATTTCCGATTCCAGGTAGAGGCCTGAAAGATTGTATATTGGTCTTCCTCCGGCTCCCTCATCGAAAAAGGATGAAGAAGATCTTTGGGATCCATCAAAGACACAATACGTTGCATCAAGTCATTTTTCCCACTCCTGACCGCGAGCCAAAAGAAGCTGTAGCCATTTTGGCAAAATGAAGCTGGTTGAACCGTTTGATGATCCAAGAGTAAATTGAAACATTGAGGACAATTTTCGATACACCATGAGGCCAGATCATAGGGGGCGCCCTTGTCCATCATATGCTGACGCTGTTTGGCACAGCCATAGTTGGGGGAGAGGTTCCACTTAACCTCGATCTCTTGTCGAAGCGATGGACTTTTGAAAGCATTGATAATTGCCAGTTTAATCAGAGGTCGCGTGGTCTCATTGCTGAGTTCGTTGAGAAAGAAATGAAGGGCCTCATGTGAACCAAGCGGTTTGGAGAGAAGGTCGGACTTGATTGCGGACTCTATAAGAGGCCATCGTAGGTCCTCAATATTTTCGAAAAGCGACGGGCATTGGAGGGACATTGTCGAAAATTCATCGTGACCAGACATGTAGACCTAATAATTGTGGTACGGGTAGAATGCAGAAATAAGTTGAGTTATTGTTACGGGACGGATGATCAGGGAACAAGGAAGGCTTTTATAATGGATTTGACTGAGGGATCACGGCTGAAAGCAGTGATTACTCGAAAATGATTAAACCTCCTGAACATGTAACTATTGGAATGCTCCGTATGTGATCTCGTTGATCAACTGATCTTGCGGGACCTTTTTTAACAGTAACCGTCTCCGTAACTTCGACTTCGCCTTCAAGATATTTTACGAGAAGTCGTGCGAACTGTCATGTGTCCATCTCTCATGTTTAGCTGTTGCTGTATACTCCATTTCATTCTCCCATCAAATGCAAATCGTACATCTGCACTCGTTTCATCAATCAATTGAATCAGTAACCATGGGTTAGGAATGATACCCGCTGGGACCCAATGAGGAAATACAATGCTTATCGTCACACTCATTGTATGTATGGAGGTGGTTTATTCCTAAACCTGCACTTATTGAACGTATACATTCTCTGTGTGGAAGGCCGCTAACAATTACTCTACATATGAGCTCAGTAAGAGCAACCTCTACCTATCAGTATTCTTCATGCCCGCTTCACCACCTGTACCTACTAGCCCTAGGGAATATGCAATTCTATATGCATTAACAATCACGATTCATTATCTTATTCTAGATAACGCTGTAGCTGATTTCGCCTGAGAGGTTAGCGCCGTGGTCACGTTATCACCTAGGTTGCGCACTTACCTTATCGCATAACGCTAAAGCGGCGCTCATATTAAACTCATCCGGGCGCAACCCATCAGATCCACACATTGAAGTAGGGCTAAGTCTCACTTCATCAGTATCGGGGGCTCAAGATAGAGGCACGTAACACGATGGAGAGAAAATGAAACACCTACTGTTAATTATTTGCTCCTCCCAGATACCTTTCTGGTAATCGACCAGTCCATACGGCTCCAACTCGTCACAGAGCTGGATGAGGTCATTGCCCATGGCCTCCATTTGGTCCAATTTCAATATTCCCGTAGGCAAATCGGTTGTAACTATTTGGGTCATATCCATCTGTTTCTGAAACAATGCCAGCCAGCAGTGGTTGAAGTCAGTCCATAAGACCAGGCTTTCTGACAAATCGCTGCGTAGGATTCCTATTTATCACAAAACAAGCCATCAGCTTCGTGCTTCCCTAGCCCCAACGACCGGAAAACATACCATTGTATTCTTTTTTAGTCACAAGCCACTTGGAAATTTCCAGAAGCTCTCGCCCCGCATCCACCAGTCTCCCCTTGTGGATCTGGTCAAAAGCTATGCACAAGGAAATTCGATATTGTGCATATTCCTCATCAAAATAGCTGGGCGGGTCTACCTCAGCCTGCAGTTCCCGGACCTGTACCTGAGCCAGGGTAGGCTCCGACAAGGCAGGCAAATTGAGCCTATTTAGCGCGGAGTGGATGGCAATTCTGGCGGGAATTGATTGTGTCGTGCTATTGCCGCGATCCGGTAGAGCGGAAGTTGGTTGAAGCAGGGCGCCATTACTGCGGATTGCCATGTGCTGTTGGAAAGCATGGACGGCGCTTTGACCTGAACCCTGCTGACTAAAGCTGTATAAGCTTGTGGGCTCGTACGGCACGAACAGCGGCCCACTCTGCGACTGTTGTTCCTGCTGTCGCTGGTGTTGCCGTTGATACTGTGGATGTTGATTCCGTCGGTGCTGTGGTGTCGCCTGGCACGGTCTCGTAAGCCCAGACTGGTAGGCTTGCATGTCGTTGGTCTGTACCGGCCAGCCATATGAGTTGCTCGTGTATCCGTAGTTATAGGCCATTTCTGTGCGGTTCCCTATAATCCTAGCATGTAGGGGAGAAGACCTTTTATATCCGAACGCAGTCACATACAACACCCTAGATCTTGTTGGAGTGTTGTGATGCATATGCACATGCCAAAAGGCAAGTATAGCCTATCTATTTACAGAGACTGAGTACAGCCTGGAAGCAGCCATTGGAACGAAACGGTGGGAAGGTAGTTCATCAAGGGCTTTGAATAAAGCGGTCTAGAACCAAGTAAAATAGAGCTCGAAATTATGAATATCCCATTTGAAATATTCAATGGAGTCTTCAGAACCAAATGCTGAATTACAGATGAACTCCCCCTTCCGCTTTCCTCGTATTCCCTTTTTCAGCAGAATCCACCTTAGTGCGATCATAAATCTTTCTGCTTCCGTTTTCGATTTTTGCAGATGTCGCAGCCATTGCAATCCTGTCGAAGGGTTTGGTTTCTCTCCTCTGTTTTGCTACAACCAGATTTGAGACAGATCAGACCCGCGTACACTCTCCTGTTATTACAGTTCCTATAGGTGTAATATTGTTCCCAACACATGGCTATGAACAGAATCTTGTTCCGCCGGATTAGCTAGCAACCTTTCCACCAGTGTAGGAGTCAAACATACGGCTGGGAATATATGAGAAGAACTAATGGATATTGTGGCTTGGATACGATTCTACCGCTTGTAGGAGAGAGAAGATAATGGAGGTTCGATAGGAGTTCGATGCACAGTTCAGAGAAACTTGGGAAGTTGAAGAGCTTCTTATATTGAAATTATTCTTCAATTGTTTTGTTCTAAATAGACATCCTAGCAATAACGTGGCGGAAGAGGCGGGACACCTAGTTTTTTAATATCTGTAGTATCGTATGCACCGCGCCTATCAGAACTTGGAATGTACTTAGTAACATCCATCTATTTGCTGGAATTTAGTGCACCGCTGATAATACTCTTACCCAGTGTGTCATGATCTTGTTTTATTTCATATTCGCATACTAGCCACTCCCTTATGGTATACATTTTTAGCTTCGAATTTATTCGAGTATACAATTCCCAATATAGCTAATACAGATTTCTATCACGACTTAGTATCAAATATTTGTCTTTTTCAATGCCATATTTCTGCCCTAAACGATGCCACTCTATGTCCCCTAGAAGATCCTTTGCTGCCCAAATCTTGGTGTGAAGTTCTAGCAGGTGGGACTCCGATGACGCTTTTCCACGAATGAATGAACCACCATAAACAAATCCGTTTGAGCCATCGTTGTACTTGACAGAGAACATGAGGAGGACAGTTTGTGGGGTGCTGATTGCACAGATATATCTCTCGAATTTAGAGATGCTAAGATGCTCCACGCTCAAGACGGTTATTCTCCGAGCCTTAGCCATGGTCTGCATTGTTAGAATTTCTAAAAATCTATTCCGAATTACCTAAAATTTACTTACAAGGCTTCATGCTCTATTTGCTGCTTCCTAGACTTGCTCCTCTTCGATTGAAAAGCCGGTCTCTAGAGTCTTGCACTGGCTTGTCGATTCACCTTTGCATGGCCTGGTGTCACTTATCGAAGAACGAGCCGATTTGGTGGGAGCGGGTTGACTCGCGCTATCTGAAGGAAAATGCAATTAGCATATACGAGGGGGCATATCGGCGAGATGCATTTCGGGAAGCGGATACTACCGCGGGCTGAGAGGGAGTATTACCACGGAAACTTGTTCTCCAGGGCTGGTGAAAGTTTGATGGTGCTGAGAACTCTTTGAGTCAGGTGAGGTCTCGAGTTTATATATCGCATCCTCAGTACGTATGTAGAATAATAGGCATTCCTAGACCATTTTCTAGCTGCATAAGATGCTTTTCCTTGAGTTTGCGTTCTCGGAATCGTCGCGATGCCGCTCTATTATCACTGCGTCGCCTAGCTTCGCTTGAGGAACCAGAGCTATAGTCGATTACGCATAGAAGCAATCTCGCTTCGGATGGTAAGGAACCCTGCTGTGGGTGAGAGGGTTCAATTAAGCTTTGGATGTCCATTTCGCTTCGCCACCGTGACGAATAGAGTGAGATACACGTCAATCCAGAGCAGGTGTGACCAAAGCAACGTAGCAACTCGCGGGAGAAGCGCCCAACAACGTCTTATAGGAAAGCAAATATTCTCATTGATATTATTAATCCAATTGCTCGAACTCTTCAGCTTGATAGTAGCAGCAGGTCCCTTCTGTTTGACTGTGCACAGTAACTAAAATCCACAAGACGCACTGTAGCCCCAAAATACAAATGGTGAGCATCCAACGCCAAAAGTACTTCAAATTCCCTATCGAAGCGCTCTTCAAAAGTGTGAAGAGAAACAGCACTGTGTTCTGATCGACGTCGATGCCAGCGGACTCGGCTTGTGAGATCATCAGCCGGCCTGGCGTTGTTGTCTCCAGGAAGGTAAACGGTATCATGCTGTATTCATCCCCATACTTCAATTGACAGAAACATAATATTCCTTTTTGAGACCTGTTGATCACTCGCAATCCCTTGCTGCCACGTCTTGGTTGCCAGTCTGCGTCGCGGAAATGTCGTAGGGAGTGCAAAAGTATCCACCAGAAGTATCCACCATGGTGGAGAAGAAACAATATTCCAAGAAAGGAACTCTTCATTTCCTCCAGTGCAATGTTGAGTCTCCAGCCCGTTGCCTCCATAATCACGCTCTCCTTATGTTGATGCCTAATGTGGAAGGAATCCCAGGGCTAGTCGCGTCAGTAGATTTCTCGATCAGGACTGAAGTCTTTACCTCTAATTTGCCAAGTGATAGAAATTGAATAGCTGCGGCTGTGCAGCTGCGCAGTCTTTCCATATTTTTGCTTGGTAGAATAAGAAAACGTATACGAGAGAAACGAGTCGTAGTGCTGTTGTTCGTAATTATATATTCGTCTATGCTACGTCTGGCTTCGGGAATACTTTGTACTAATGGAAAACAACGCCCTAAGTAGCTTCTAACCAGTTACTGCTTCGCGGATAATTACAGTACTCCTACTCATGAAAGGAACAAGCTGCTCCACTCTAGGGGCCAGATAGGATGTCAATTGCCTCAGCAGCCAGAGCGCTAGGGGCAGCCGGCGATTATGTAGTTGAAAACGGCTTAAGATGTCAGTCACCATTTTGGTTTGATTTCTCTATCAGTAGGGTGTAACTCCGTTGCAATAGTTATAAGGCACGAACCAAAGCATACTTTTTGTGAGTGTGCAGCAGTTTGGGGTGGCGGTGCACAAGTGTAGCAAGGGGCCGAAATCTACGCTTAACCCTGCCTCCATTAATAGGGAAGCGGGTCAGGGGGCCACGCTTGCGAATCTTGGGTCCAAATCCAATCAGTTGTCAAATAACCACCGCCGGCGGTGGTTAACCTGCGCGACCTGACGAGATAATGTAAGATCCTAAAACGGACTAGTGGAACATCCTGCCGACGCTCAGACCATTAACATAGGTTCTGAATATAGCCTCGGCGATTATGGACGATATTTAATAGGGCGATCTGGGTCCATTTATGCCACTGCTTTGACACTAGAATTTGGCATTTGCCTGTGAAAACCCCACTGTGATCACAAAGCCGAAAGTCCACGCCCGAATCGATGGGATGATTGGATGCAGTGCCGTCCCCGTAGATTTTGTACCCCCAGAACACTCTAATCCCACTGCAAGCCCCCTCTCTGTTCTCGATGTTCATACTCATCTGCCAGACGAGGGAAACAGCCTGGTTAGGACATGACGTATGGCAACATTGGTCAGTTCGCGTCCGTGCACAGTTTTGGTATATAATTTCAGCTGATCACCCCATCACTTTTTGTTTTTCAGATAGCAGACCTAGCAATAAGTCGAACATATCCTGAAGTAAGCCTTAAACGCAAATTTGTGGTCCCAATCTAACCGATTCCATTCTAGCAAACGTGAGATAGCATCTTCAACAATCCTCGAAATGTGCAGTCGCTTCGTTTATACCACCAAGTTTGTCAACTGCACTGCGCAGCCAAAACACGTCATTATAACATACGACCCTCAACCACCATGCGGCAAGTCCGACTGCGGTGGATACAAAGACAAACATATGGGCCAAAGCACCAAAAAAGGAGGAATATGCCCCAAGTGCTAAGGCTCCGATGGAAAGATACAGCGCAGGACGTCTGTAAACGCCTATTGAGTGTAACGGGCTAGGTCCCGTTCCTTACTACGGCTATACCAATTGGAGTGTGCCGCAACTACTCATCTATTGTGCTAGGATATGGTGATACCTGTGTACCTGTGGGTGACTTTCATGCGCCCTTCCCTGGCACGAATCCACCCAAGGTAGCAGTTGGAGCTACGTACCAATCAATGTCACTTGTGATAACATATATTTGAGAATGATAGCTACCTGGATTTTCCTTGCTGATCCGGATTGGCATTAACCAGGAGGTGACTCCTGCTCCAGTCTCCAGTTAGGGAGACATGAATAGGTAGTAGATATTCTTGGCCTAAGTCGATGAATTAATTTTCCCATGTACTAGGGAACACCATATACCAGGGAACAAAGAATATATCAAAAATGGAATTCTGATGGTTCATAACCTCGGAAGATTAAATATTAGCGCTAGAGCAGTAGATATGAATGTTAACTCGAGCCACGATGGGCTGGATCAACTAGCAGAACCCCGGAAAACCTGGAGTCTCGATCTTCAGCATTGGTTGATTTCTGGACCCGCAGTAATCATCCTGGAGAAATCCAATCAAATTCCAATGAAATACCGATGAAACTCTGATTTGCACAAAAAAAGGTATTTTCTATAGAAAGCTGATCCGTATTTTGGACAATACAGATCATATGGGTTTCACTAGTGGAGTATTTCGCCACTCCCTTGCTCTGCCCAGGAAGATCTCTCTCCCCAGCGCCGATACTGAGGCCAGGGAGATAGGTGTCTTGGAATTATGGAAAGGAAGAAAGCAAACTCAGCAGGGAAGCCACTACCTCCTTCTTTGACGTGAAGTATCCCGGCGTCATCAAGACTATTCAGCAGCTGTCATGGAGGCTTGAAGCAGAGATATGTCAGAAACTACCTCTTCCGCAGACCGGTACTGCTGCTTCCAACATTTTTCCGTGATATGGTAGCAAGCGTGGTTGTCGAGCGGGAACAACTCATTTTCGAAGCGGGAAAATATCTCTTCATCATCTTCCAGGCTATCGAGCTCTGGAAAGACTTCGTGTCCGGTCATGATAAAGTAAATAGCAGAGCCAAGCGCAAAGAGATCGGTCTTCACACAGGCATAATCCCCATGGGGCCGAGGTAGATATGACTTGGAGCACTCCCGAGAGAGTCCGTCCAGTAGTGTTTTGCCATCAACCGATTTCAACATTCCCTGGAAATCTGCGAGCAGTAGATCAAGCTCCTTATCAAGCAGAAAATTCCGAAGGTTTATGTCGCAGTGAATAACATGTTTTCCATGTATAAAGCTGACTGCTTCGGCAGCTTGTTTGCACCAAAGTAAGCGCCTGTCGAACGGTATAGTCGGCTGTGATATGATGTAGTCGTTCAAACATCCATTCCAAGCGCGCTGGAGAACAAGGCCATCCTTCGTCAGGCCTTTACTAGCAATAATTCTCGGGTGGCCCCCGAGAATCTCAAGAAGCCGGGCCTCTGTTTGGATACTTTCATGGTTGCCAGGGATACATGGGTATTTCAGAACGGTGAACTCGTCAAGAACACCGATAAATGACTCGCCACCGCGACCGATAATCTCTGAAACCCCTGGAGGGTAGTATCGTCGCACTTCGATAATTTCAACATTGGACGTAGTGTTCAGATCGTCTACAGTTGCAATCAAATCACCCTAAAATCTATGAGCAATAACGCAAACAGACGAAGTGCTGCAACTTACGGCTTCAGGTACCGGCGCAGGAGGCATATCAAGGGCGTCGGGATCACTTCTTTCGAGTTTCCGATCACGGAAGGCATTGGAGAACAAACGAAATACGACATCAAGGGAATGCCATATTGACCGAGAAATGGAGAAGGTCGTCGAAAAAATGGTTCGAATCAATGCTAACATCGTGAAAAATGGAAATGCGTGAAGGGCCTTTCCATTATTTTTACGAAGGGGAAGGGAGATCGTCCTGAAGTAATATATGAGAATTGATGCAAACCAAGCAAACTCAGGAGGCAAGACTGGAGAATTGGGCACATGACTTTCTACCCGACTTTCCTTCCCTGATCTGACTATACCCCTCCATATTTCCTTACTCTGGCTAAACCCCTCCATATCCTTCACTTAACCTTCGTCTTCACCTACCGACAGAACATGTATGCAACAGCCCGCGGACAGTCCAAATGAATGATTTCTTATGCATTAACTAATAAATACTGCATGAAGTTCCTGCGACAGAGAGTTCAACACGTTTCCCTGCGGTGCGATTCCTTTGCTCCGAGATGAGCCAATCACTCTCTCCTGCGATCGAAAGACTTCGCGAACAAATAAAGAATAAGATTACTGAGGCCGTGCCGAAACGAGCTCCCCCTCAGGAGAACGGGATAATGTTCTATGAGGAGGACGAACATGGGAACAGGGCATATGGAGGGCCATGGCTTGAAGAGAATGTGCCTCAGTTTGGCACCAAACGAACGATCTCAAGACGGAATAATCACCAGCGATTATTTTCAGTGAGCGACCTTACATCCCCTGTGAATTGAACTGTTATCCAACTATTTGTTATATCCGGCTAAGGTTCCAGCCATCAAAGTAAAACAGTCATTGACCTCCCAAAAGCACTCAGTTATGGAAACACAGTCTGCGATCACGAGTAAAGTGTTTCTCAAGCGGGATATCAAGTATATAATCACTAATATTCTAGTACGACCTGTTAGCCTAGGAGACGTCTCCTGGCTCTACCAACCAAAATATGCAGAAGCTGCGCAGCTGGATTTCTAGAGCCATTCATTCTATATCGCTCGCCAAATCAGAGGTAAAACCTTCATCGCCGATAGGGGAATCGACTAACGCGATTAGCCTTGGAATGCCTTCCATATCAGGCAGCAAGATGAGGAAAGCTTGGTCATGGAGGCGACGGGCTGCTGACCAGCTTCCAATAGGCTTGCGATTTCCACAATCTATTAAAGCCAGTCTCCACCTTGATGTTGGTTTGGAGCTGTGGGTTAGTCCCAGTATATTAACTCGCTGAAATAATCTATCTCAAATCTCCCTCAGCGCTATCCAACCAGTTCTATTATTTGATTTACCAACATGCGGCCTTCTTTCCTGAGAGGAGTGGCGAACTACTTGGTGGGGAGGAAATAGAAGCTATCTAGTGAAGTTGAGTCTTGACCGTGCAAATGTATTAATGACACCCCGGACCCACCTAATAGACTGCCTAAAAGAAGTTCAGCGGACAATAATCGTCGGGTAATGATCTTGATGGTGCTAATTGCGCCACTACGCAAGGAAGCAAAAAGGAGAAAAACAAGCAGATCTAGTTCGAACCATGTGAGAACTATCCAGAGAAGCAGAGGAAGAAGAAGAAGAAGAAGAAGAAGAAGCAGACCTAAATAGGCAAACGCTAGGCGCCGCCCTGGAAATCTCCATCAGATCTAGTACACTATTATTATGGATTTGACTCCGTCAAAACCAGTCCGCGCTGGCTTGAAAGAAAAGCGACTATTATCATACGAGCAACTTGGGTCCATCTCCGGTTGAGATGTGTCTAACGAAGCGGTGATATATCCTATAGAAAGCGCAACGACCCGCCGTACCGGTTTTCCTTGGAACAATCGATCTGGCTATGACTTATTTTCTCCACGCGGCGGGTGAGATTCGACGTATGCTACTTACGGCTTAGGGCGGCAATAATATAAGAGGGTCCTGTGCACCTAGATCGTGAGCTTCGACAATCTAGGATACAAATCCACTTGCTTAGGGTTGCATGTTGCATGCCGACCTTAGTGACGGAAATCTATAGTTGAAGCGGATTCTCATTATTGACTTACAAGATGTGGTACTGAGCCCTGGTTTGAAAGGAGGAAGTCGTTTAAACCACAGCGTCAAGGACGAAATGAAAACCCTTCAGATGGCTCTGGCGTGGCTAGCAATTGAAGAGAGAGAGAGAGAAAGAGGAAGAGAAGAAGAAGAAGAAGAAGAAGAAGAAGAAGAAGAAGAAGAAGCAGACGAAGCGTATACTATCCACAAGGACAGAAACAAGCTGACTGCCACCTATTTGACTAACTAGTCGCGGTCGCTGCCAGAATCGAGCTATGAGATAAGAAGATACACAATAAGTAGACTTTGTTGACTAAATACTAAATAGATTTCCCAACAGAATTTTGGTAATCTATGTTGTCTCACGGCATCCGCTTATTGTGAAAGATGACATATTTGGCTCCTCTAATAGTCGCCGGAACAGAACCCCACAGAATTGACTATATAATATGCTGCTGATTTCCAGAAAGGGTAAGAAGAGAAAAGAAGAAGGTAAAAAAGGAAGAAATAAAACTAACAATAAAGATAAAACTAATGATAGAACCTCTAGGTCCTTGATAATGGCAGGTGCGGTTATTTGTTGTGGCACCACGTCACCCAGCGACTGTTAACCCATGCCCATAGAGTACCATTCATTCCGATTTCTGAGGCTCGCAGGAGGTAAGTTGTGCAAGTAAAGCATCTCTGTCGGGTTGTATGACTATACAGCTAGACATTAACTATGCACAGAAGAAGGCGATAAAAGTGATAGGAAAGAGAAGGCAAAGAAAGCCGACATGTGACTCACTTTTTGAATTTCATCTTCCTTTCCCCCCGCAACTTCCACAGATGAAGCCGTCTTTCAATCCAGATCCGCCGCAGTCAGGGCAAGGTGGATCTTGAGGCATCATAGTATAAGGCGAGTTGATTCTGGATAAGAGCAGCGAGTTGATGGAGAGGAGAAGAACTGGGCAGATGTTGTCCTTATTTCTATCTGCCTAAGCCTGTTAGTCGGGTTCTTATGCGTCGGGTTGCCCGATATTCTACCGCGATTTACCGCTATTGTGGGTCCAAATAGTGCCACCTCTGATTGGTAAGGACATAGTGAGGGGCCGCCAGCCGCCAGCCGCTCTTCTTAAAGCTGCCCTTCTCGCAATTCGTTTACTGGAATTCTAGCAAAATGGCGACGGGCGACTTCAGTTTACAACGGCAGTGTCAAACCTGCTTAGCCATCTTCCCAACCAATGAGGCACTACGCTCTCATCTCGAAGTATACAGAGTTAGCTCCATACAATCATTGCTTTTCTACCTTTGTCTAACCCTTCCAGGTTGGAGAACGGACCCTCACCCTGGAGACAGAAAAGTGTCGAGCACATATAGCCCAAGTTTATGACCCGAATAAGCTTTGTGACAGCTGTCAAGTAAATGCGACTTTGATTTTGCCACCGAGTAGCACCAATAACGAAAGTGACGAGAGCGATGCCGATGCACAAAATGCCATCGGGCCTAGGACCGAGACTAGGAGGCCGAGGTCTCATTTCCGAAAATGTCCCTTTGATAGTTGTGGGAAGCAGTTCAAAATCAGAAAGGACCTTCTGAGGCATTTTGAATTGCGTAAGTTTTGCCTTTTCTTAAGTGCACTGTGTCACTAGCTGACCATATATTTGGAGCCAGATGTCAACTGCAATGAAGTCTGTGTTGAGTGTTTCCGACGCTTTACACACGTGAGCGCTTTGATGAAGCACGTCAAAACCCATGATTATTCGTCTGATAGGAAACGGAAATTTATGCTGGGATTGTGCGATGACCTACGTGATAAAGCCATTTTTGAATTAAACCGAATGGTCGAAACGCTGCAGCCCTCGACGGTCGATGCTAATTTGAAGACCACAAAAAGATACCTCGGGCTAACAGATCCTGTCCAAGAGCTGAACTCTCCCAAAAAAGCCAAGTTACGGGGTGAGGGTGAGCGGGGCTTACTTAGTACGACTTCTCACAAAACACTATCCGGTATGGATCTGCCTCTACTCTTCCTGTACTAGTCTCTTATTGACTTGGAGAGACAGCTGAGCTACAAGACCCTTCGTTCCCCCCCCGGATGTTTCGAACTACAACAAGAGTTTGACGAGGACATGTTTGCACCTCTTTTATTCCATGGCTGCCCCCAGCCCCTTGTGAATAATTTCGATCCTCCATTTTTCTTGGAAACCTCGTCGCTTCACCACGGGGCACGAGCAGGTAGAGACAATATCGGAATACCTTCTGATATCACCAATCTAGTTTTCGACTCTGAACCTTACTTTGCGCAAGAGGATGGGTCGTTGGGAATGGGGGGACCCAGTCTAGATTAGAAATCAGTCAACTAGACGTACCAGGACGGCGGATGTAGACCGCTCGTGTATTTGGGTCATACTCAAAGTGATATCCAATTTTTGGGCTTTCTCTTTGCAATTCGGCGATCTTCTCTGTGATCTGCGGCGTGCTTGGGAGAACCACTTTCGCCCATCTCGTGATGACATCGCGTGTCGCAAAAACAGTCGCAATCGGGGTGCCTTTCTTAATTTCGAACGCCACGCGGGCGTCCTGTATACTTCTACCTCAATAGTCAGGGGATGAACTCCAGGCATGTCAGTATATCCGACTCACAGGCCACCGTGCTCAAAAAATATTTCCGAGCCGTCACCACAGCCTAAGGATTCCAAGGCAGCAAAAGGTATCTCCCACAATCCATTAGAGGCATGAACACCCGGAAGCTCGTATATGTGAGAACGATCAAAAAAAGTCACTTGCGATCCATCACCCCATAGTTGTATGACCAGGACATGTCGGCCCGCCTTCTCTCCCCCGCCTCTGAACTGGAAGATGTGGCCTGCATCACTGTGGAATTTCCGGTATCGGGCAAGACTGCACAAAGGGAAGAAGGACTCGAGGATTGATCTTGCGCGCTGGAAACAATTAGCAAATATCTCCAAGATGAGATATATGGGCAGACCTTGTCTCTCAAAACATGGCGTCTGTAAAACTCCAAACCTTCTGCGGATAGGCAGCTCTTCGGTCCCATTTCTGACAGGGGCGTCTCCAACTCTGGATCTATCTCATAATAGAAGCCGGTGTCCCTAATAGCATTGCTCGCTTGCTCGAGTGAGAATTTTGTTGATGCCATAAAGTAAAGTTATGTTATGATTATCGGTATATGATGCAGTCAGTTGAACATTCTCTAGTCCGAATGACCCCTCCTTTCTCGGATAAAGTATTTTCAGAGGACCGATCTTACGTCGGATGTAGGGCCGGCCCGGCTTTGTCCCCTCACGCTTGGGCCCCCTGTTTGCAAGGATCCTCGTTCAGAACCCTAGCACAATCAACGAAAAATAAACTTGGGTAATTGCATATGACTGTCTTTCTGACCAAGGGGTTCTGACGAGGGTCCTGATTTGGGCCCCCTGTTTGCAAGGATCCTCGTTCAGAACCCTAGCACAATCAACGAAAAAGAAATTTTGGTAATTGCATGTGACTGTCTTCTGACCAAGGGGTTCTGACGAGGGTCCTGATTTGGGCCCCTGTGACAATGAACGTCATCTCATAGTGTTGAAGCCAGTGAAGGTAATGAAAGAATTAACAACTCGTTCGTTGCTGATCGATTGAGAGTTTGCATAGGCGTGTGAGATGGTGCAGCGTCCGAGCAACAAACCATGCAACTACGGCGTACTGCGCCGTACTTTTGCTAGACGAATTGATTCGCAAATAGACATAGCCACCACCTGCAGATTACCTGGGTCCCCGTTTGGGACCCTGTCAGCCTGCTAAAAGGGACCTCGAGAGGGCGAGCTATAGAACAATGCTTGACATAGCCTAGTTTATGGTATCTGCTCCTCATTTAGTTATTGATGGTTTCAATTGCATAAAAGGGGATTTTCAATGTCTCTCCTAGACTGTATATATTTCTCTGTTGCCCCAGGCACATCTGGGAGAAGCTAAAAGAGGACGTTCTGGTGTCCCCTTGTCCCTCTGTCCTAGTGACTATGGATATACCTTCAGCTCTCAGATTACTACGCGATGCGGCAACGGAGGATCTACAAATTCATAAGACTGAAGCTGTGTCGGTCTTTCGAGAGATCGAAGAACGTCTGGGAGGGCTTGGTTCCCAACAGTCAGATATGTCTTTGACCTTATGTGAACACGGTTAACGTACTCAACAGAGACGGCGCTGTGAGGGAGGACGCCCTCATCAGCCGTTCCCATACATCAAAGAGTCATTCTTTGAAGACCAAAGCAACCAAATCTCATGCGACCGATCTCCTGAATGCATTGATCAAAGAGTCTCCTTGGGTGTGGGCCACGATCGAAATCGAACCGAATCGGGTTCTACCTATCAAACGCAAACGCACTCGCGATAGAAGACTTCGCGATATTGACAGAGTCGATCGTGATTCGAAAATCGAAAACCAGGAAAAACTACTAAGGGGCCTCGCTCAGCGGTCACTTGCTCTCCAAGGAGTGAGATCAGGTTATCTGAATGTTGATGAGATGTGTGAAAAAGTCAAAAAGGGGGGTCTCAAAGGTGGACGGGACGGTAAAACTGTGCTCTTTGTGACCAATGAACTAGACATCGAGAAAGAAAACCAAGATCTTGCTATTCGAGCCACTCGTGAGGGTATGAAGCAGTTGGTGATGGAGAGGTTCGTGGGACAAAGGCTCAAGGAAACGCTACAGCACACGCTGCAGGAAACACTGCAGGGAGAGCAGAACGAAACACTGGTGGAAATGCTTAAAGGAATGCTCGACGCAATGGAAGGCTGTGGGAGTGCACCAGGAATATCCGTCTTTACGGCCCTGGCTGTCAGACCATTTCGGTATCTCAGGTATGGGGAGCTGGAGGCATTTGCAGAGTGCTTGCTGGGCTCAGGTGCGATGGCTTCATCGATCTCTATGGTGGTGAATTCAGACCGCGACCAACCTCTAATCCTCGTCAGCCATGTCATACAAAAGGCCTCGAATTGGCTTGAACAAGTGCAAATTCATTATGATGGTGAGTGAGCCTTTTAGCACCAACGCTCCTTCTTCTCTCATAATCGTTATAGAATGCGTTACTAGTGAACACCAGGAAGCTCGATCTAAACGGCTAAAGCATAGCTATAACACCGCCCCAAGGAGTGAGCAAGTCGTTATACAACCCCGAGAAGGCGCAATGCCCGATCCCCCACACCCGTCAATACCCCGCAACCATGATGGTTTACCAGCGCAGAGCGTATCGTTATATTCCAGTCAAACGGCATCGGTCTATCATCATGGTCGATGGCATAATGGCCAATTCGCTGGCTCGTGCGGAAGCAGTGTGGTTCCATATGAAGGAACATCTGACCGTACCTGGTCAGAGGCTACAGATTCTCTTGACGAAAGAGACCTGGATGAAAGCCCCGAAGACACCGAAACCACAGCAGACATGAACATGAGATACGCACAAAACGATGTCATGTGGGAGCCAAGACATCAAGGCCATCCTACTGACCACATAGCGTTTGCTGTGCCAGATAACCAAGAGCTTATCGCATCACTCGATTTCGCCAGCGCGGATGCGAATTTATTTAACGCGCGCGACACGATGGCATTGTTGACCACAGCCTCGGATGCGGATTTTCTTGACGCTGAATTCCATTTAGAGAGCACCCCCTTTCACCTTAACCATGTTAATTCTTGAAGTGACCGCTTGCTTCTTGCAATCACTCTGGCTACGACTGTCACAACTTCGAACAAATTTTCTAAGAATCGAAATATGAATCGTTGTAGAAAGGGCAAACTGGGTTCCCTTGCCAACTGTAAATTGCCGCAGGTTCCAAATATGGCCATATGGACGTGAACTCCCTTCTCACACCGCCCTTTGGCAGCGGTATAAGCCGGGGTAACCGCATAAGTATGGTCATTTCTCTTTTCCCTCGTGCTTTATTTTTAGTCCACAACTACAGAGCTAGGAAAAGGAAATACATTCAACGTTGATATTTACGTGATCTTGTTGGTTGGTATCTGGACAGCAAAATCACTACCTCGGCCAAGGCGACATTGAAATCAGCCTCGCCGTTGATTTGGCCAATCCTGAGTTGGAATTTGATGGTAGGCGCAATCAACGGGTGAGATACGGGGTGAGATACGGGGCGAAAGCAGGTGAGACTCACCCTCTGTCGCGCGACCACTGTTAATTTTGCTGTCATATCTCGGACTCTGGACGAAGAAGATCTATAGACTTAGAACAAGAAGGCTCCTGATGCAATGCAATAAGACGGTTTCTTAAACGCCAGTCCTAATATACATACTGCGGTCGGATCACATGGGCGCGGTAGTCATGTACAATCTTCCACCCTTTGCAGTCGTTTCTAGTTTTGACAAGAAAATAAGCAAAGCACTTCCGTATATTTAACGTTCTCTAATCGCCTTGCCTGATTCAAGGATCTTGCTGTGCTCCAGTCCAATATACGTGTTGATTGATTTTTATTGCGGCTAAGACGTTATACATGAAAGGTTTTTGGCTTCCTGTGAACGGAACTTGGAGCCCGTCCAGTAATACCACAACGGATGCGGGCATTGGCATTACCCAAATTCCAGGATGAGAGTTTTCCACAACCCACTTGAAGGCTAGTTATGTCACCTAGGTCTTGATATTCAAAGCGAGATCTTTAGATCCTATTGACGCTTTGTTCATCCTACCATCTTAAGAAATCTCACGTGCGCCTGAGAGGAAGGCTCCTTCGTTCCCCACGATCCCATAGTAGATTAGAGACTGCCAAGCTGGGATGCCGCGAGTCTGTCGAGCTCCTTGAGCGAGCTAGCCAATCCTGCCGTGGGATGGAGTCACAGTGGGTCTCCACAGTTCGTTCTTTGTTTGCTATATAGGGTGCGGTACTTTATGGAGCAAACAAAGAAAGCGACAGGACTAGGTAGGAAACTGAAATGTTCTGCTTTGCTTTTACCCCTGAGTTCTTGAGACACTCACTGATCTCCCTAACAAATTTTCTCAGACCTAGCTCATTCGCAACCTTCACTTAGTGTTCATTCCAGACATAGTGCTCGATCCACAATGGGGAAGATCAAGACCTTGCGTACCCTCCTTCCGGCAGGAAAAAAGCACACAGTGCAATCCTTGGAAGCAGGTTCGGCTAAAGACATGCGACGAAATATTTCTCTTGCTTGCACAGAGTGTCAGAGAAAGAAGACTAAGGTCTAGTCCCCGAAAAGCAACTGCTAAGATTGACGACAGGGCTAACATCATATGCTGGAAGTAGTGCTCTGGAACAACGCCGTGCACAAGATGTTCAACTACCCCACAACAGTGTCTATATGATCAAAGCAGTGATCGTAGACGCAAGGAGTATACGGGCGGGCTGTTGAAATTTCAGACCACTCTTTGCCAACTTGCTGCTACCCTGCGCTCTGCAGCTCCTGAGGAGCTATCATGGTTGGTCTGGCAGGTTCAAAGCTTGCCAACGGATCAGGATGCAGTCGATTACCTTGTTCAGATGTTGGCTTAATACATGTGGATGGACTAGCACAAATATGAGGGAACCTCAGCGGTACTGTTATTGAGTGACGAATTGTGCCTCCTTGAATAGAAATTTGGTCAAGTCGAGAGCAATGCAATATTTATTCATCAGATTGAGATAGCATGCTGCTCTTTGCCTGCATATTTGCCTGTCACATCTCTGATAGTCTAGAATTGTTGGTGAATATGCTTGCTCATTCCATGTAGTGTCTGGGTCCTCCATGAAAAACCGTGAGTAAATATATGTAGTGGTTATATAGGGGTGAGATTTGCTGCGTAATATCGCGCGTTATTAAGGCGAAATCGCCAAGCCCTCAATGCTAACCATGGAAAGGGGGGTCAGATATCTGTATCGACCTTGTAAAGGGGCTATTTTTACGTTTCCACTGCCTATCCCCCTTCTGCGGGCAGAAAATCAAAATTCAATTGATCAGCTAGGGAATTTTTGAGTACCCTCCTATCAACACTAAGGTTATACCCTCGCAGGGCACAGTCTCTGAAATAGCGGTTGCTAAACAAGCTGATGACACAGCAGTTGTGGTTCCGCTTGAAATTCCTCGATCCGGAGATGTCGCTGCCAGAGGATAGGAAAGAGCACAAAGGTGGTCAAGCCACACTTCAGAGTCATCGTAGCTGTACCACGATACGGGGTCTCAACTTGGAAAAGGCGAATGCGCAGGCCGTCGAGAAAAGCTCGCAGTGGTCCCAACTGCCGTCACCTAAACGCCAAAGTGGACGTAGGGAATCCAGTAACTGTTCAGAAATACTTTTTCTGGAGCCCCCAAGTCCAGATGAAAGGCCTTTCTCGCCTGTCCCGTCTCAATGTGCCCGCCGCGTACCTCTCGTATGGCTCGGTGCAGTCCTCGGCAAACCGCCACGTCCGTCATTCCTTCGCCCCGCAGCGTCTCGTAGAGCACTCTCGCCACATCCACACAGTGTTTATCCGAGACTTCCCAGAGTGTTCCAACAACATGTCGGAAACCAGCAAGTTGGAAGGCGCTGACAAGATGGATTCCCTCGCCTGCCAGGCTATCCGCCGTGTTAGCGCCAGTAGAACAAGCAGAGAGATAACCAAGAAACGGCGGGTTGTCTTGGAGTTTATAGTCGCGAAAGTCCCCAACGGTCAAGGGGTTGGTTGTCCAATCCTCGAGCAGCAATCGACTTTGCGAAGGCTCCGTTGGATCCAACTGCCCGTGTCCTGCAAAATGGAATATCCTACACCCCTGTAAGTGTATTAAAACATCGTCTTTGCGACGTGCTGTCTTAACAGGCTTCAGCTGAAGTGAGGGACAGAGGTCATTCAACATATCCACCTCTTTTTCCGCATATGGAAGGACATGATTCTGGGATAGTCCTGGCGTTTTGTGCATGGCCACCAGGAGAGCATGGTCTGATAGAGGTCCTTTTGGTTGGCGAATATGGTGCCGGCGCCCATATATTAATGACTTAATGGACGAAGCATACGACGACATCACTCTGTCCAAAACTGTCTCGCTGGATTCCCGCCTATGGTATCCTGCCGCATGAACTGGTAGCTGGCTAAGCACACCAGTAGGAATCCACCACACTCGAGGCCAATTATTATCGGAGGCTGTGCCGTCGAAACCGAGTGCCCCAAGAATTGGACAACTGACGGCATCCCAGAGCCACTCCAGGAGTGATTTTGTATCGGAAGCGGCTGCGAGGGAAGATAACCTAAGACATTGGGTTCGTTCTTGGACTTCCTCCATTTTCAGGTCAGGTAATTCCAATACACTAATCCGAGTGTGCTCGATAAGAAAGGCATCACAGCGGTAAGAGCTCAAATTGATAACGATTATAGGATCTGGATTTGCCGCGGCCTTCAACTCATCTAGGGTGGGCGGTAGAAGAAAGCTGTGGAAACCAGGCTGAGCGCGAATCCTTGTTAGGGTCTCGCTGAATTTCTGGTCCGCGTCACGCCGGCGTGTCGCTTGAGCTTCCCAGGGCAACATATTATCGGTGGAACTCCAAATTGTTGTTCGATCTACAGGCGAATCCAGCTCGTCTCCAAGGGATATAAATTCGTCAGCCAGATCAGGATGCTGCTGCTTGAGATCAGAAATATCTCCGCGTAATTCCTCAACATTGGAGAAGGATTTACGTGTATGGAGAGATAAAAGAACACCTCAGGTTGGGTGCAGCGGTAACAAGTAAAGAAATAAGGGCCTATTGTGATTTGGCAAAATCTATGTTCAAGTACAACGACGGCGCACCAGCTGCCAAAACATTACTAGCTCCTCGATTCATTTTCCTTTAGGTGACACATGAATTTTATACCCAGCGCCATACCGACTATCGAAATCACTTCGATGATTTCTTACCTCGGAATCTGGCTTTTCGCTCTCAAACTGATTTCCCTTCCAAGACAAATGCTGTATTGTCTCATCAGACATTTGTCCAATACACTGCAACGACCCAGATCCTGTCACTATATGCCTTGCCGATACCAAGTCGCCAATAGTAGACACGATGATCTGGCGGGAATTATCGTCTGATACAATGTCCTCGAGTTCATTTGTCCGTGCCGCGTCGGCCATCTTTGAAGCATCGGCGCAAATACCAAGGCACTGCACCAAGCTGGCTCTTTCATCCCTGGCGTCTCGAATATATTTCATGTTCTCGCCCTGATCATCAGACTTGTCTTGAGTGAGAATGCTGATTTTGTCGTCCAATTCTCGCAGTCGATTCTTTAATTCCGATGAATTGTTTGCTATGCGACCCTGAAACTCGGTGAGAATGCCTCTAGTCTTTGTCCGCGAACAGGCATGTAGTGTCATTCCGTGCAATCCAAGTTCCTCTTTGCCATCTGCAGAGCTGTTTTGTTGAAGGCTATTCTCTGTATCCCTGATGAAACTTGAGACTTTCGAACATATATCTAAGCATTGCTGAAGACTTTCTTTCTCCTCCTTCATCTCATTGAGGAGGGTTATCTGTTTAGACGGTCCAGATTTCCCGGAGATCTGGAGGTCTTTTGTTCTCTCATCGATCTCATGGAGGTGCTCATGAATATCAGATACAGCATTAGAAATGATTTGCTTATATTCTTCCAAAACGTTGGTAGTAACCGCGGCTTTTTGGCTAGTTAAACATTAGCACTGTGCTTTTTGAGCACGACAGAAATGGACGTACAAAGTCGCGCCTCCAAGCGCAATGCAAATCGTCAGTTTATACCCGGCAAGGGAGTTTTTCACATCAGTGATATCATTCCCTAAGTAATTCAACTTGGCCCAGTCACGGAAGGCTCTGCCCTGCTGGTCCATTTTTGGAAAAACTCGCCTGACAACGCTTTCAAAATCTCGACAGATTTTCGCACAGCGAAGCAAAGGAAGCTTCAGAGCAGCCAATGTTGTTTCATTCTCGACGGCGACTTTCTGGAGATCCTCCAGGGTATGAGCTAACGCCTCTAGCTCTTCTCGTAATTCTCGAATGACTCGTTTCGAACTTTTGAAGCTGTCAACTAATTGGTAAAGCGATATGCTGGACTGGAAAGCGAGAGTGGCCAAGGCCACTAAGCTAGCGGCAACAGACAGAGGGTCTGCCATGGGAGAGCGCAAATAACGAAGGCTTAGATCGGTGTTATGCGTTATGAGAATTGTGAGCCTCAAGTGTCAGAAATATTTCCCTAGCAAAGCCTTGTAGAGCAAAGATGATGATCGAGGACTACAGTGGGGATGATGCGATGGTGGGGTCGTTAGGTTAACCCCTCCCGTCCAAAAATGGAATATCACGTGATGGGATCATTTGCAGGCCAGTGCCCCGCTCTTGAAGTCACACTCCTCTCATCTCACCATCAAATCTTCCACGAATACTTTCCATCAACACGACAATATGAGCGACAGGACCGAACATTCTGGTCCGAGCCAAGAGGAACAATACACCCCCGTAACGGAATTAGAAAATGAACGCCGAAATATCTTTGACAATATCGCTGCAGACGAGAACGTGTTCCAATTGATCGCCTCTGCAAACGGGCATACAATCACAGCCCGATCGGTCACGGCCAAGGCGTACGCGACTCAGTGTATGGGGGATATATCCAATACTACAATCCAGCAAATTTCAGCGAACCGCAGCGGCATATCAGAGAAGGAGCGTTCCAATCACCACACTCAGCCAGGAAATTTCAGTGGGCCTGGTCGCAAAGTAGGATAGAAATTCGTGGCTTATCAGGTATGCTACCGAAGCTTTTTGGCTGATCGTCATCAAAATTCTGACCAGAAAACGGGCAGAATGTACGCGAATGGAAGAAGATATAAGAAATCGTGCAATGATTGTCGGCCGTTAACTATGTGGGTTAAATTTGCGTATTGAAGATCGATCGCGCAAAAGACGGAACCAAACGGCAAAAAATTCCAAATTCTGAAGATCGGGCTGAGTGGCTGACTAGGCATCTTTCAATCTGTCTGGTGAATGTTGAAGTTGGAGTCCAGGAAACAATACCCAGCTTTGCCTTCCAATATACAATCACCAGCCGTTGTAAGGATCGCTGTCTTGCCATACCAAAGGAACAGTTCTCTTATAAATGAGTTCACACTTCTCCGTACTCCGTAGAAGTGTAAAAGCAGGAGAAGTTCGAGAATTGAAAACCAGGGTTAAGAAAGCCTTGGTGGGGTCCGAGATAGAGAACTACCAATGATGAGAGAACTGGCGCCTTCCCCGCCGCAATGCCAGGCGGCCCGTGCCTAGCGAGTGCCCTAATTACGGAAGAAATTGTTCCAGTATTACTGATAGGTCGTTATCAGGATGGGGTGAGACACCATTCATGCAATGATCTACTCTGTTCGTCTAGCCCGCGAACGATCCTCCACAGATGTCTCAATCTGGCCTCCCGTGTCAGCCTTGCCACCAGACCTTTCATGCCCACCAGTAATCGAGCGGCAGAAGACGCTGAAGTTGCGCCCTGAGAAAGCGGGGTAGGCGCCTTGCATTTCACGGCGACGGGCGTCTCCTACCCAGTTGTTTGCCGCCAGGGGAAATTCCTGTTTTCCGATGGTTAGGTTTGGGTGAACGAGTAATGAACACAGGCAGCCTCCTGCTAATAGCCACATATTCATAGCTTCGGCTGCTATGGTCTAGACCATTTCTGGCTGGTTGATAAATAGGCGGTGATACCTCCCGTTCGGATGTCTCAAGTACATTCCCTTTAAGTCTGCAATAATTCGAACCTAGTAACAATTCCTATCAATCTTGGTAATATTCCTTGGCGCACGAGTTAGTTACTGACCACTGCTGACTAAAATGTAGGCGTCATGTGCGAAACGTTGGTTACGACCACTGTTTATGCCTGTGGAGATAGGGAAGTTAGACGAGTACCGCGTCCCTGTCCTCAAAACCACCCCCAACCTTGGCCTGAGGTGACCATGGGAAGCTCCCATAACCGTCGAGATAAATGCGCGAAATGCCGAGGAGCCTCCAATGGCGCCTAGATTGAGGTGAGTGTATCCGTGCCAGGACTATTGGCTGTGTTATTGATTCCTATAGCACTTGTCCTTCTTGCAATATGAGCAATTCTCTTTACCCACTGCGCCAGAGGGATCCATCGCCATCATCCGATTCGAAAGGCAAGAGTGTTATTTGGGTCATTCTCCTATAGTGGGCCTTGCCATGTTATCAACTCTCTGAATCATACATTCGCTTAGCTACAAGTGTGCCTGATAACCAATGAAACGTAAATCAGCATCCTTATCCAAACCATAGCAGTCAGCTAGGCCCTGCAATTGGTCTTCTGAAAGTATACCATCGAGAACACAACCTAGAAATCCCATTAGCCACCAAGAATGTAGACATCGTACAGCGGATAACCCTTACCAAACTTATTCTCACGGCCCTCCCTCCATTTTTTAATCCGGTCTCTCAACGATTCCGTTGATTCCGAACGCAGTTTGATATCACGGGCAGGACGAGTGCCGTTAGTATCAATAGAACTAAGATCTTCTAGCATTTCTGAGGTGCGGTTATAGTGCCCGAGCCAAGCTTTTCGAATGATCGTTTCAAGGCTTTGATAATCGGTTTTTATTTTTGGCAGAACCAATGTGTCATGACTGTCAACAGAAAGCTCGGGCTTGGCTCCATGCTCCATCTGAAAAATAAGCGACGCCATTGCAAACATTTCGGTCGCCTCGGATAAAGTTGGCGAGGGACCGTTGACTGGAAGTGGAAGATCCGGGAAAACGGGATTTGGTTGACCAAGAGGGCTAGCGGCGCTAAAATCGCAAAGAATTGCACCGTCCTGATCATCAAAGAGCACATTTTCAATCCGTACATCTGCATGGGCTATGCCAAGGCTGTGGATATGACAAAGTGCGTCAGTAAGATCGCAGTACCAGCGAATCCGATGAGGCTGAGGAACAATTTTATCACCAGATAACGAGTGATATCTGCGGAGATAAATTCCCTCAGGTTGATCAGCATCGATAGCTTCCATAATGTGAGGGTGTGGCCGTCCTTGAAGCACTCGTAGTACAGTTCGTTCGTTTTGTAACAAGTTGGAGTGAAAGAGGGTGTCTGAAGCGTAGTGCCATCGATCGCCATCAGGGGCACTACTGCCAGGTCGTTCAAATACCCAAGAAGTCTTGAGAACTACCTCGTCATCAACTTCGTAGACTTGAGCAGAAGCCCCAAATCCCCTTATTTGCAAGTCACGCTGAGGGTGCAGCCGTATAGTGTATGTGTCGCAGTTCGATGTTGAGACCACACCGACCGGATCATTAGCCTCAAGATCGTCCGTGTTATCAGATTTAGACGGATGATATCCGATAAAACGAGGGCATATACGGGACAAGAGGCCAAATGAACGATAACCGAGATGACTGAAGTACCGAAATGCAACCTGTGCTGCCGAGTAGAATCGCCAGAGGGACGACAACATTCTGAAGGTGCCATGAGAAAAGTGTGACAGAACCAGCATTTGGGAATTCGAGAGTTCCCTTATATGTATTCTATCACGTGATAAACTGGTAATTTTGCCTCCTTCTCAGGGGGTTTCAAAGCAAGGACGGGTCACGTGCAATAACATATTCTGTTGGAATCCAGAGCACTGAGATGGAGCATTACGTACACGGAATTATATAAAAACATGTCGCTGTCGCTGTCACATCTCCTCTGTCCCCCCGCATGTGCCTGAATCACTCTCCTCAGCTTTCTCGTTGATGGAGGCGAATTGCACTTTCTACATTTCCAGTTGCTTACCTGATACACTCTTGCGCTTCCCTCTGCACTATGCCACCCTGCAAAGCCCCCGACAGCCCCAAGTCCTATACGGTAGCCTGGATAGCTGCTCTGTACCAATTTTCTGTCATGTCTGCGTGTGGAGGCTGGGCCAAAAATAGAGCTGTCCTTTTCCAAAAAAAATACGCGCCCGCACCCCCTCCCCGCAGAGCAATGTTTGAGCAGCCGCCGCTCCTTCCATCACACGGCAACCATGCGAGATGAATCTGGCGCTTCCCACTTGACGCCCGTCGACACTCTTCTTGAAATATAAATGTTCCCTTCAAACTCGGGAGGGACCCAACGAATATTATTCTCCTCATCATTGCCTAAACATAACCATGGCTGAATCAGTCGGGCTGGCTTCTGGAATCCTTGCTCTGGCGACGTTCGCATTTCAAAGCAGCGTCTCACTTTATGAGACAGTGAACAGCTTCCGTTCGCATCCAAAGCGAGTACGCGACCTTCTCGGCGAGCTAGAAGCCTTGAGCGATGTCCTAGCTCCCCTTGTCGATCTAATTAAATCGAACTATGACGCCGATCTCTCTGTCCTGGAAATGCCGCTATTGCGATGCGGTAATGTCTGCAAAGAGTTCCAGCAGGTGTTACTCCGATGCGTATCCCGATCAAACAGTAACCGGACAAGCTTCCGCGACTGGGCCAGGATAACTTATATGGGTGACGATATTAAGGATTTCCGCGATTTGCTGGCAGGGTATAAGGCCACGATCAATATTGCCCTGATAGATACAACTCTGTAAGTCACTGTCAGCTGTATCTTTCCCCCCAAAATCTCCTTGTGCGTTGGTTACTAATATTTCACAAGGCGCCAATCTGCGGTCGCTGTTCAAAGCATTAGGGACTACGAAGGTCTCATCCAAGATACGAAGGAGGACCTAGCAGCTCAACTCGGAAGTATCGATAGAAAGTTGGAACAACTAGCTGAGAAGGATGGGGCTCAGTCCGAATCAGATGTGGTCGAACTGCACTCGCTGAGAGAAGAGCGCCTGAGTACAGAGAAATGCCTTCAGATTTGCGCCCAGCTATCGAGCCATATCGATCAGATTCATCTGAGGTCTGATGATGCGGGTCCATTTTGGGAATCAGTCGGAGCTGGGGCGTCGCCTGAAATGGTCACAAACGAAGGTCTACAAGAATGCAAAAACAGCTTGGCTGTGACGGCTGCCAAGTTGGAAAAACATATGCGAGACATTATGGATCAGCTGCTCTCCAAATCGAAGACTTCAATATCCTCCGATGAAGATGCTCAAGATCTATCGAGGCTGCGCGATGAGTGGGAAACCGCTCGGCAGTGCTTGGATATCTGTTCACGGGCCTCTAGTACAGAAAGGACCGAGCTTCAAATGATGGAAGATGAAAAGTACAGCACACAAAGAAGCCTAGATATCTGTGATCACTCATGTGCTCTAATAGACCAGTCGCAGTCTAGGCTAGCGGGTGAAGAAGAAGAATCTTCGAAGCCTATTGATCACATGTCTTCATCTATTGTTCAGAAGTCATTAAGCCTGGCTACTGCGAATAGCCTTGATTCTGTGCAGAAGGAAGACTTGAGCCAAGGCCAATTGGAAGAGGCTGAGAAGGTTGAGGTGCAGGTGAGGGAGACTCGTTGGCAAATACCGGGCCTGGAGCATCCTGACGCTCATTTTATCTCGGAGGCTGCCATACACAATACACATGTGGATTTCGGAGATTCCGATTCATCCACTGATAACAACTCAGTGTTTTCTGATCCCCTCTCTATTCCTAGCACTAGCTCGTTGAACCCCGGAAAAGAAGAAATCACTCTGTTGTTGATTCAGCAGTTTGCAAACTTGTTGAATGAAGACGGGGTCGTGCTGTTACTGCTTTCCACTGGCGTATCCAAAAATTTCATCGGATTCCAGAAGATGCAAAACAACTTTCGGAGATTGCTCAAACAATTTGCGAATAACCTTGAGGCGGATATCGTTAGCGAACCGCATCGAGACCTAAAGAGGTTTGTGAGCTTATATTCAGTCATGATCACCCGTGAGCTCTTTGCAATTGCACCTATCTACGAGCACAGAAACATCAAACCTCACGTCCTGGAGGCTGAACATGGAGCAGGATTGGTTGAAAAACGCCAAGCCCGGGAGAAAAAAGTGGAACTTTATCTTCAAAGTCTACACAGGGGTAACACTGCTCCTAACACTGCTCCTCAAGCGAGTGACGTGATCAAAATATTTAATACTGATGATGAAGAAAGTGACCAAGACTCCGTGGCAGAGGAAGTTGGCGTGGTTGAGCCGTATGAGGGATCTTTGCAAAACTTGGATCAAATGAAGAACTTCATTCTGGGAAGCACCGCCTACCAAATCCTTCGTCGTCAGCTCGAAGAGTTTGTCCAGCCCTCGCTGAGCTCTCGGTTTCGAGACATTGTGACCAGGTGGTCAAACCCAGAGCATAAGAACCATGGCGATATTGATCGGTATAAACTGCGGAATCTTGTCACAGAGTTACAGAATGCGAGCCCCTTCAAGATTCAGTTTGAACGTAACGAAAATAGCCCTCGATTTGTTCGGTTCGTCAGCAGCTTTCAACATGTAATCGAGCGCTGGACTGGAGAGTCATGGGAGTGGTGGCCCCTGCCCCGCTGTCAGAGACCTCTGTCAGAATCAGAGTCACGGTTACGGTGGAAGTGTGTGAGTATTCAAAGTGCAGGCAACCCTTCATTGTATAGATCCAGCCTTAATCTGTTATGCAGGAGTGTGGTGAAGAGAGATGGGCAGAGGTCCCAAATATCCTCGCCAAACGCCTCCAGTCCATCATCAGAAGTCTTCCCGTAGATACCTCGACAACTCCCATTACGCATCCTCCTCCAAAGGCTCATGATAGATCTAGCCCGAACCATTATAGCGCCCTGAACAAGAGCCAAAATCTCAATCAGGTTTTCTTTCAAGATCATGGAGGGCAGCAGCCGCGCGGTACACTCCCAAATCCATCATTTCGTCGTCCATCCTCAGGAAGCGAGGCCACTGTTTCCGACATCAGCCTCACTCGGCTCCGCGTCCTCTTCCTCGTAACCCAAGGTGGAGAATATAGACTCTCGCAAATCTCCGTTGGCGAAATGAACTGCAATTCTTTCTTCAGCGCTATGAAAAAAGAGTACTTCCGCCTGAGAGGTATTTTACGTGGCTGGTTCAGCATTTGGAGGTACTCACATTGCGATTTTTACAAAGTAAGGCTATTCTTGTGTACCTTGGGGCTTTTGTTAATGATATAATTGCAGTTCGAGAAGTTCGATGACTCTGAGTTTGCGCTCCGGATGAAAGACTCATTCCCTGACCATACAAACACTGATTACGAGTATCAACCAAGACCAATGGATAATATTCCTCCAATATCAGAGCACGAATTCACGAAACGGTTCTACTCTTGTCACAAATCACGGCAACCCTTTCACCTGCATCATCAATGTAAAACGCTGGGGGCACATTCTTCTGACATTTTGAAGTTTCTCCCAAAGAAAAAAACCCGACTTGAAGAAGCAGGTGATAAGCGAGAAAATTTCTGGGGGATATATGCGCGCGAAATCATTAGCCTACGGTGGATCATTTTTTACAACTTCGTCTGTGTTTCACCTCTGTTAGCATTCTTTTTGGCGTGGATTGTACCCCAAGGGCTTGGTACAGACATACAGGACCCGTCTATCCCGTTTACCATAATGATTTCGATGCTTTCTCTGTTTTGGAGCGTTTTCCTCGGCAGTCTGCAATTTGGAAGGTCGCATTAGATCTGGTGTTTCACTAGGCTGTTGCGTCTTCATGCATCAAGGCTCATCGCGAGCATGCCTTGCCTTCAAAAGCTCAGCAAGGACGACCAATATTCTCAACTGAAGCACACCAAGCTCCGAAGGCACTTGGATAGGAATTCAAACCCTTTCGAACCCTGCCAGCCTGGCCGTGCCTGCATCCGCGTCCAGGAGCTGCAGAGGCCGGGCATCTGGAAGAAGAACGACATCAGAGCCCTGGTACAAGATCTCAAGCCTACAAAGGCCGTGGCATTTGAAAACCTTAAAAGATTACAGCAGCAGCCTTGTCCTGGTCCTGCCGCCGACGATCGTGCTGGAGCGGGGATGTGGAATTCTGTGCCGTTGTCGCTGATGATTGTTATTATTGTCATGCTCACCACCGCTTTCATAAGTGCTGGTAATAAGGGAACACATTGCACTTCAACGGTGTGTTTCATTGAAACTGACATAAACACTCAACCCACCTATGTACTTGATCAGCCAGAATACTTGGCGGGAGATATTAATGCCTAGCCGAATTCTTACAAGCAACGTCTCCAGATATTATTGATGCCACGAGGAATAAGGAAATAAAACTCCTCGTACAACTGGAGATAAGAGATATAAAGGAAAGAGCCTTAAGATTGAAACAGATTGAGTAGTATCTCATGTTGGAATATCTCGAAATATCATAAGTGTTCTATTTCGTCAAGCGCCGGCTTCCCGCTATAACTATCCAACTTAACACTATCTAAGCTTGACTAGCTATATTTTCTGACAAATAATGAGACTTCTTGGGATCCTGAATGTAGTGACCAATGCTATAGTTGTTAATCCAATATTGTTTAGGTCAAGGCTGCTGGGTGTTTCTAGATGGAAAGGATCTTGCAATAATTTTACGCGAACACTGGATAGGCCTGAGAATTTGCGATAGAAAAGTAGAATGGGCACCACTGAATAAATACCTACCTGATCCTAGTGGGGGACAACAAGGACCACGATCCAACAGTTTCACGGGTGTGATGATTCTACCCACCAACGTGAAGGCTCGGGCCGCTGACGGATGAGGCGGGTCCATCTGGCAGGAAGGAGAGCGTTCGCTTACAGGAGGAGCAATTCAATTTTGATCATTTGCATGGAACGAACCACTCGCGTCCGCAGTCTACTTCACTGCGTCCTCTGAAGATAAGTCAAGACTAAAGTAAATCTATTCTCCGGATCTGAAGGGCCGGTTCAGCCCTCAGAAAAACAATGGGGGTCCACTTTCTGATCCTCTTGCCTTACATTAGGCGGCTGTGTGCTGATGCCAAAGGACCGAGTGTTTCAGATGGATTACGGAGACCCAATCACGTTCTATCATAGTTCAGCTGAGAGGGTCAGTGCGGCGGTCGCGCGACGGAGGGTGATTCTCACCCGCTCTTACCCAGATTCTCACCCTATCTCTTGCGCACTCACCCTTCTCACCCCCGGTCGCGCGACACTAAAGCGGCGCTCACCCATTTCTTACCCGGGCGGCACCTACCCGACTATTCTCCGCACATAAGCCCTACGCTGGCAGGTCAGTAGTTGAGTGACTCGTTGGCTCGGCTCACCTTCTCTTTACTCCTTGCCGACATACTCGGGACCTCTCCTAAAGCCATTACTCCAGAACGAGAGGGGGAAAAGGACTGTCGCTCAGTCACTCGCTAGCACTGTTCTTTCTAAACCAGTTCCATCCTAGGGTTCAGTGCTCCTCCGCCCAGCATTAGCGATGACACAGCCCATACTCGCCGCCTTGGGTATGAAGAAAGGCCCATGGTGTTTATTCACAGGATCTTCCGCGAGAGCTTACGACCATACCACAAATTCGCTTCATCTATGATGAGAAGGTGAGAAGGATATACATCGGTCATGGACAGTACCGCCGGATAACTATTAGCTTAGTAGGAGCGGAAGAGGATACCATACAATGATGGCGGATGCTTTCGACTATGACAGTCTCCAAAGAAATATGCATTTCATCATTTCTTTCTGCCCCTCCGACTTTGCGGACGGCTTCTTTTGGCTCTCCGGGGCTTTAATTTAGTAGAATAGTGAACCTGTAGCGCAGAGGAAGCACGGCCAGGAAAATAGTCGGTGATTTCCTTCCATGTTAACTTCCTTTCCTCCCTCAACTTCACCAGCAAGTTGTTCTCGTCCGTTGAATAGGTCCGGCGTTTACTTTTCCCACGAGTTGCACGAGTTGAACGGTTTACGCTCATTGACGGCTTCAAAACTCCACCTGCTTTCTCGGAGTTGTGTGGAGGACTGTGCGCGGCAACATATGATATCGAGGGCACGTTGTCGGGCACGAGAGTGAAGAAGAAAGTGGGCTCTGATCCCTGGGTCTCAATAGTGAGAATTGCCCGCCCAACAATATCACGACTCTCGTAATGCTGGGTCGATGAACCAAAGGACGTATCGCTGGGATAGTAGGGAGCGGTCCTACTTGGATGAACGTCCGAGAGTTCTGATTGCATTGCACCGCTCACGAAGTCTTCGTCCGAGGAATCATCACAGTCCTCACTACTTTCGCTCCCATATGCATTTAATAGAGCAGGTTTTGGCCTTAAGCGTACACTCCGTACAGGCCTAGGCCGTGGCGGAGGAATAACTACAGCGACAGACGAGGAGCACTCGTTGCGAGTAGTGTGTTGTTTTCCGGCCCAAGGCAATGGGCGTTCTTTTTTTTGCATTTTCTCGGATTAGTGAAAACGGGGTTCTTGTCGCCTTCGACACTAGGAGTTGTCATAGGAGAATTAACAGACTCGCGGCTATTGGCTTGTTCGTGATCCATCGAATCGGGCATGTTAAAGTGCAGCGGATCGACCGGTCCAGAATTGTCCGACTCAGGCACGATTTCGGGGAAGCAACCTGAAATCAGTCTGGTTTGGCTCACTTCTTCATGGTCATCCGAACAGTCGTCGGGACAATTCTCCAGGGAAGGAATGTAGGGGCTCGTTTCGCTTCGCTTTTTAGAGGCAATAGCTGAGCAGGATGAGATGGAAGAGGGTGCAGTGTTGGAAGAATGTTCGCCAAATTCAGTAGACATATCGGACATATCCCAAGCGTGAGCGGGACTAAGAGATTCAAAGTCCACGTTGTAGGATGGTTGATTCCGTCTCCACTGAACATCTTCCACCATATGCGATTGCAGAGTCTCAGGATACGAGATTTCTGATTCTGGCGAAAGAACCGCGATAGAAGGGGGCTGAGGAGGCTGTAGAGGGCTGGCACTACTTGGTTGGGATCTCGGGAAGACATCTGAACAGTCCAACTCTGCGCTTTTGCCGGAATTTGCGCCGAACGAGGATGGGGCTGGGTTTAAAAATTGATTAGTAAATTGGAATGTAAAACATCTCCGACCTTCAACGTACAGTCGCCAGGCATCTTTTCGTCTGAGGTATAGGGACACGCATCTCTGTCGCTAGCCTCAAGTGTCCCTAACAATGGCATTGCCGCCCCCCATGACCTCGCCAGTTCGATGTCAAACAGGTTGGGCGACCCAACTGCATGCTGATGCGTTGTATTTTCTGCATTGGCGGCCGGAGGAACGAAGCCAGTCGGGACTATTGTCGAGGCGTCGGTTGCCAAATAGGCAGGTTCATCAGAGAATGCGGCTTGCTCGCCCGAAAGCAGGGTATTAAACCCTTCAGAACCTTTCTGGTTGCTGTTAAAGGCAAAAGATGGCCGTTTTGCAGCCTTTGAAGGGCCGTGGTAGAATTGTATATTATCAAGGAGTACCGGCATGGTCTCAGATCCAGAGAGAAAAGACATAGAGATGAACAAAGCGAAACAAGGCAAATCGGTACCATGAGACTCCCAGACTGACCTAGGCACACGGTGGAAAGGATCTCTTTTTATCACAGACCTAATCAGCCCCGAAAAAAGACATTCGGAGCCGCTATTCCAATAACGACCCTGCCCCGAGCAGGGATTCAGGTCAGTAGACAGCAACGGGGCTTTCGGGGCTGGCTTCCAATCATTGCGGGAAAGCGTGTCTCTTGCATACACGACGCGCAAGGAGGCAGACTTTCGGCTTGGCCCATCCCCCCAGAGTCCTGACTAGTCTGCAAAGATGCCATTTGATTAGCCTAGTGCCTGGGTCGCTCTTCCCCGGTCACACAGCCCTCCGGAAGTCTGTCAAGGCAGATCGGGCTTCATTGTTTAGCTCCGCCCCAAATGCAACATCGGAAGGCTGCGCTCCAAGGTTCAGCAAGAAACAAATCGCCTGCAGCCATATCACGATTGGCTAACGAGCTCTTATCGTCGAGGACAGATTATGCACTGCCCACGCCAGATCCGCCTGGATATAAGAATCACATCGGGATGACCGGACGGGGAAATAGGGGTGCATAAATCCGCCGCTTTGACTGAGGCGCCGCTGCATGGCTTGACCAATCATCCTGTCGGTCGACTTCCGGCCATACCTCATCTGACGCTCATGGCCAGCCAGCTCGCATCGCACTCCCAGGTGAGCGCCCCTCCCCCCTGGTCCCTTCGCAGCGGGGCATACAGACTCGTATCTAGGTCCAATAGCAAAATCCGCGCATGCCTTAAGGCGGGCTGGGAAACATGAGGTGGCTTGAGGTTCCCGTAAACTGTGCGGAGCCATATTTGACAGGCCAAGGAGTGATAGTCGTTCGGATGTTCAGGTGAGCGTCAGCGAAGTGCCACGTCATCTGAACCACTCTTTTCCAAACTCCGGGGCGTGCATCGACCCTGGAATGCATCCATTCTCGAGGATCGCCGCGCAACCGGATACAGGGACAAGCTCAAGAGGGAGCCGTGCAGTGACCGAGGCATTGGAGAGGCATTGGAGAGGCAAAACTTCGCTCCAACGAGTTTAATAGAATCTGAACGCGGAGAGTATAGACACTGTTGTCGACAAAGGCGCTGGACCGGGGAATTACCAGAATCAGCAGATCCAAGGAGGAGAAAGGGGGCGTACGGCGTCATGGAGGGATTCCATTGGATAGGTACAAGTGCAGAGCGGATGCAATGTTGCCAGAAAATCCCTCAGGTGGAACGGATCCTCGCAATCAGCCCCGAGATCGTCGATCCAACCAGACGCATCATGGAAGTGTTGGGGGGAAGGGAAAGTGTTGGTAGAGGGGAACGGAAGAAGAGGGAGAGAATAGCGGCGATGGAGCGACGCACCTAGGATTTATACATTCGGGGCACGAGTCGCAAGATGGCGAGGGGATGGGCGATCCCGTTACGGATTAGCGTGACGGCTAAACCGTGTTGGGCCCGCGCTAAACCGTGGCGGGTAGGAGTGGGGGCGGGCGCTAAACCGGAGCTGGGGTGGCTGCCGGAAACGGCAGCTCCGGCCCAAATGGAAAAACTACTATAAAGATTAACTACTATCGAATTAGAGATAAAGTTTATAAAGACGATATCTTTAATTATAAACTATACTAAAAAGTAAAATTAAGAAAGATTATCTTCTATTTACTATAAAACTATATAATAAAGCTATAGTAGTATATATATATTAATCTATAATCTTATAAACTAACTAGAATTAATAGAATAAACTATTTAGTTATTATTTATAATAATTATATAAGATTTTATTAGTTACTTCTAGTTAAAATAAAAGATAAAGCCTTAATTATATTAATCTATTAGGTAATATTAATTTTTAATATTACTAACTACTAGCTATAAGAAATTAAAACTAATAGTAATTTAGGATTACGAAAATTTATTCTTTAGATTTAAGAAAAAGGAATAACTATAATAATCTCTCTATTATATCTCTATAAATAAAATAGTATTATAGAATTTTCTAGCTATATTATTATATAATCTATAAGAGTATTAATAATTTCTATACTAGAAGTATCTATATTTCTCTAGCTAGAAGCTATATTTATATTAATATATATCTTAAACTAAATTTAATAACTAAATAAACTAAAAGTACTAATTAAGAAGTAGAATAAAGTATTATAACTTTACTATTAAGAACTAGTAGATTTAGGTTATTTATAAGTATAGTATTCTAATATATATATATATATATCTCTAAAGAATAAAGAGTATAAAGTAATAAAATAGCTCCTTATATATAGATTAGTTATTTAGTTAGCTATAAAGGAGATAGTAGCTATATTTACTAAATTTATAACTCTTCTAAAAGATAAGTAGTAATAAGATAAGATATTATTTTTTAGAAAGAATTTTTACTAATAAAGTAATTACTAAAATTCGAAGCAGCCTCTCTAATTACTAAAGAACTACTTATTAAAGCTAACTACTAATAGTAAATAATAATTATTAGTAAAAAGATACTAGCTATAAGAAAATAAAAGATTTAAGTTATTAACTAAATCTAATTACTATAAAATATAATCTTATAACCTTAATTATAATTAAATCTAATTTAAATTAATCTATAAGAAATATTATATATTACTCTATATCCTCTATTTAAAAGCAATTAGCTATATTTAATAAACTAAGAGTTATAACTATCTTCTTAAATTTAATATAATAATCTAATATATAATTTAACTAAACTAATATTTTTAAAGGAGAAGGCTAGGGGCACTACCTCAAAAGGCTAGCGGCACTACCTAGGGCCTGATTCCTGCCTGAATTCTGCTAAGGCTTTCACGCCTGTTAATTACGAATTTAACCACCCCCTTCCTTCTTATATACACGCATCCTTTCTACCTTCTCTTCTATCTTCTACTACTACTAGGCCTATCATATAACCCATATACTAATTTAATTTAATTTAACTTCTCTCTTCTAGTACTAGTCCTACTCCCCCCTACCCCTACTAACTATAGATTCTTCATAGTCTATTTTACTACCTACACTACTACTAGACCTACTATAATTCTATAAAACCCGTGACCTTACGAAGAAGGCCCTCTAGGAATCTGCTACTAAACAGGGTTTTGCCCTAGTAGTAAAGAGATCTAATAAAAAGAAGATTAACCTATACTATTCTCTTTAGCTAGATCCTACTAAGAAAGGTCCTTCAGTCTTATCTAAGGCTAAATCTCGCGAGGTTATCAAGATTAGGACTAATTGCCTACACAAGATTCAAATCTAGCTACGGAAGGATAGGAAAAACGTTATTCTAGACCGTTATAAGGTTGTAGTTAAATATAGTAACCACAATCATAGCCTAATTCTACTAAATCTTCTAGTTAAACTTCGGTAAGAAGAGAGGGGAGAAAAGGAAGAGCGACTCCTCGATTACTTTAAAAAGGCCTAAAACCTATAGCAATTTCGATGCTTTTAGAGTCTAAGAAGAGTCTGCTTAACTTGAAAGATCTCAAAAACCTCCGCGCCTAGACTAGATCAATTTTCCTTAGTAGGCGTATATCGATTAAAGTAGTAATAGAGAGCCTACCTAGGTAGATTATATAACACGAATTAGACGATACGTAGCGGCTAATTAGAATTATATTTATCTTAAGGATAGGCCTTTAATTTCTTCGTATTTATCCAAATCTTCTATAGATAGATACTATATATAAGACTAATCGGTAAGATAAGCAAGATAAGAGAAAGATAAGAGATTACTAATTTACTTAGGTTAGGTATAATATACTAATAGTTAATATCGTTAGACAAACTTTAATAAGGAAAACCTTCTACGTGGCCTATTACTTTATTAGTAATAAGCAAGAATCGTCGTATCTTTAGATATTTCAAGCTCTTCAAACATAGCTTGTATAGGTAAAGATTCAAGCTCTAGGTATTATCTTCTCTAACGACGCAGACGCTCTTCTTAATATATACAGGGAGATCTTTAAGGATTCAATTAGCCTACTCTATCTCTAGTATATTATAAAGAATATTAAGACCCGCGTTCGGCTAATTATTTCGAAGTAAATAAAGGACCTTCCTAATCTAGAAGGTTAATAGAAGACTATTAACGAATAGCGATCTATAAAGGCTAAATTTATATAAATTATCCTCGAGCCTACCGAAGATAGGATAGAAGCAAGAAAAGCCTTATTTCTAGAAGCCCTTAGCGATCCGATCTACTAATCAGTAATCGATTATATCGAAAAGTAGTAGTTTAGTAATAGGGCAAAGCGATTTATACGCTACTATCTTACCGGAATTCTCTATTATAATAAGCTTACTTCCTCTCGCGTAGAAGGTGCGTATTATTAGATCAAGAAGGAACTCCGAAGCTTAACTAGCGATATCCTTATAACTATACAAGTCGTCTCTCGAGTTGTTTCCTATACAAATTTGTAGGCGTTTAACTTAATTTAAGACGAAATTTATCGTTACTCCGTTGATCTTTAAGTCCTACTTTTCCGTAATATCCTTAATTAGATCTTAAGAAACGTAATCCGAAGGGTTTATAACACTTAGCAGAAATACCTCCGATTAGAAAAGCAGAAGCCACTACCCTCTTATACGCAATACTATATAAAATCTCTTAGTCTCCTATATAATTATATAATTAAAGACCTTATAGATAGTAGTAAATCCCTTCTCCTATCCTATTTTAACAAACAACACTAGCTTCGCCTGCCGAATCTAATTCAGACTAATCGGCGGCGAATTAGAAGGGTAGGAAGGGTAGGAAGGCTTCGAATTAATAAACCGAATCGGGTAAAGAGGGTTAGACGGCCGAAGTTGCTAGAGACTATAAAGCGTTAGCGAAGATAGGGGAGGAGGAATTTCACTAGTCGGGATTATAGGCTTAAGCGAAGGAAAAGTACTTACGTTTCTATAGATAAAACCATAGGAATTGTGGTACTACC